GCTCATGGTGTCTGAATAACCTAAGGGCATACAGTGTCTGAATAGCCTATGGGGCTAATGGTGTCTGAATAGCCTACGGAGCTAATGGTGTCGTAATAAAACTAGCTTGTAACGGAGTTTGACGTGGTCGAACGTCTTGTGTCTGAGTTTAGTTCCCTATGTTTGAGTTTAGTTCCCTATGTTTGTGTCTGTGCCCTGGGTTATGTCTAAGTTCTGTACCCAGGGCTGTGTCTGAGTTCTCTATGTTTGTGTCTGTAGCACCTCCAGAAGTCCACTTAGACTGGCTGCTGCCTGATTTAGAAAGTGGTTGGCACCACGTTACAAATACTCTCAATGTATTTTATGCCAGCTTCGCCAGCCTCCTTGTTGGATTAAACAATTACTCAACTTTTTTTTTAATAATTATATTTTGTTTTATTAAGCATAAGAAAAAGGAATACAAATGGTGATAAAAACCGTCAAACTCAGGTAAAAACAGTCAAATCCAGGTATAACAGTCGAACCCAGCTACAAGTCAAACACCGATACCAACCTATATTTGTCAAACACAGCTTCAAGTCAAACCACAGTCGCAACCAGCTACAACAACAGTCAAACGGGAGCCGGACTTTTTTCCAAAAGACACTTGCCTGAATGCGACAAACGCCTAAATGGACACTTTCCCGATTTTTTTTTTGGCAAAAAATTTTACGGAAATTTAACGTAGACCCAGATAAACACAGCCATACAGCAGTCAAATCCAGCTACTCCACAATTTAACCTAGCCACAAACTGGTACTCAACACTGAATAAGCATGTATGGTAAACAGCCTATAAACAAAACGCTGCTTAACGTTTATTATCCCGGTCATAATTAATGCCGTTCTTTTAAAATCACAGCTCCATTCACCGCGCGCCTAACCCCAGCTACGCATGAACGGGCACAGCTACGCCAAGCTCACCACCATAACGTTGACGAGGGCGCTCGAGGGGCAGTTGGCGTGGCCGGCCAGTGTCTTTAAAACCACGTTATGAACTACACCACGCCTGGGCTGGCTGACTCCATACAAAATGGCGGGCCACCACCGCGATGAGGGGTGGAGGAGGGACAAACGTGGGACACTAGAGCACATGCCGTCACGTAGCGGGTCACCCAACACGGCGTCGCCACAGGCAACCGTCGGAATCAATGAAGCGTGGCCGAATACGGTGCCAGTTAGTTGAAGTTTTTTATTTATTTTGGCATTGATTATAACGGTGCTGTTGTGACGGCTGGTAAAGACGGCTGTGTCGGTAGAGGGGGGGGGGGGGACGACGACGACGACGACACTGAGTAATCTGACGTCTTCATACTGAGCTCAAGGGGTGTTATTTGTTATGACCACAGGGGATGTTGTTGTGACATTGCAGTGGCGTTGTGACACAGTAGGGTGTTGTTGTGATCACAAGAGATGGGGGGGGGGTGGTGTTGTTTGTTATGAGAGGTGGGGGGGGGGGTGGTGTTGTGACATGGAAGTGGGGTTATGACCACAGGGGGGGTGTTCTTGTGATCACCGGCAGGAGATGGGGGGGGGGGGGGTGGGAGTTGAGACCACATGGGTGTTGTTTATTGTGACCACGGGGGGGGGGGTGGAGGCTTTGTTTGACGAAAATAAATAAATTACACTGATTCCACGTGTGGTGTCAAGTAAAACTTGACATATCTTACGACATATCTGTATCTGTCACGCAAGCTGTAAAACTGCCGTGAGACCCCAGAGCTAGACATGAACTGAGTCTGCAGACTCAAGCAGTTCCTTCCAGGCATCTCTTCGGGGGGGGGGGGGGGAAGGGGGTGGCTCCGACCCCCCCCCCCCCCCGGAGAAAGTCTATCTCCCCCCCCCCCCCAACAACGAAATGGAATTTATATAGAAAATATATACATTTAACAGTGTCCGCCTCCATTGTGTATAACGTATAACTATGATCTGTGACCCACTGTGTGGCACCTCGATGTGATATTCTGTTGTGAAACCCCTACGTGAACGTGAAACCCCTACGTGAACGTGAAACCCCTACGTGAACGTGAAACCCTTGTTGAAACCCCTGAAGTGTGCCCGCGAGTGTTGACGGTCAGCAAACACGACACGTCAGGACGCGCTGTGTGCGTGTCGTTAGTCGCTTGAGCTGGCCATGTGGGCGGTCAGCTGACCGGAAGTTGTGACCTACAATCGGGTCCTGCCCACGACGCGTGATCTCTACACATTTCCGGCGAGCGGGTCAATCGGCTGTTCAAATTGACCAACGCTGCTCGGGATCGCGTGGACCTTTGTGTGGTGGGGCAACGATATCGTATAGCCGCTCAACAGCCACTTGTGTTCACGGCTGACTGACCAATCTCTTCAAGTGGTCATTGAAAGGTTTATAGCCCGTTGAACTCGAATAGATCGAATGTCTCATTTGGCAAGTGATTGACCAATTAAACTGTTAAAGCTGGGGAGGGGGGGGGGTGAAAAGTGGATGTTTGACCACGTTCCAGCCAACAGTGTTTCTTCCAGACTTTTTTCTCCGGGGGGGGGGGGGGCGGTAGACTTTCTTTGGGGGGGGGGGGCGGACACTGTTAAAAGTATATATTTTCTATATAAATTATATAAATTTCATTTCGTTCGGGGGGGGGGGGGGGGGGCGGTAGAATTTGAGCCAAGTGGGGGGGGGGGGGGTGAGACGAAGTAGAAAAATATATGATTAAACACACAAAATATATACTTCAACCAGTAGTTGAGACCATGGGCTTACACGAAAAACAGAATGATTAAAGATTACCGTATAGCTAAAAACGGCGGTGATTCAATTAACAATTCAAGCTAAAAATAAATAAAAAACATTTGATATTCCGTATGTCCCCCAGGACTGGAGCAAACGAAACTAATTTAAGGGAGAAAAGATCGATTTATCAACGACTCGAAGACCTCGCTAGGTTAGTATGAAAAATAATGGCACGAATCTGTACGATAACAGTATGTATAGGTCCGGTCTCCGCGTTAAGTGGGGAGGGGGGGGGGGTGTGTCTAGGAATAATAAGACGTTCCATTGCTAATAGGGGGGGGGGGGTCAAAGAATAAAAGACGTTTTAATTGTTACTTAGGGAGATCAAAGAATATAAGACTCTCTATAGTTAGTCAACGGTAGAGGGTAAAAAACAACAACATATGGTTAGGGGGATCCAGGAAAAAAAGACATTCTATTGTTGGGGGGGGGGGGGGGCAAGAATAAAAGATATTATATTGCTTGGGGGGGTCTAGAATAAAACGTATTGGTACGGGGGGGGGGGGGGTCCAAGAATAAAAGACATTCTATTGTTGGGTTGGGGGTCCAAGAATAAAAGACATTCTATTGTTGGGTTGGGGGTCCAAGAATAAAAGACATTCTATTGTTGGGTTGGGGGTCCAAGAATAAAAGACATTCTATTGTTGGGTTGGGGGTCCAAGAATAAAAGACATTCTATTGTTGGGTTGGGGGTCCAAGAATAAAAGACATTCTATTGTTGGGTTGGGGGTCCAAGAATAAAAGACATTTGGTGGGAGGGGGGGGGAGAGAATAAAACAGGCATAGGTATGGGGGGGGGGGGGCTAAGAATAAAGGTCATTCTATAAAAGACATTCTATTGTTGAGGTGGGGGGTCCAAGAATAAATGACACTATTGCAGTTTTGGAGGTGCCCCTGATGGGGGTCAAAGAATGAAGTGTGATCTACAGTTGGGGGGTGGAGGCTAGAATTGGTAAGAGAACAAATAGATTTGATAGACAGCTGGGCAGGGGGGGGGGGAGTGGGGAGAAATTACAATTTATTCAAAACCTATTTCTATGGGGCAAGTCAAGTAGAGTTCACCTGTTTCTGTGACCTCGGCATATGAAGAGATAGTGTGGTCAGCACTATGCCCAGCCGCATTTTCTTTCACTAACATGAGTTAGGTACTCAGCAGAGCTAGGTGGACTCATGGACGGTCTACTGACTTGAACCCAGATTCAAACTCAAGACTTACTGGTTAGCAGTCTAGCGCTCTACCGTTAAACCACTTCATCCCTGGGGAACATTCAGCTTAAGATGCAGCCGGATCTGCCCTCCCTCCCCACACACAATACAACAGCCTCTTTTCTTCTCCACCACCATCCCTCTATAATTTTTACAAATGGCAACAACACAAACTATCACTGCCATTAGAGTAACTGGATAGAAATATTTCTACACTGGGCTAACAGATTATTTCTCAAGTTCACACTAACCTAGACTAAGAGAAAATTGCTTAAGTCAGACTACACCATTTTAACAGAGGTCACACTACAACAATATAACAAAGGTCACACTACACAATTATAACAAAGGTCACCCAACACCAATATAAGACAGTTTAAGGTCACACAACACTAATATAACAAAAGTCACACTACAACCATATAACAAATGTAACACAACACCAATATAACAAAGGTCACATTAGTTTGGTCATCATAACTTTTCAAGGTCATCCAACCCAGCCAGCATAATATTTCTTTGGGTCATCTAACCTAGTTAATCCTAAAAAGGTCACTCTTTTACCTGTGTTGGCTACCACCAGGTGAACCACAGGTCAACTCTCTCACCTACAGTGGGTGACTGATGTAGGCAGACCTGACCTACTCACTGTCTACACATTTCACCCTGAGCCTACCACCCTGCTCCATTATAGAACTCCACTCGAATCCAATCATAAAAACAAATCTAAAGAATTATTTTATTAACACGTTCTTCTAAAACATTCACATAATAAAGAAATAAAATCCTGGTCAAGGGGAGGTAACCATAACTTTTTTGAATTGACTATTCAGGTAAAGCAAGTTACAATGATACCAAAATTTTTACATATTTTTATTTCCCATAATTTTTTGGTTGAGTGATGACAACTGACTCCTGTAATTCTAATCGCTATGCACTAAAGTTTACAAAACAAACATGAAAGACAAGGTTAGGTAATTGAAAGGAAAAAATAACAAAAAAAATTCTTATTTTATAAATCTTTTATGTGAAACTGAATTTAAATGCATACAATAAAGAAAAATTGTTTAAAAACAAAATGACATCTGAGCCTGATTATTTACCATTAGTCGAAAGCAAAAATACTTGTTAAATAATCGATAAAAAAAAGACGTCTGAACTTAACTATTTACCATTAGTCAAAGCCACTGCAGCAGAACCGGATGTGACACTGCAGGTTACGACATCCACTGGCCGTCGTGGGGTAGGGGTCATCAGGCATGAAGTCACAGTAATAAAGGTTGGCGTGGTCCAGGCTAGTGCATGTTGAGACCAGGGTGGACAGGCCGTAGCCACTCACAGAAATACAGCCAGAGATATCCAGGTGAGACAGGTGTGGGGTACCTCTTCCTCTAGCCAAGGCACTGAAGATAAAGAGGTTGTTAAGTATCAAATAAACCAATGAAAATTATGAGAAAGAATTCAAGCTATTGGACAAGTACTCTGATTGTTTTACTATTTGGTTCTTTTGTGTGACTGTGAATTAAATCTAGTGATTTATTACTTAATTAAAACAGACTGATAGCTTTTTGAGTAAAAATACTAGAGCGTTGATTTAGATTTATCAATTCTATTATGTTATACATTTTTTAAAAAAATTTAAATTATCAGCCAAGTTTTAGAAATTAGGTGCCACAATGTTCATCAATCTTGTTAACTTGGGTTGAGAAATCAGAACAACATATTATGGTCCAATAAAGAGATCATGTAGCAACCATTTCATCTGACCAAACAACACAACCATTTTAACTGACCAAACAACACAACCATTTCAACTGACCAAACAAAACAAACAACCGACCAACCAACACAAGCATTTCAACTGACCAACCATTTCAACTGACCAAACAACACAACCATTTCATCTGACCAAACAACACAACCATTTCAACTGACTAAACAACACAACCATTTCATCTGACCAAACAACACAACCATTTCAACTGACCAAACAAAACAAACAACTGACCAACCAACACAACCATTTCAACTGACCAAACAACACAACCATTTCAACTGACCAAACAACACAACCATTTCAACTGACCAAACAACACAACAATTTCAACTGACCAAACAACACAACAATTTCAACTGACCAACCAACACAACAATTTCAACTGACCAAACAACACAACCATTTCATCTGACCAAACAACACAACCATTTCAACTGACCAAACAACACAACCATTTCGTCTGACCAAACAACACAACAATTTCAACTGACCAACCAACACAACCATTTCAACTGACCAAACAACACAACCATTTCAACTGACCAAACAACACAACCATTTCAACTGACCAAACAACACAACCATTTCAACTGACCAAACAACACAACCATTTCAACTGACCAAACAACACAACAATTTCAACTGACCAAACAACACAACAATTTCAACTGACCAAACAACACAACCATTTCAACTGACCAAACAACACAACAATTTCAACTGACCAAACAACACAACAATTTCAATTGACCAAACAACACAACCATTTCAATTGACCAAACAACACAACCATTTCAACTGACCAAACAACACAACAATTTCAACTGACCAAACAACACAACAATTTCAACTGACCAAACAACACAACAATTTCAACTGACCAACCAACACAACAATTTCAACTGACCAAACAACACAACCATTTCAACTGACCAAACAACACAACCATTTCAACTGACCAAACAACACAACCATTTCAACTGACCAAACAACACAACCATTTCAACTGACCAAACAACACAACAATTTCAACTGACCAAACAACACAACCATTTCAACTGACCAAACAAAACAAACAACTGACCAACCAACACAACCATTTCAACTGACCAAACAACACAACCATTTCAACTGACCAAACAACACAACCATTTCAACTGACCAAACAACACAACCATTTCAACTGACCAAACAACACAACCATTTCAACTGACCAAACAACACTCACCACAGGCCAGCATCAGAGATCCTGTAGCAACCATTTAAACTGAGGTACTCCAGCTTGCACACTTGTTCGTCTGGCTCCACTTTGTTCTCAAGACTTTGACCAACATCTACCCCTGCCTTCACCCCATTGCCAGGCTTGGAGCTATGAAATGTTCCAATATTGATGTCTTGGCCCCTGGTATCACATGTGTTAAGAATCAGACCACTCCCCCCACAGCCTAAAGTCCTTGGAGTGGGGGGTCGGTCCAACCCAGCATGGTCGGTACAGATGTCTGGGTCAAAGTTGAAGCTTTGTAACTCTTCAGTTAAACAAAACATTGAAAAGTCACTGGAGACAGAAGTAGAAGAGTTCTGGGTGAGAAGGTTCCCGTCAGATTCAATGAGCATGTCTAGGTAGACGTAGCTGAGATCACAATCTTCGCTGCTGACTCTAGAGACGGCAGGCGGTGATGCTGTGGTAGGCTTCTCTACACAACGGCCGCCACCACTGGGGCAACAAATTACATTTGCTTCTAGTAACTTTGTTGTACTCGGGCAACAAATGACATTTGCTTCGAGTGACTTTGTTGTATTGGGGCAACAAATGACATTTGCTTCGAGTGACTTTGTTGGTGTGATCTCAGGAGCTGGACGCCTCTGGCAGCAGGTTGAAACTTTACAGGGACACAAGGCCGGCAGGTTCTCTATCTCCACATGCTCCCCCTCCTCCCCAGCTCTCCCCTCCTCCCCTGCACAGGACAAGCTGAACAGCGTCAGGTCAGTGATGTTCTCACACCCTGTCAGGTCCAAGTGGCGCAGCTTGGACATGCGACCGCTGACCCCACATCTGAGGATACGTCAAAGAATACATTCATTTTAAAAAAAAGAGAAAATTATTAAACTAAATTAGTTGTTTCATGATGATTTACATATTTAAATATTGTTTGCAACCAAATGATTTAACATCTTTGGTTCTTGTAAAGATACCGGCATATAAATGCAGTATCAAAGCATAGCTTTTTCAGAGACCATAAGCAATAAGAAGATAGCTTCAATATCTGTACTGACATTCCATATGAGAACATATTTCAGGTCAGGTAAAATTTAAAACAACTCACTCTTTAAAGGCATCATCCCCAACTTTAGTGTGGGTCAGGTCTAGAACCTCCAAGTTAGGGCACAGCTTTAGAATCTTGTGCACCTGTTGGTAGAGATTCAAAAGTGAATGCACCATAGGAGATGGCTATTAGGGTTATCTAGTGTACCAACATGTGAGAAAGGTAAAGTTCAGGTAATGAAATACAGTTATGTAACCCATCACAATAACAGAGTTAAAGAATACTGAACCCTGGGCATCATAGATTATAATAAATAAATAATTATTTTTTTTTCCTTCAAAGTATGGCTTACCTGTTATTTTATTTTTTTTCCTATTTTTATATGGATAGCAAATTAAATAAGTGTTATTTATATTGTTTAGAAAATACAGAAAATCCCTTTTTAAGTTTGATTTCACATGAAGTTGTTTTTAAGTAACATTTTACAGCCAATATTGCCTTGAAAGAGTTTTACAATCTTACCAAGCTGCTGCTTAGCCCCCGGCTATAGGCCAGGTCACATACTTTCACACCTTGACCTACATGTGGCAGGAGATGTTTCACAATTGCCGTTATCATTTTGGCTTCTTTCAGAATCTGAAAAAATTAATAACATTCATATTAAAATGATTTTTCAAGTTTTAATTTTTAATTAAGAAACAGCCAGAACAACTTCGGTAAAGAAATCCAAAGCTGCTCACATTAACATGTTCACAGTGAATATGATGCAGTGACATGGCATCTTTGTGAGTGAAAAATAATTTTTAATAGATCTAATTATTATTGTCAAATTTTAAATTTTAATAAAATGTTTCAAATTAGTTTTAAAATCAAGTAAAGCTGCTATCAACATTGCACTGGCTGAAAGGTGCCATATTTTTCTAAGCATAAAACTACTGGGACTGAGACAGGGGTAACTGACATTTTTTTGCTCATGTGTTTCATATTTACACAGATGGCTAAATAAAGATATTTTTTCAGCTCATCCATTTCAGATTTTTATAGATGGCCTTGTAAACTAATATTTCTAGCTTATTTATTTTGAATTTACAAAGATGGCTTAGTACAGATATTTTTCAGCTCACCTGTTTCAGATTTTCTGACTCCTCGTGCTCTGGCTCATCACTATCTGAAGAGTCATCAACATCCGCATCTTCATCCATACAAACATAGGAGTCTGCTTCCTCCTGCTCCTGACTCCCATGTCCAAATCCTACCCCATCCACCCCACCCACAGGCTGAGGGAAGAAGCTCCAATTACCTGCAATACAGTATGGAAATAAATATATTTTAAACCTACGGATGTATTGGTTTTTTAAGTCTATGAAATGATGTTTCAAATGTAAGTTATAACCAATGAAGCTAAAATATACAGGTTATGGTAACCTAATGCCACTGACAAAATAATGTAAAATGTAGTATAAGGTGTTAAAAGATGTGAAAGCAATCAGGTACATGAAGCCATTTTGAAAATATGAATAACACGAGTTATGCATGGAAAAAGTGAATAAAAGTGATTACTAAAGAAACTTTCAGATTTGTGTACCTTGTGCCCAGTGAACAGGGTAAAGTTTGGACCACATTAGGGGATCTTTAGCCAAGCTATTCCACCTCTGTGACACCTGACCTATTCGAGCCAAGTCTTTTGGTCCCAGATACGAGAAAATCTTTTGGCAGATTTCATTGGGGAGATCATGGAAAAAGTCTTCCTTCTTTTTATCTCCTTCATCACAAGAGCTATCAGCTGTAAAGTAGCAGTTTCAATCATAGATTTTGTTTGAAAAACAAATATTGTTAATTTATACATTTAAAAAATATGTATACAGCGACTATTTTTAGAGAAAAAATGGAATATACTGACTATTGCTATATGTTCTAATAATTAGCAATTTTCTTTTCTATCCTCTAAAACTAGTGAAATTTTTTTTTAAATTATGAGGAAAGAATTAAAATATCCATTCTATGAACAAGAACAATTATGTAGGAGATTTCTTTGAGTTTGTTTTTTTCTATAATTAATAATCCCATAATGGTTAAAATATAAAACTAAAACAATAGCCATAGAAATAACTGCTACAGATAATAGTATAAGTTTATTTGGCTGTTACTGAAGTAAATAAATGTATGATAATGACTTACATTCACATGAGTCTGCAACACACTTCTCATGTTGAGGGGGACCTCGGCTGGCAGGGATATAATGTTCCCTGATCACTTTGTCTTTAAGTTCTTTCAGTTCCTCATAGCTGAAATACTGCATCAACATGGGCTGAAACACCTGCAGACAGGAACAACAAAAAACAATTCTTGGTTTAAAGTTATTTTCAAAAAAGGGTTAAAATTGGAACACTATGATTAGACTTAAATTAATGTGTATATATAAAAAGTAAGATGACTTTAGGTTTTAACCTCTTCCTCCTCTTCCATGTGAGGAATAAAATTCTGTGTAAAGTCCTCCAAGGCATGACGCAGCTTTCTCCCATAAGCCTGGCGTTCACGTGAAGTTTTATGGGCCCATCTGGAAGATATTTTAAATTGTAATTTAATTTTTATTTTATTCCAACATGTACAACAAAATTAAAGTGTTATTTGATTTATTCTTTTAACATAAATTATCAATGCTGAAAATAGTATATTAAGTATCTTACAGGAAATAATTCAAAACAATAATTATTGTGCTAACATTAACAATAATCGTTGTGCTGAAACAAAACTTTAAGAAAGACAATTTGAATATTTTATAACTATTATAAACGTGTAGAGGGGATGGAATCAGGAGTTGTCACTGAAATAGCTATAGAAACAGAAAGTGATATTTCAACGCCAAGGGCAGACAAAGGTACAGAATCCGCGTGGATTGGAAGGTTCGGATCCCGTAGGGTTTAAAACTGCTCTGTCTCTACTTGGACATTTTCTGTACCTTTGTCTACCCTTGGCATTGAAATATCACTTTCTGTTAATTCTATTGCTATAACTATTGTACAACTTTCTATTGACAATTTAAACTTACTTGTACCCATCTGCGACAAGATCAAGCATGTCTGTCAATCTATTGTCACTGTGACAATTACAAACTGCAGCGCTTGTCACACAAGCAGCCTTTAGTTTGCTTCGAAGCTTCCGCATGATTAGCATGTTTTCAATCTGTTCATGAGCTTTGAACTCAGAGAAGACATTGAGCAGGTTCTCCAGCAGTGTGGTCAAGTTCCTTTCATCTCGGAAATCTGTTGTGGTGATCTGAAATTGTTTTTATTATTTATAAAACTATAGGCAGTAAATCCTTTGTGGTGACTTGAAATTTTTAAAAATCATTTTTAAAAATATAGCCTAGGTCTAGGCAATAAATTGATATGTATGTGTGTAATGATTGCTCATGACGAAGGCTACTCATATATGTGTCAATCTGATTATATATTATATATATATCTGTCTAGTTCTTTTCTAAGCCTTGCATTCTAAAAATTATTTTAGTAGTAGTAGACTAAAAATAATTTAAATTTTTGCATGAAAACCAAATTGGTTTTGTTTGTTGATTGGTTATAGTAATATAGCGTGCGGCGTCAATTCGGCCAATGACGAAACGGCCCCGTCAAAACGACCCCGTCAAAAGGGCCAGCGACATATGGACCCCGTCATATAGGCTCCCGACAAATAGGCTCCCGTTATATAGGCTCCAGACAAAAGGGCTCCAGTCAATAAGGCTCCTGACAAATAGGCTCCAGTCATTTTGGCTCCCGACATATAGTCTCCCGTCATTTAGTTTTTTCCACAAAACGGCCCCCGTTATTACGACTCCCGACAAATAGGCTCCCGCCATTTAGTTTCTCCACAAAACGGCCCCCGTCATTACGACTCCCGACAAATAGGCTAGCGTCATTTTGGCTCCCGACAAAAAGGCTCCTGTCAATTTGGCTCCAGACAAAAGGACCACTGACACAGTGGCGTAGCTGCCGTAAAGCTAGCGTAAGAAAGGCATGGGGGCCCAAGGCACATAGGGGCCCTTTTCCCTCAGAAAAATTAAAACTTTTACAATGGAATTTTAATATTTGTTACATAAATTATTTTAAAATAGAAAAAGGTTAAAAGTTCCAAAAAGCCCCCCCCCCCCCCCCCCCCACCGTTTCGGCAGTGGGATTCAGTGTTTGTGGGTCAAACAGAGCCCAATCGTTATAATAACACTACAGGCTATATCACTTTGTCGTGCAAGACATTTAGAGAATCAGCCTATAAATAAACTTTTTAGCAGTAGTAGGCAAGCATAATAATATAGTATAAATACAAAATCAGGACATATAAAATACAAAATGTTGCCTTCAGAATATTTATATATTAAAAAATATCCATCGTAAGTAGAAGTTGATCTCTTCGTTTAACTCCTCTGTAGCCTAACGCAGAGGTGTAGCGAAGGCGAGGCGGGGGGTGCGGACCGCACCGGGTGACACCATTTAGGGGGGTGACACTGACATCAAGGCAAAAAATAGCAAAATATATAGAGAAAAAGTTGAGGGGGTGGGGGTGCAAATCGAAAGTTTGGGGGGGGGTGCAAATCGAAAACTTGAAAGTTTGTCCCCGGGAAGGGTCGCAACGCCTCTGGGGGGGGGGGGTGACACCATTAAGTGCCGCACCGGGTGACACCCGACCTCGCTACGCCACTGTGCTTGTAGGTTATCAAAACAAAATGCTGTTATGTTAACATCATGTATATCATACATTTACACTTCTGTGCTCGCTTTTAAGCAACAGATTTTTTCTGTTGTAAATTACACATTATCAAAACTTTAGAATTGGTGGAATTTAGCTGTTAAGGGCTCGATTTGTTTGTGAATTAATGTTGGTTCATGAAAAAATAATTTCATTCGGGCATTAAAAAGAGGTTATGGTGGTATTGGAGGTAGGACACAATGGTTACTTTTATGCCAATAGTGGTCATATCATTCATTTTTCTGGAGCCAATATGTCGGGAAACATTTTGTCAAAAGCCAATATGTCGGGAGCCCAATTGCCGGGAGCCCATTTGTCGGGAGCCCATTTGTCTTGAGCCCTTATGTCGGGAGCCAATATGTCGGGAGCCGCTTTGTCGGGAGCCAATATGTCCTGAGCCTATTTGTGAGGGGTTAATATGTCGGGAGTCCATTTGTCGGGAGCCTAAATATCGGGAGCCCATTTGTCGGGAGCCTATATGTGGCAAGTCAATATGACGGGAGAACATTTGACGGGAGCCAATAAGTCGGGGCCCTTTTGACGGGGTCGGTTTGTCGGGAGTCGATTTGACGGGGTCGTATTAACGGGGCCGTTTTGACGGGGCCGATTTGTCCCGGGCACCTAATATAGAGTCTAGATCTAAGACTATTCTAAGATTTTACTTTTATTTTACTACATTGTAACATTATCATTATATACGGAACTATATCTAGCCTATTGATCTCTATTCTTTATTATAGTTATTATTGTTAAATGATCATAAATGACATAAAACATTATGTGATTGATTATGAATGATGATGATGTAATGCACAAAATGTGGAATCAGCACTTTTGAAACACTAGAACTAACTTAAAACCTGAAGATAATTTTAATTTACTAGCAGTCGATTCTATTCTAGATATCTAGATCTACAAGTTGTGAGCCAGACTACACATTTGACTGCAGTGGTTGATGAGTTGATGTCATTCACATTTGTGCAAAACAAAACAAAAAAGTAAACAAACAGTCAACACTAGTCAACAGTCAAACAAGACCACCACAATCCAGAGCTATGGGTCCATCAATTTAAATCTAGAAACAATAAAAATTAGGCAGTGAGATTACGATTATTTACAATGCATAAAAAAGAGCAAGTTGCTTAATACCATATCACTATATTTGTGAACAAGTGTTTTCATTCTGGAATGAGGAACGGAAAACACGTCAACTTCTTCAGGCCAACTGGGCGCCATTTTGATTGTGTATTATTAGACCTGCGAGTTTGAGCTCTCGCGTGAACTGGTGACGTCACGTTGGCTTGACGACGTTGATATGAGTCGGCTTTAAATTTGATAAGTTCAGGAGTGATAAGTACTGCTCAGAGTGATTAAGTTTAAAGAAGTTGTTAATTTCATTAGGAAGTGTTCGTAAAGGATCTAAAAATGGCCAGAAATCCTTACGCTAATACGCAGATGCAAAATTTCTGGAAAGAAACTGTTGAGAAAGAGGCATCAGCGAGGCTACAGTCGTTTGCTAAGATGAGATGCCAGGAGCGGAGCAAACCACGGCAGCTTGAAGTTTTCCGTAAACGAATTGAGGATAACAAACCATCCGATACCGTTTTTGAAAAACTGCCTCCTATTCAAACCGAGGCGAACTTCTCCCGAAAAAAAGCCGACCTGAACGCCCCTTTGGGCTTGGACGCCGTCACAACCGCCGTTCTTGAGGCGCCAGAAATGAGAGCGCCCTCGCCCATGGTTTTGAAATCGCTTTACGACGGGTTCACGAAAGAGGAGAAAGGCAGATACATCTATCTCAAGCAGCGACACCAGACGATCCCGGAGGTCAAGTTCGCCTTCCCGACCCTGTCGTCGTGGGAGTACGGCTGGAGGCTGGGTGACGTCATCAAAAAGGAGGACATCAAGAAGCCCAAGTTTGGCCGGACTAAAATCGTGGAGGACACCTTCTACACGAGGAACGGGCTGATGAGTGAGTACAACAGGGTGCACTAGGCTCAAGACTTTGGCTCACATTCCTACACAGTATTGTAACATGTAAGTGTGTGGACTAACTGCTTCGGGATGTGTTGGTGAATACTTCATGCACGTGTATGTGTATATTTAACATTCTAATTTTGAAGGGAATAAGATCGTGAGTGGTAATTTATAACATAAATACTTTCATTAGTTCTATTGTACTACACCACCCATAATTTGGGTACATATTTTTTTACAATGGTCGATCAAGCCATTTGGCCTACGTCATATATGCATGTTTCATTTAGCTCAGAATATTTCTAACATGGACTGGATTCAATAAATTTGGACTGGATTCAACAAACAAGGTCTGAATTCAATAAACATGCTGACATCTACAAGATTCAACAAACATGGACTGTATTCAACAAACATGGACTGGACAACAAACACGGACTGAATTCAACTAACGTCTGGATTCAACAAACATGGACTGGACAACAAACACGGACTGAATTCAACTAACGTCTGGATTCAACAAACATGGACTGGAAATCGAGTAAAAAAACAGAATTTTTCTAATTCGTGACGAAATTTCTTTCTCTCATCAACCTTGACATTTAAAGTTTCTGTAAAATTATGTTAATGTAGGTTTGATTTGTCGTTACTTCAAAAGAAAATGTTCTGTTAAAAAATATAATGTTTTAATAACACAATAACCACAACGTGTATTGTATAAAAGTGTGTGTGTGTGTGTGTGTGGATGTATAAAAGTATGTCTGTGGAGTAGGTGTGTAAATAGGTCTATGTCTTGTAGGTTTGGTCTGTGTGTGTGTGCTTGTGTGTGTTTGTGGGTGTGTAAAGATATGTTGGGTGCGTCACTAGTTTGGTGTGTGTGAGTCTGTAACTCCTGGAGAGAGACAAATGTGTGTGTGGGTGTGTGTGTGTGTGTGTGTATTTTAAAATTTTCATTATGATGACACTATGTATTTTTTAAAAGTTACATTATGATCCCACTATGTATTTTTAAAGTTACATTATGATGCCACTATGTATTTTTAAAGTTACAATATGATGACACTATGTATTTTTAAAGTTACATTATGACGCCACTATGTATTTTTAAAGTTACATTATGATGACACTAAGCAAATGTTACAATTTTGCCTTGTGAGATTTTGTTACCAACTAGACCAGTATTTTACAGAACAGTGGCCCGCGGGCCAACATCGGCCTCCTTAATCCCGGCTGTATGAAATGGGCGTCAATACCACCATAACACGACACCTCTAATCTCCGGTCAATAGCTGAAATCAATACATTTGACATTTTTATAAAGAGAATAATATCTGTAAAGCACTGCTCTAATGGTATGGTATTTAATGTTAAGTAAACCTTTTGCCTACGTTTGTATTTTTGCAATTATTAGCTTTATGTACTGTTTTTTTTTCTTCTTGTAAACATCATGTTTTCATGTTCACTGTAATATCTACAAAGTGATATACTCGCTTTATTTATGGGGAGGAGGTATTCTTTATATAAAGTGTCTTTCGTTATAAGGACATGGGTTGGGGGTGGGATTGGTGCTTCACCAGACATCAATAGACGTATAAAAAAATTATTCGAACTGCGCAAACAAAGTAACGAAATAAAACCCCTTTGGTTTCCAAACATTGTATCAAGACTTGTCCGGAGCTAACAAAAAGGCGTACCTTTTCATGGCCATTGACGTGGAACGGGATCGATACGACCCAATTCTTATATGTTAAGACGGGGGAATCGCCGGGACCTATTCGAGAATATCGATTCCAGTGGTATTGATCTATCATGGGAACAACGTGACTAGATTTTTTTTTCTTCATTGCTCCAGGCATGGTACGTAGACTTACCTAACGGGTTGAAACTGGGAGGGGGTCTTTAATTATGAATACGGAGGAAGGGGGAGTAAGTAGGAGAAGGAGATAAAACGAAAAAAAAAGGGGGGGGGGGTCTTTGAGTGGTTTAAAGGAATTAAGTTTCACTTTGGGTTAAGGACCAAGGAATGTTTGCAGTAAGAGGTGATACCACCAGGCATAATCGATCACCAAGGGGGGGGGGGGGGGTTAGATAACCAGGGTGGGGTGTAGATATAGCGTAGTGCCTACAGGTAGTGGAATGTTTGAGATCGTTCCCATGTGCTCGAGACGTCTGTGTTTGTGGTCGCTAATGTTGAGTTACCCCCTGCGGTCTATTGAATCTGTAGACAGCCAGATCCGGTTACATTAGTTGGTTAGTGTGAAGGGGAGATAATTTGGTTCACAATATTCATAATTTTATAGAGGCGTATATCGGCATCCATAAATTACATTACTTTATATATATTAAAAATATTTAAATTAAAAAAAAAAATTAAAATTACGACGGCAGTTTAAAGGAAGCAAATGACTTTGAGCTTTTTGTGATAATAAAACTTCTAGTTTAAAAGTACATGATAAGGTTTAATAGAATAACGTGTTAAATAAGTACAATTTAAATTGCTCCACATAAATCTTGGATCGACAGGTAGTATTCTTTGCGGTTAGAACCTTTTGTTTCACGCGTTAAAATGATTCGCATTTTAAAAGTGCATCCTCTATTCATCCCTCGGGCAAAAGCCCTTCACAACCCCTTGACCGAAGGGTGGCAAATTTTAGAGAAGGTGGCTGTCGACTACAGCCACGGGTCCCAGTGGCTCCCCAAAGGCAATGGGCACAACAGCTAAGGATAATAGTCCCTTTGATATAATAGACACAGGGCCAACGGATAAGCCCCAACCCCAAATCCCCACTCCACCTTCCCACGGCTGAACGACATTGAAAGAAGTGTGGGGGGGGGGCGGCAAAGTGGGGGCTGCAGGGTCGTGGGGCGGGGGTGAGGATTCCCACCGGATGACACCATTTAAGGAGTGACACCAAAGCGCAAACATTTACTGACAAAACAATGCTTTATCCTGCTAAAATAATACTAAAGGGGAGGGGTGACAACAACCAAAAAAAAATGCAAAGTTGTTATAGGTGGGGGAGGGGCGACACCCTCAGTTACCACACCTGGTGACACCCGAGCTAGTGACGCCAGTAGGACACCTTATTTTCTCATTATGAATACAAAAGTTTTAAATAAAATGTGCTTTTAAGTTAAAAAACAAGTAGATAACCTGTACGTTTTTATTCTTAAGCACAAACATACTTTGTTAGAACAAATTTTCATATCAATGAATGTTTTATGTTATAGAACTGTAAGACTTTTTTTTTGTAAGATAATCACAGCATGAATATATCGAAGCTGCTTTGTGTGTATGTGTATGTGTGTGTGTGTGTGTGTGTGCGTGGGTATTGGGTCATCAATAAATGACGTCACGCTTTTTTGGACGATTTTTACCTCCCCCTCCCCTCCGTCACACGTCGTCACAAAAAGCCAGACCCCCCCTAAAATGACGTCACACCTCAGCCTACAACCCCCCCCCCCCTCAAAATTGCATGTGAATTTTTTTTAAAACATCGATATTTTTCTAAAATCTAGTCTGAACTCTGTCAACATAGAGTATTTTAATCAATTCTTATTACAATTTATTAAAACAATTTTCCAAAACTTACGGACCCCCCTCCCCCTGCGAGTGTGACGTCATTTATGGACGACCCCCGTGCGTGTATGGGTGTGTATGAATGTATGTGCGTGTGTGTATGTATGCGTGAGTATGTGTGTGTGTGTTTGTGTGTGTGTGTATGTGTGCTTGTGTGTATGTTTGTGTGTGTGTGTGTGTGTGTGTGTGTGTGTGTGCTAGATCTACCGGTAGCCGTTCCTGCTCCACGACATGCCATACGACCGGGTGAGAGTGACACGGACGGTGTTTTATTGCCCTGATCCATTGTCGCCCCCCCCCCCCTGGCGTCATATCCGGTACAGCCTAATGCCGTGTTGTGACGTGTCTGTGCTGTCAAAGTGCCAGTGAGGTCCGGTCGTGGTGCCACGACATTGGCGCACACCAGCGACGTATCAGTGACATGACACGGTGTCCTGACATTGGCACACGTAAGCGACGTGTCAATGAAATTGATTTTCTATGTCAATATGTCAACGCCCCCCCCCCTTCCACCTACCACCATTGTTTATTTTCTTCTTACTACTGCGCAGGTCGAGTGGGTCATTAAGTTATCAAAAAGCACATTCCGCCTACTTACCACCTCATAGTATTAAAGTTTTATGACGATTTTGTGCACCATGGAGTTGGTTGATCTCAACAAGTGTACTGTCCCTATGTAATATCCCTTTGTACGATCCCCATATACTGTCCCTAGGTTATGTCCCTATATAGGCCTACTGTCACTTTTTAATGTCCCAATGTAATTTCCCTTTCCTGCCTTTATATACTATCCCCATATACTATCCATATGTAGGCCTTCTGTCCCTATTTAATGCCCCTATGTAATGCACCTTTGTATTATCCCCATATACTATCCACATAGACTGTCCTTATCTAGGCCTACTGTCCCTATTTAATGTCCCTATAATGTAATGCACCTGTGTATTATCCCCATATACTATCCCCATATACTGTCCTTATCTAGGCCTACTGTCCGTATGTACTTTCCCTATGTAAGCCTGCTGTCCCTATGTAATGTCCCTTTGTACTATCCCTACAAACTGTCACATTAGTTTCTAAATACTATATACGGTCCTTAAGTACTTTAACGTGTGCACAACCACCAACCCCCACCTCCCCCATCCCCACACCCACGTGTAAACCTGTGACCCACACGTATAAACAGTATTATAATCTTGTACATTCAACCAAGGTTGTAGATAATATAACATTCACTGTTTATATAATTTTTATATCTAAAACAAAAACATTCCTAGTATTAGTATTCCACAACTTGCTTATGCAAGCGATTATTGCCCCTTTCAGTATTGCCCGTCCATTTATGCTACATTTTGTGCAGTAAAAAAATTTCAAGTGTCTTTTCAGCTGTTGTTATTTATTTATGTCTGTTTGGTTAATGTAAAATGCCTGTGTGGTGTTGTGTACGGCGTGTGTAATTATGTGTGTAAGGTGTGTGGAGTGGTACGTGTTGTGGTTGGGTGATGTGTGTGCTGTAATATGTAAGTGGTGTGTTGAATGTGTTATGTCTCTCACACAGTATTACCGTTAATTAACAAGATTTGTGTATGGTAGGCATATACGTATGTACTCATCTCTGCGCTACCAGAACACACAATCAAATTTATAAATACGGTATCTAATGAAACAATCAGAACTCACAATCAACTGCATAAATACGGTATCTAGTGTAACAACTAGGACTCATAATAAACTGCATAAATACGGTACTTAATGAAGCAACCAGAACTAATAATCAACAGCATAAATACGGTATCTAGTGTAACAACCAGAACTCACAATCAACGGCATAAATACGGTATCTAGTGTAACAACCAGAACTCACAATCAACGGCATAAATACGGTATCTAGTGTAACAACCAGAACTCACAATCAACGGCATAAATACGGTATCTAGTGTAACAACCAGAACTAATAATCAACGGCATAAATACGGTATCTAGTGTAACAACCAGAACTCACAATCAACGGCATAAATACGGTATCTAGTGTAACAACCAGAACTAATAATCAACGGCATAAATACGGTATCTAGTGTAACAACCAGAACTCACAATCAACGGCATAAATACGGTATCTAATGAAATCACTGGCTTGGTTGATCATGTTAAACAAAGGAATGCACAGAACTGTTACACATTGTGGAGACTAGAAAAGATGTATAGAGCACACAGTGCGCTCCTTTGAAAGCACTTTGATATATGACAAATCAGGGTGTAGTTACGATATATAGAACAAGCGCCATAGTAAATATATTTGTGTAGAACAAACAGGGGGTGTAGCTAATAGGGGGAAGCCAGGGGAGCGTCCTGGGCATTATTAGATTATATCGGCGAACATTGGGGAAAGTGTTTACTATCATCAAGTGTAATGTTATGTGTCTGCTATGTTTAGCATTAGTATTTATAGAAATGGAATTTATATAGTAAAATATATACTTTTAGCAGTGTCCGCCCCCCCCCCCCCCCCTCTCCCCTGGAAATTTTAGTCCAGCCCCCCCCCCCCCCCCCCCCCGGAGAAAAAAGTCTGGAAGAAACGCTGCTTTTATGATAGTCTGCAGGTTAATGACACGAGCTGTTAAATATTTACCTATTTCTCAATACTTGTCTCATAAAACAATCGAATTAATGGAATTCCAATTTTAATAATGTAGTCAATTTTGTTTAGTGTTTAGTGGATTAAAGGTCAAACTGTGAATGCTTTGCAAGGGAAATAAATCATTGATCGCTAAGACTGGCCGGAAAACTGGAATTTAACTCTATTTAACGACATAAAACAATAATAATAGGATTTGAAGTTTAACATTAAGAAGAAATGGAAGAAACATCTATTCTCCAATAGAAAATTATAATGAGAACTTCTTTTTAAACTTCCATGCACATAACCGAAGGCAGCCCAACATAAAAATATGTTGCCGTTTTTACAAGCTTTTATTTAACTCACTTCCTCGTCAGTCTGTCGTCAGTCGTCAGTCTGTCTAGACGGAAACGCAGGAGTGAAAATTCGGACAGTTCTACTTGACCGACACGATTCACAGTTGGCACGTGGGTCAAGACATGAAGACAATGCAATCTGAAACTAAATTTGACTTAATTGGATGCCTAATTGATTTTTTATGAATTAATTAAAATTTGGACCGAATTAGTAGGCATGTCTAGCCAACCACACCACACGCGTCATCAATAGCTGCGCCATCACGACCACGTAATGGCTGCGTTCAAAAACCATTGCGCGCCTACTGAACGTGATATTCAGTAGGCGCGCAATGGTTTTTAGTCATGTAACTCTATTGTAGATAAAACATGTAAAGTACTGAAAAAAAAATTCATAAAAAACGTTTTAATAACAAGCTTTTATGTAATGATGCACTAAAAAGTAGAAAATAAATTATAGACTACTATTTAAATAACTATAAAGAAAAGCGTGGGTGTCTTCCATAACATTAGTAAAGGTATCCAATAGATACTAAAGTGACCCACGCTTTTCTTTATAGTTATTTAAATAGTAGTCTATAATTTATTTTCTACTTTTTAGTGCATCATTACATAAAAGCTTGTTATTAAAACGTTTTTTATGAATTTTTTTTCTTGATTAGAAATACCGTGTTTCTAAGGAACCTACGGCAAGCTCATAAAGTTGTAGATGATGTTAATTTGTTAAATGTTAAGTAGGGTGTTAAGGAAAGGTTAAAGGTTTTGGAGTATTGATATTTTTGTTTTGTTTTCTGAAACAATAGTTTGAGCTATTCTCTCTCCACGCGATTACAAACTAATAATAGGGCTCAGAGGCATAGCGAGGGGGGGGGGTGCGGGGGGTGGGCGGGGGGGACATATGTCCCCGGGCGCCGACCTTAGGGGGGGGGGCGCAAAATTGAAAGTTTGAGGGGGGGGGGGGTGCAAATGAAAAGTTCGAGGGGGGGGGGGGGGGTGCAAATCGAAAGTTTGAGGGGGGGGTGCAAATGAAAAGTTCGAGGGGGGTGCAAATCGAAAGTTTGTCCCCGGGCGCCGGGAAGGGTCGCTACGCCTCTGATAGGGCTACATGTCCTAATACATGTACTGTTACATTTTTATTTTATTGAATTTAGAGGACAGTGTTTTTATACAACAATGTATGTAATATTATGTAATAATGTATTCATCTAACTAATTATCTTTGCTGAATTATCAAAAAATTCCGTTTTACTCGACTGCTGCGCTTCGTATTATGCTTGGTTCGGCTTTTCAGTAGCGTAGCGAGGGGGGGGGCATATGTCCCCGTGCGCCGACCTTAGGGGGGCGCCAAAATGGGTTGGAATTGGTTGAGGGGGTGCAAATCGAAAGTTTGAGGGGGGGTGCAAATCGAAAGTTTGAGGGGGGGGGGTGCAAATCGAAAGTTTGAGGGGGGGGGGGTGCAAATCGAAAGTTTGAGGGGGGGGGGTGTGTGCAAACCGAAATCTTGAGGGTGGTGCAAATCGAAAAGTTTGTCCCCGTGCGCCGGGAAGGGTCGCTACGCCTCTGCTGCTTTTGAATGTTTAACAGTAATTGTGTCACCAATATTATTATTAGAATATTGCCACTGTATATCGTTAAAAAAACACCTCCTAAGTAAAATAAAATGGTAGTGATCTCCCCTAAACTTTCTCGAATATTCTTATATAAAACTACAGGGGATGGTAACTGGGGATATAGTTATGATCTTTAATCCATTTTAAATACTGAAACTTTTAAAAATAGAATAGAATCTCAGTAAAAAACAATTGCGCACCAAGCGAACGCCTAATAAAGGTGTGTATAATAGTGCGCAATAGTATTAGTACTTTATAAATTTACATTAGTTTTTTGAGAAATCGGAAGTAGCGTAAAGTACTACTTCCGGTCAACGGAAATTACTCAAAATTTAACAGAAGGTAGAGAATTAGATCTTTTACTTACATGTGAAATTTCATTTATCTATCTGAAATAGTACTCAAGTTATAGGCTTTTGAAAAATTCAAAGTAGAAAAAGTACCACTTCCGGTTATCCGAAATCGCTCAAAAGTTGATACGGATCTACGATTTTGATATAATACTTGTATATGAAATTTCATCAACCTAGCTGTAACGGTACTCAATTTATCGTGTTTACACACGGACACACACACACACGGACACACAGACATACGGACAAGATTGCAAAATTATGTTTTTCCGTATCAGTGAGATGTTAAACGTCGAGATTTGCAAAAATCTCGATTTTTTTTTTTTTGCACGATTACAAGACTTTCTCTATACTTCGTATATACGAGAAAGTAAATATATACGATGTTTAATTGTTAGTATAAAAGCATATTTAAGTTGATTTCAATACGATTTATTAATCGGGAATATCTATTTAGTGATTATTACTTTATGAAGTCGACAAGACAAAAAATATTTCCTTTCAAACACCATCAGTAGCTCGCAATATAAAAGACTATTAGATCCATTATCTGACGTGACCGCATTTTATAGACAACAGCGAGCAGATAAAGCATAGTTCTTAATCATGTGACCTCCCCTTAGTTTCAAATCATTTAAAAACTATAGGCCTATTATCTAGCCTTCACTAGATCGACCGGCTCTACGATTGTAAACATTCTCGTGAACCACAGCTCCCCAGACTCTTTAGTGTGATCGCCCCTTCTGTAAATGAATATAGTACTTTATCGAGTTATTTAATTTTGTTAACCCCCCCCCCCCCCCCCTTGTTTCGAAACCATTTAATTAATTTTCAATGACTAATTAAACATCTTATTAAATTAAAAATGACCCCCCTAACCCACCCCCCCCTGCCTACGCCACTGCTCGACAGTGTTTAGCAGCGTTCAATTTAATATAAATATTTTATTAGAGAAATGCCGTAGCCTAGGCCTAATTTTTTTAAAAACAACAATTTGTGCTGTATAATATTCCATGCAAGTTTTTAATTCAACTTGAACTTAGCCCAAGATCTAGATCTAGATTAGGCCTAGTTCTACCGCGCGATTAATTCGATCTCCTGAATCTCTCTAGCTCTAGCATAGGACCTGAACTTTGTTGTGGATAATCAAATCATGAGTTGCTTCGGTAATAATAGGTCTACTAAAAATATAATTCAATATCTAAATAAATCTATTAGATCTAGATCTATATGACTATAGATAAGTAGATAGTACTAGAATCTAGAATAATCTAGATAGATAGGGCTATGCTATGTACATGTAGTATTGCAGCTATAGGCATAGACTGCCATAGAGGGGGTAATCTAAAAAAATCTATCGTTCTAGATCTATCTAGCCGCGGGCGATTTTAATTTTACGTACCTAACTTTTACTAGATCTAGGTCTAGTAGTAGATAGATCTTTCTAGATTCTAGTAATGTACGAAAAAGTTACCGCATTGTCAAGGCTTTAATAGAAGTATAAGTATATTTGTGTCAAATAAAATAGATAAATGAATATTATTTTATTTTTAACCCTAAATTAATGGCTAAATATAATTAAATATAACAATATTATTATTTGGTAATCTATCGTTTTGGGTACGTAAAATCGCCCGCGACTTGTAATTTGAAAAACAGGTGACTCCTTAAATTTTAATAATTATTTCACATTTTGAGGAGGATTTATGTTTTTTAAAATACAAAAATGTTTCATTTATGTACCTGTTTTTAAACAATTGAATTAAAACTTTTCAGTAATAAATAAAGACTAGCGATGTTTCCAACAGATGCAACCATGCTCATTTACTATAGCAGCCACCTTGGCAGTTTGCCAATAAGTAAATTTAAATAGAGGTGCCACATTAGTTGTATTTGTGTCTATATTGTAATTTAAAAAAAATAAATTACACGATTTAAACTGTATATATAAAGTAATTATGCTATAAGTTTTATATGTAACATTTTCTAATTCAACTATTGGTAAGCAAATACAGTATACAGTTGCCTTAAACTTAACACCCTACTTGCCAAGTGGTACTACCCGTAGAGGTTTTTTAAACATTGCAATGCATCGTAATGGTTATTTTTAGAATGACAAACTGATACAGCTGCTAATACGTGTTGTAAATGTTGACTCTACTAGTCTATTACTGTTATAATTAATTGCTGCATGAAATAAATCTTGTGATTTGCATAGATGTGCCGACCAAAGATAATTTTTTAATAAATATCAATGTTTAAAACTTAAAGTTTAAAAAGTTTCCAAAAGGGCGCCACTTTGCTAAAAATGGCCAGAGGGGGAGCAGGGGGAGTGGCTGCTCCCCCCCCTGCATAAGCTACTGCGTCACACCATCTAAACTTCTCATCACACACCATTAGGCCTGCAAAATTACGACACATCTTTACACCAAGAAAGCCTATGTCCCACATATAGGCCTGCATACCATTCAACATTAATAGCTAGTAACTTGTATGACACTTCAACTCAAAAGCTGTTTCAGTACTTGGTAGAAAAATTGTATCTGCACTGCTTTTTATCTAAGCACTGATCCTACTTCTAACAGGAATACTGTTTATTATACCTGTGTCATTTTGGCTTTAAACAAACCTTAGCCTGGGTCAAAAACAAGCAAGCACCATTACTCTGTTTTCATATTTCTGATCCTAGCCCCTAAAAATTGTGCTTTATCTATATTGTTTTATTTTTTTAAGCTAAAGTCGTGGATCATACAGGAATAGAGTTGGTGTGCAATCAAAATTTGACAATTACAAATTTATGCCTGGAGGATGGTAAATATTGTAGTGTATTATTATTATTAAAATATGATTATTGATTAGCAATATGTATGTAAAATCGAGTATTTTAATGAGGGTTTTATTTCATAAATTATGTTTAATTTTTATTTTTTAGCAGCAGGAGCCAACAGTGAAACTACTCTTTTTCTGAAAATAAGAGATGAAAACTTCACTTTTAGCCTATTTGATGAAAACAACTTGCATATGGGCCTGAATATGCAGTTCCCAAAAAGATTCAAATTGTCTTTATTTACAAGGGGGCCAGGTATAATATCTTGGTGGTTTTATTTATTGTCTTATTTCCTGCTATGAGTGTTTATAAAAATTCCTAAAGCGATATGATTGTCTGGGAAAGGGGGGGGGGGGGGGGAGGGGGGTGTAGTAACAGTTATTCTCACAAATTTTGTGCTTTCTTAGGTAAAGTTCATGTCTTAGGATATTATGATGAACAAATTACTGATGAAGATGAAGAGATTGTTGATGTTTTTGGTATGTAGACCTACATTCTCATTGTTTTTCTTACTTTTTTAATCCTTTACAGTCAATAGTCCTACTCTCCAATATAGTTATATAATATAGTGCTTTATGTTTCTCTGTAATAACTAAGATTAAGCTGGTCAGAGAGTTTAAAGCTGGACGAGATGGTGTTATTGTGTAGTAGAGAGCAGGACTGTTAACCAGAAAATCAGGAATACTGTATTCAGAACCCTAGTCTAAAGGCCACAGAACGTCACTACGTCCATTCAACTATAAGGAGTCTCTGACACATTAGAGATAGTAAACTTCAAGGCAGCCAGCCATAGCTCTGACCACATTATTCCTTCATATTTTATGGTCATAGCAAAATGAGAATCTCTACCTTACTTGCCCTATTGACCTTGCAGCCCAAAAAAGATTGTGTTTATACTTTACTTTTAGAGCTCAAACGTGTAAGATTTTAATTTCCAAGTTGTAACATCAGCAACTTTTTTTTTGTACTTTTTAAAAAATTAAGAATAAAAAACTTTAAGATTACTCACAATATAATATAATAATTAGCGATAAACATAAAAATTGTTTTAGTGATTGATCACGCTACATACTGTAGAAAAGGAATTAATGCCAGTGAGTGCATTAACAATTTTTTACATTTTAAATCTTTAGGCAAAATTTGGGGATTTTGCAAATGATTTTTCTTATAATATATAAAAAGTATATTTAAAAATCATTATTCTTTTTAGACTAAAACAGTCATAGCTTGGACTATTTTCCTGTATTATGTTTTTTTTTAAGTTTTGTTTTATAACAAATGACATATTTTTAAAATATTCTTGAAAAATGTGTTATCTTTTTGCTTTGCTATACAAGAAGTAATCTTTAGATGCTCAGACAGTAAAGTGTTAAGGACAGTTGGTATATCTAAAATTTAAATATTGATATTAATAGTTTTGCTCTGAAATTAAAATTAAATAGGAGATATTGGTTTGGAATGTTTTCTTAAAATCCTATATATTGGCTATGTTTATGTTTGAAATACATCCAGATATTTTAAGTAACCTGGTACTCTTTTTTTTTTTTTTTTTTTGCAGAGGAACATGCCGAGGAAAAGAGAAAAAGCCACATGGGCTGACCCTAATGTAAATGTTGCTAATGACACATTGAAATTGTAAAAAGAAATAATGTTTTGTTATATTAAAGCATCAGTGTTGTCTTTTTAAAAACTAAATTGTGATTGTTCATTTTTAAAAATCTATTTATTAAAAGATGTTTCTGTTTAGACCTATTGACCTCACTACAATGTTAACAACTACTAAAGTAAAACTTCCTAAAAAAATTGAGTCAAAATCAGACAGATGTTTACGAAAATAGCATGTTTTAATAAACTGCTAACTGTGGCTTCAGTAACCTCAGTTTGATTGATTTGGCCGGGGACTGGAACATTGGAAAAAGTCCCGGTGGGTATCTTGTATCTGTGATATAAAATTAATGGACACAGTGGCGTGGGTAGGGGGTATCATAACCCACCCCTCCCCCCATAGACCCCTCGGTATATAGATAAAGTATGAGGGGGGTGCAAATCGAAAGTTTGTCCCAGGGTAAAAATTGGAAACACACACCACACACCCCCCCCCCCCCTTTGAGACGACCCTGGATACACATAGGTTGTTTAACTAACACCTCCAATTTGCCACTTGAGTGGAAATAGTATTATGCCTCTATTTGAAAAGTCTATCTTGATGATAGCAGTTAAACTTGAGGAGAGATGTGCACATCATGGGGTTGGCTCTACAGTTTGAAAATAACATTAAACTCGAGCTTTTTGCTCTTTCATGTAATGTTTGCAGACGCGGTTGTGATGTTAGTTTTATCATCCAAATTTCACACCAAGTAAAACACGCGGATGTATGTAGGCCAATTTTTCAATACATTCGCATAAAATATAAACTTACAGTAAACTCATGTTCAGACATATTTCTGTTGGCTGTGTTGTTTTGTATTATGCTGTACAGGGGCAACAATGACAGACCCGTGGGGGGGGGGGGTGCGTTTAGGGGACCCAAAAACCTACCCAGAGCATCGAAATAGATGTCTTTATCACATTGACCAGTGGTTTTTGTACAAAAACATCTGCTACAGCAGTGATTGTTCTACTGTAACGAACACACAGTTTTATAGACAAAAGAGATGTCTGGAAGAAACTGTTTTTAACAGTCTTTGCCTGTTTACTTTCTAGTATACCCCCCCCCCCAACGCACACATTCCCCACTACCTCCTCCGGAAGTTTTAATTAAATGCCGCTCCCCGGAGATAAATTATTATATCTAAAAGAAAAACCGGGTAGCCTATTTGTAAAGAGAATAGAGCTAAAAGCTACCAGAATTGCTCGTGTAACTGGTACCGATGGCAAGTTTAAATTTTAATAGAAAAGGTGTTTTTAGTTTTGTGCTATATAATATTCCTTGCGAGTTTTTAATGCAACTTAGGTAGTTTTAGCGCGCGAAAATGCAATCGTTTTGTTGCAGACTGTAGCCTAGGCCTACCGAGAATCAAGATCTAGACTAGAGAAGAAATCTTAATTTTATCGCTGGCATATTTTGTTGTGGATAGTCTAGGACTAGGATAATGAGTGTTTTTGGTAACAGACCTAATATAGATCTAGGAGTAGAATCTAATCACTTTTAAATTTAATAATAATAGTCTTTATTCCTAATTTAATTTAATACCTCTCTAGATTCTAGAACTACTGTGCTGAACTGTCTCCTCTGAGTAGGGCGTAGGCTAGCTCCACTCATCTGACTAGATTTCTAAACTTTATTAGATTTCTGATCTAACTAAACTTAAACTAGCCTAACCCTGCCCTAGCTAGATCTAGGTCTAGAATGGCCAAGTGGCAAGTAGACCTAGAATCTAGTTATTCTAGAATCTAGATCTATTACTAGATTCTAGGTCGATCTAGATAATATAATATTATTCTAGATTCGGTAATCTATCGTTTTGGGTACGTAAAATCGCCCGCGGCTATTAATGTACGAACACGTTACCTCATTGTCAAGGCTGTAATAGAAGTATATTGTGATATGTTTGTGTCAAATATTATAGATAAATGACTAATAAACCTAAATCAATGGCTAAATATATCAATATAGGCCCGAAATTAACTTTAAACAGTAGTGTCTGCAAGCAAGATTTGCTATATAAACAGCAGCCATTTGTAAAATAGAGTGACTTCCGCCTGAATCTTGCGCTATAAGTCTATAAAAATAAAACTTTAACAAGATGGCTGCTATAGTAAATGAGCATGGTTGCATCTGTTGGAAACATCGCTGGTGTTCATTTATTAATGAAAAGTTTTAATTCAATTGTTTAGAAACAGGTACATAAATGAAACAAGGAAACATTTTTGTATTTTTCAAAACATAAATCCTCCTCAAAATGTGAAATAATAATTAAAATGTAAGGAGTCACCTGTTTTTCACATTACTAGTCGCGGGCGATTTTACGTACCTAAAACGATAGATTACCCTAGATTCTATCTATCTATACTATTATAAAACTATTATTACTATAGTATAGGTAGAATCTATATTATTAATTAATAATTATAGACTAATAATAGAGTTTAGATCTTCTTTACTTCTTATAGTCATATAGATCTAGTGGCTTATAGATCTAGATCTACTTATCTAGATCTAACAGTACAGTTTCTTAGCAAAGATGTCACTGACTGGGTGGGAAACATCAAAGATAGGATTGTTATAGAAAATCCAATAGATCTAGAATAGAATCTAGTAAAAGACACTAAAATGTTTATAGATCTAGAATAATATAGACTCTAGAGGGAGATTCTATGCCATATATAAATTATATATTGATTATGGGGTCGTCCATAAATGACGTCACATTCGTAGGGTGGGGGGTCCGTAATTTTGTGAGGGAGGGGAGGTTCAGATGGTGCAACGTGCATTATAAAAAAGCAATGTTAGAAAACTAATTTTAGACGTTATTTCGCGTTCTAGAAAACTATTAATAAATTATAATAGGATTAGGAATTGAATACTCTATTTTGACAGAGTTCAGACAAGATTTTGGAAAAATATCAATGTTTTAAGAAAAAATCAACTGCAACTTTGAGGGGTGGGGAGGTTGTAGGTGTCATTTTAGGGAGAGGTCTGGTTTTTTTTGGGGAGGGGGGAGGTAAAAATCGTCCAAAATAGCGTGACGTCATTATGGATGACGGTGACTATGGACTATAGACTAGCCTTTTAAAAATTTTATTTTTCAAAATAATATAGATCTAGAACCTAATCATTTTTCTAAGTCTTAATAACATCAGCACTTTATTTAAGTAACACAATATATTACTAAATAATAAATATAGATCTAGGAAATTAGCAAAATGCACGTGCATTTTAATCTCAGAGTTGAGTAAACCTTAAAAATATTTTCTCAGGGGCTTTTAAAAGCAAATTCCGTATTTATTAAGTTTTGCAATTTAACTAGATCTATAGCTAAATAATGATAGGCAAATAGTGAAATAGTCTGTATAATGTATATACTAACTTGGTGTGGATATGTATAAATTATATATGTGTATATATATATATAGATCTATATGTGTGCAGTGTTTCTTCCAGACTTTTTTTCTCCGGGGGGGGGGGGGTGGGGGGCGGACACTGTTAAAAGTATATATTGTTTTCTATATAAAAGCCCCCCCCCCCCATATATTGTTTTCTATATAAAAGCCCCCCCCCCCCCTATATATTGTTTTCTATATAAAAGCCGCCGCCCCCCTCCCCCCCCCCCCCCCTCCTCGCCGAAGAGATGCCTGGAAGAAACTCTGTATGTGTGTTTAAGGGCCTTCCATCTTTCTTCACATTTTGATTTAGATTCTATATGTTCATCTTAAGTCGGAGTTGAGAAGTGCAATGTGCTGTATGTAGGGTCTACCCTATATTTTTAATATCTACAGTTAAGAATAGGTCATAGTAGCTCTAAGCTATCTATAAGTCACAATTTTGCTTAATCTTTTTTTCTTATTATCTTTGTAGCAGCAATTTTAGATAACACGGGCATTGAGTTGGTGTGCAAACAAACCCTTACAATTTCAAACTTTTGCCTGGAGGATAGTAAGTTTTCTAGTCATCTTCTTAATTCTAGTATTGGAAGGGATTCCCTCCAACACAATTGTTTTATGTGTCAACTTGTTATGTGCCATTGACTAGGATTTTAGCCTGCTTTGCTTTTTAGATTCGCTTCCATAGCCTTTGTCCAACCAAGAACATACTGCAAGGCAGAAGCTATTCGATTATAGAGTCTCTCCAAGGCTGTCCCCAGCTATCAAGCCTCATCTGCCCGGGGGTTCGAACTCGAGACTTTTCAGTTCATCAACCATGAGCCAAACGACCCGACCACGCTGACCTTCAGTCTTCTAGTTATTTGTATTGATTAGTAATATGTATGTAAAATATAACATTTTAATTGTTTTATTTCATGTTGTTTGAGTTTTGTTTTTATTTTAGATACCAATGGAGAATTTACAACACTGTTTCTGAAATTTGGAGAGCAAGCTTTTGCAATTTGTCATTTTAATGAACATCATTTAAACTTACATACAAAGCTGAGATTCTCAAAAGGAGAAAAATTATGTCTGTTTACAAGTGGACCAGGTATATTGTGCTTTAAAATTTGTCTTCTATGTTCTGTAATGAGTGTTTCTTCTCAATTAGATTTGGTTGTTTAAGTGATTGTAACAGAACAGTTTATTAAAAGTATATTCTCACAATTTTACATTTTTTTTTTTGTTTTCTTAGGAAAAATTCATGCCATTGGCAATTATAAAGAAAAAATTGATGAAGATGATGGAGAAATTCCTGATGGTATTGGTATGTAGACCTAGTCTCATTCTTTTACTTATATCTTGTTTAACTTGGTTATTTTTAGCCCTGTATTGTCCACTTAATTTTTTTTTTTTTATGTTGTAGCCTATATATATTTATGTATATATAGGTTTATATAAATGTATATATTTGCCATTTTACATAGGGCCTATCTATATGCTATTAGTTTTACTTTTTAAAAATATAAAATATAATTTTTTGGGCTTATTTATATTTGCATTAAAAGTATAATGATTTGTTAAAGTAAAACTAATTAAGATGCTTCTGATAATTCATTTAAATTTTAAAATATGATATAAAAAAGAAGTCATATCCAGTGACTATTATTGTTATATATTTTTTGGGGGTTTGATCTATTTTATAAACAAGTATTTGTAAATCATTAATCTTTTTGACTTACACACACAAGAACCTTAGACTATCCCATATAGTTTTTTTTTTCAATTTGCTTAATAACTACTAGAAGTAGCTTTTCATATCTCGACAACAGAGGGTGATCAACACTTTGGCCTACCTTCTATTTAATAATTTATTGCAATAACTAGTTTTAATCTTTTTCATATTATTATTAAATAAAATAAGAGATACAGCAGTATATATGATTTATACTGTTTTTTTTTAATCTGTAAATTATGTGCAATACAGCCTTCCAATATTTTCATGTTTGAAAAACATTGTATTCTGTTGTTTGTTTGTTGTTTTTTTGCAGAGGAAGATGACGAGGAGAAAAGAAATGGCCATATGGGCTGACCTGACAACAACTGAATAGTTTAAAACAAGTTTATGATTTTTAATAAAATACTCCTTAGTGTTATTGAAACATCAGTGTCATCTATCTTTTTGTACATTGTGATCATTCATTTAAATAATTTAATTTAAAAAAAAATAAAGCTGTGTGCCTAATTAGTTTTCAGCCAAACAGTCCACTGTATTCCTTCTTATACTTGTAAAAGTTTGACAAGTTAAAAACAGAATAACTGATCTTTTAGCTATGACCTGGGACTTAATGTGCCTGGTCACCTTATTGATGAAATTGTTTCTGTCAATTGCATCTTATTTGTTCACTCCAGAGGCAATGTCAATACACAGAAGAAAAGGAGGTGCGTAAGTGTACAAACTGTATGATACTTGGAGCCTAAGCTTAATTAAAAGTACAGCGGCTATCTGAAACATAATTAATTTAATTATGGCTTGTTCAGAGCAGTCCACACCTTGTAAATAGTTTGAGGGATGAGAGTTAAAGAACCGTTCAGATAAAAGTAAATTAAATGAAGGGGTTTTTTTTTTTTAATTTATTGAGAGGGGGGGGGGAATTGCTAAGTTTGAAGGTATACTGGCAAAAGGTAAATGGACGTTTCAGGAAGGTTCACTTCTTCAAGCACCTTGGCGCAATACTATCTGTTACAGGAAGTAAGCAAAAAGTATTTGCAAGAATTGCCTAAGTAACAGCCGCAGCATTCAGTAAATTAAGTATTTTGGCGTGACAATAAGACTTTGGTAAGTACAAAAACTAGCCTCATGTTGTCTATCTTCCTATAAGAAGGACATCCAGGCCCTCGAAATGAGATCACAGTGGCGTAGGCAGGGGGGTTATAACCCCTCCCCCCCCAATGTGACTAGGCCTACCTTTTTACGTTAAGCTACAGCTATTGACTTGTGTCGATATTATTTAGGGCTTAAACACTTAAGCCTGGCAGCCTCTAGAACAACAATGTAGATCTATATCATTGTGATGAGAATTGCCTGTAGAATTTAGTTACGATTTTTATTATCGTGCTAAAGTAATGTATAATAATCTGGAACGCAGTAGGCCAAGGGAAAGTTCAGTTTCTTTTTCTTCCTTCCAGGCATCTCTTCGGGAGGGCGAAACCCCCCCCCCCCCCCCGAACGAAATGACGAAATGAAATTTATATAGAAAATATATACTTTTAATAGTATCCGCCCCCCCCCCCCCCCCCCCCCCCGGAGAAACAAGTTAATTAAAAAGTCTAGTGACATTTAAGCGCAATTTCCTTATGTTATCTAAAAATAGCTCTGTCGTAGCGTAAATCAAGAGCAGGGTTAGTAAAACCATTGGTTAAAATACATGTTTTATTTACAATAGAGTTACATGACTAAAAACCATTGCGCGCCTAGCTACTGAACGTGATGAGGCAGCCATTGAACGTGATGACGCGTGTGGTGTAGTTGGATAAAAATGCCTACTAATTCGGTCCAAATTTTAATTAATTCAAAAAAAATTTTGTGACCGGACGAAAGGATATTTTTGAAAACTTTCTTCGGCAATATTGTCCTAAATTATTTCAGGAATCGATTGGTACGTGTTTCAAGTCGCTAAGTGGTCTGGTTGCCGAGATATGGGCAAAAAACTGCATTTTTTCGAGGTTTTTTGGCTTTTCCAGGAAATCCATGAAAGAAACCCGGAATTTTTATGGCCTATGTTCATCCTCGTAACTTGCTTAACATAATTGCTGTTGGAACTAGTCCTCGATATTGCTTCATTGAGGAGGAGATACGACTTAAAGCTGCGGACACACATTCATACATTCATTCATCCATTCATCCATCCAGAAATGACGGGTTAATAAACGCAATTCTCCAGAATGGAAATTGCGCTAAAAAGTCTGGAAGAAACACTGGGTTAGATCAGTTAAGGAGTGTCGAATGGGGAGGGGTGGGCTACGTGGGTAGGCCTTTGTTTAATATGCTTGTGGTGCAACGGGAAAGCGTCTAGAAATTAAAAAAACAACAAAGGAATTGATTATTATTCGCATTGAGGTTCTATAATGTGTATGTTTTTACTGCTTCAAAACATTTGAAATTCATTTCACTAATGGCGGATGAAACAGGGAAACTGAAAACTATTTAATTTTTAAAAAGATAAGTAAACTGAAAATGATAAAGATGGCAGAGGACACAAGGTTATCAGTTAAAGGGTGTAACGGGGGGTGAGGGTGGGTTTGAATATGGGTACGTCTCAATTACTACCGGATGCACATCTGGCAGGAAAGCTTAGGCTTGACCCACAATTGTTGACATAAAACTTAGTGTTGGTAGATATAAAAACTGCGTAGGTGGTTAAATATAGATGTAGAGCCAGGAACATACAGTAGTCATTTTTAGACAGAAAAGAAAGACCAATAATTATTTATTTTCTTATTCGCATAGTCGTGTTTTAATGTGTATCTTTTTGATACTTAAAGCAATTTAAATTCATTTTAATGATGTCGGATGGAAAAAGGAAATTAAAAACTACTTTATTAACTGATTTCTTTACAAAGAAAAATAAAACTGAAAATGATAAAAATGAAGATGGTACTATTGCTTCTCAAACTACATTACATCAAGAAATTTCCATAAATTCAACACCTTTGACTGTGTCTTATGCAAATGATATCGGCAATTTTATCAAAGGAGTTATTACAGATGATACACGGTTGTATTTATTAGAAAACATCTGGCGTCCTGATGAACTTTTTAAATTTCCAGCAAGCGGACAAAGAAATTTAAAGCTTCAATATTTGTGGCTACTTAAGTGGAACTGGTTGACTTATTCCAAATTACTTGATGGCGCATTTTGCAAATATTGTGTTTTGTTTTGTTTGAATTATGATGGTGTAGGTAGTCAGCCTTTAGGTAAGTTATCAAAAATTCCATTTTCAAACTGGAAAAAGGCAACAGACAAGTTTAATGAGCACCAGCAATGTGAATATCATAAAAGAGCAATTTTACTTTCCCAAAATCGTAAATCGGTTATGGAGAAAAAATAGAACCTATTAACATCGCCTTGAACTTATCATTAAGTCAACAAATTCTAGAAAATCGTTTAAGGTTAGCGCCCATATTAGAAACTATAATTTTTTGCGGCCGACAAGGTCTTGCACTTAAGGGGCACAGGGATTTCGGAAATTTTCAGTTGGAGGATCCTGACGAAAATGATGGAAATTTTCGAGCTCTTTTGGGTGGAGACGAAACACTTAAACATCATCTAGAAAATTCTTCAAAAAATGCAAGATACTTAAGTCCCACCATTCAGAATGAAGTGATAAATGTGTGCAATAAATTAATTGTTCAAAAGATTGTTTCGAAAATTACTTCTGTTAAATTGTTTTCTGTCTTAGCCGATGAAACTAGTGATATAGCTGGTATGGAGCAATTTTTCGTTATGTGTTCGCTACTATGATAACGACATAAAGAAAATAAGGGAGGATTTCCTACAGTTTGTAGGTGTAACTGATCTAACAGGCAAAGGACTTGCAAATGTTTTAATGGACACTCTAGCAAATTTACACATAGACGGTAATTTTATGATTGGTCAAGGATATGATGGAGCCGCTGCAATGAGTGGTCGACTTCATGGGGCGCAACAATATGTTCCTGAGAAATTTGATTTGACATAATTTCCAGTGCATCTCACAGTCTAAACCTAGCACTTTCTGATGCCTGCGAAGTACCAGCTGTGAGAAACTCTATGGGAATCATTAATAGCAAATACAACTTTTTTAACACACCAAAACGACAATCTTTGCTTGCAAATTCAATAGAGAAATTAACACCTAAAGCATCAGCATCTCGACTTAAACGATTGTGCGCAACCAGATGGATTGAGCGTCATGAGTCTGAGTCTGTCAACGTTTTTATACAACTTCAAAAAGCAACTGTTGATGCACTGGAAATTATGTCATCCTGGCACGATACAACTTTTTCAACAGCGGTTCAACTTTTAGGAGCAATTAGGAGTCTTGAGTTTCAAGTTTCTCTTAGAGTTATCTCAAAAATCTTTGCAATAACACTTCCTGTCAGCAGAATACTCCAAACAGAAAACTTTGATCTATCTGCGGCTCTAAAATTTACAGAAGATTCGAGTAGCCTACTGGTGAATATGCGGAAGGATGCTGAATCAGAATTTACTACCGTATTTAAGAAGTCAAAGACATTTGTGAGGACTTCGACATAGATATACTTATTCCACGTCGAGCTGGAAAACAAATTCAACGCTGCAATGTGATGGCAAATACGCCTGAAGAGTATTACAGAATAGCTGTATTTATTCCTTTCCTTGATTCGGTTATATGTCAAATAGGAGACAGATTGCTAAAACATAAATCTGTTTTGAGAGTTTTTATGTGTCTTTTACCCAATGACTCGGGTTTTACCAAAGCACAGGAAAAGAATGCCATTTCACTTATGCAAAAATATGAACGTTTGATTAACAGCAGTGTCATCGATGAAAGCATTGGAGAACTGAAACTGTGGTGGCGCCACATTATTACAAGTGGAAATGTACGCTCATCAAGCTTTTTTAATGTGTGACGTAAAAATATTTAAAAACGTACTTGCGAAATACTACTTGCGAGGATAGACTAAATGGATTGGCATTATTAAATATTCACCGACAAATTGAAATTTAGCAGATGAGATTCTTGATGAATTAGCCAAGAGTCCAAGAAGACTTGAACTACGATTGTAGGTAAGTAATGTTATAAATACTTTTTCTGTTTGCTGTGTTCTAGTATTGTTATTGCGTCTTCTGAATATATATATATATACACACACACACACACACACACACACACACATATATATATATATATATATATATATATATATATATATATATATATATATATATATATATATATATATATATATATATATATATATATATATATATATATATATATATATATCAGTGGCGTAGCGAGGTCGGGTGTCACCCGGTGCGGCACTTAATGGTGTCACCCCCTCCCCAGAGGCGTTGCGACCCTTCCCGGGGACAAACTTTCAAGTTTTCGATTTGCACCCACCCCCCACTCAAACTTTCGATTTTCACCCCCCCTCAAGTTTTTCTCTATATATTTTGCTATTTTTTGCCTTGGTGTCACCCCCCCCCCTCCCTAAATGGTGTCACCCGGTGCGGTCCGCACCCCCGCCCCCCCCCCTCGCTACGCCCCTGATATATATATATATATATATATATATATATATATATATATATATATATATATATATATATATATATATATATATATATATATATATAATGCTGGAAAAAAATGGAAACCCGCCCCATGAGACGATCCTGGCTACGCCACTGCCCCCACCGAATATTTCAAGTCCCCCCCCCCCCCCCCCCCCGGCTACGGAGAAAAAAAGTCTGGAAGAACACTACAACTACAAGATCTACTACGTAGGCCTATTTTAACTAAAGAGTTGCAAGTTTTAAAACCATTTTGTGCTGTATAATATTCCTTGCGAGTTTTTTAATGCAACTTAGTTGTAGCGCGCGAAAATGCGATTGGCCTAGATTTTGCAGACTTTAGAATCCCATAGTCCTAACTAGATTCTACCTCCCTTGTCTCGCTGGGATAACGTTTTTTGTGGATAGAGATCTATTTTAATCACACAGTCATGCCATTTTTTGGTAGATCTAATAGATCTAGATCTAAAAATCTCGATCTAGACGTCTATATTATCTATATTCGCTAGATCTAGAGTCTAGACTAGATCTAGAATCTAGAATAGATCTAGATCTAGATCTAGATCTAATCTAGATCTACTCTCAGACTCTGTCTGCTCCAAAACTTTATTCTACTCGATTGATCTAGATCTAGAATAATCTAGATTTCTAGATTCTAGACTAGATTCTAGATCTAGATCTAGAATCTTCCAGTTGTTTAGTTTAGTAGATCATATAAGTGTATATAGTATAGTATTATATAGATTTTACTATACTAGCCCTACAAACTAGATCTAGACTAGTAGATCTAGAATCTAGATCTACCTACATACATAATCTTGTTTACTGTTTTACTGGTACTGGTAAAGTAACTTAGTAAAGCAAAGTTCCTTTTTCAAACCTGACTATCCTAGGGGCAATTGAGATAGAGTTCATCCATTCCTGTGACCCCAGCATATGAAAAGATAGTGTAGTCAGTACTATGCCCAGCTGCCTTTACTTTCCGCAAAGTGAGTTCGGCACCCATTAGTCATTAGTCATGATTAGTGCTGGGTGGACTCAGGAACGTTCTACTGACAAACCTGGATTCGAACTTAAGACTTTCAGGTCTATCTCTCCACTGCTAGGCCATGCCGTCCCCACAGCAAAGAATAGGACATACATAAAGGCCTAAATTTAGCTTTATTTATAATTTATATTCTTTTATTCTTTGCAGCTCAAATTGTGGATAATGTTGGGATAGATTTTGTGTGCATGCACAATTTAATAATTACAAATCTTTGCCTGGATGATCGTAAGTTTTCTAGTTATTTATTACTATTCGTTAGCAATACATATGTAAGGTTAAATATTTTAATTTGTTTTTTATTTCATAATTTATATTTGAATTTTGTTTTTATTTTAGCTGAAGCAGCCAATGAAGGCTTTACCTCCTTGTTCATCGAACACGAGCAACAATCATTTCCATTATGCCACTTCAATGATAAGAATTTACAATTCAGCACCAAACTGAAGTTTGCAGAAGGAGAAAATTTGATTCTTTTTACAATGGGTCCAGGTATGAGATCAGTGTTTTAAAAAATTGCCTTTGTTATGAGTGTTTCTTCCTAATTTGATTGTTGATATAAATAATTTTCTATAAGCTATTGTCATAATTTCACATTTACTGTTTTCTTAGGAAAAATTAGTGTGACGGGGTATTATGAACAAAAAATAGATGAAGATGAAGAAACTGCTAATGTTGTTGGTATGTAAGACCAAGCCTCATTCTTTTCCTTATATTATATTGTTAACTGTTATCTTTTTACCCTTTATTGTCCAATGAACCCAATATGTGTATGTGGTATCGAAATATATACATACATACTATATTATACTATACATAGGGATCCAAAAATGATGTCACGCTTTTTTTTGATGATTTTTACCTTACCCCCTCCCCTCCGTCACACATCGTAGCAAAAAGCCAGACCCCCACCCCTAAAATGATGTCACACCTCAGCCTATAACCCCCCTCAAAATTGCAGTTGAATTTTTCTTAAAACATAGATATTTTTCCAAAATCTTGTCTGAACTCTGTCTATATAGAATATTTTAATCAATTCTGATTATAATTTATTAAAACAGTTTTCTAAAACCTGAAATAATGGCTAAAATTAGTTTCCTAACATGGCTTTTTTATAATGCAAAAGTGTGACGTCGCACCATCTGAACCCCCCCTCCCCTGATCACACACCCACCGTCACAAAATTACGGACCCCCCTCCCCCCTGAGTGTGACGCCATTTATGGACGACCCCATACTTACCATTATCACCTTGTGTAAATATAAATGTTTATATGTATATGTGTTTGTTTAAAAAATGTGGGGGATTTTTTTATACCATTGTCTGATGCTAGAATAGTCTTATTAAAAGGGGTGTTAGGTTACTGGTAATTAACTAATAAAACAAATGGCTTCCTAATGTTAATGCTAACCTTATCCCAATTCTCAACCCTTGTCCCTCATTTCTAAACCATAAAAGTAGTTTAGATAGCAATATTACTAACATTGAATAGGTATCTTCAATCATCCAAATAAAGCTAAGCTCAAACCAGTAACAATTTTTTATGATTCTAAAAATTAAACACAAATATGTTAAGATTTTAAAAATAATAAACAGATTATCACATCATTATACATAAAACAGAATGTTACATTCTAATTACAACAATTGAAAAGCCTTATGTTTAGTAGTAATGGGTACATCATTAGTGTAATCTTATCAATTAATAAATTCTAGAGCATACGAAATAAATAAAATTTGAATGCATCGTTATATAAACTTATTTATATCCAATTAAGACATAATAGAAACACTAAATATTAATCTAATCATAAACTTAACCTGAAACTCTGACAAAAAGTTGAGCTGTATTCCTTACTCGTAAACTAAGGCACTAAAAACTATCATAAATTATGATGGGATTGTGTACATATTATTTTGCACAACAGTGGACATTTCTGAAACATTCAACTGAATTAACAGTACACAAGGTTCCAGTATGCCACTTCCCTTATTGTACTTATAATTCACATACTTTCCCTCCCATTGTGGCACAATTAAAATACTGAATAATAATTTATCAAAACTGTATCTTAAATGTAAGAAATAGCCTTGGAAAACAGAATGTTGTCTGCACTAACTACATAAACTAATATGCACTGAACCCCACCTCATCCCTATAAATCCTCTTCACCCCATGGATTTCTTTTTCTTATAGTTTTACTTATACCCAAACTCCTGCCCAATATCTTCCAGCATGTTGAACAACTAAATAGCCAGTTTGTCTCAGAAAATGCACACAGAATGCACTAAATAATGACATTGTTTATCTGTGACTCTTTGTTTACACCTGCCATTAATTAAACATTACCAGGAGAGTGAAAGTAAAAAGCTGTTTTCTCTGTAATGATTTGACTTTGATGCTTATTATGTTTGTGTAATGAAGTTTGGCAGGTGATGTGTAAATTAAACTTTAGATTCAAGAAGTAGTGTAGGCCTTATGTATTGCTGCTTTGAGCATAGCTGTATGTATTGCTGTTTATTTAAAAAATGTAAACACACATACATACATGCTTCAGTTAACATTTAAATTTAGACATGGCTATAAATGGCTGGAGCAAAGCCCAGCCGATAATGGCTAGTATGTATGTAAATATATATATGTTATGTATATGCTGTTTATTTACTTTATATGAATAAAACCTTTTGCTGCTTTTGGCAATATAACTTCATATAAGTATAAGTAAAATAATTTAAGTCAAACTAATTAAAATGCTTTTAAAATTGAAATAACATTAAATTTAATTGTTTTTCTTGGTTTGATTTTATTTTAAAAAACAAATTATCAGAAAATCATTAATCTTTTTAGAATTAACCATAGAAAGCTTATTTAGTATAATTTAGTATCTTCCAGTACATTGCTTTTTGTTCAATAAATTTAAAAAAAAGATATCATTAAAATATATTGTCAATGAGCTTAACTGTACAAGTAGTAATGTTTTTTCTGCCCTAACAATAAAAGGTTAAGGATATTTGGTAAATATTTAATAGTTGATTTAAATCATTGTTTAACTCTTTTAAATATAAAATTATAAAGGAGACAGATTAGGGTATTTGATTTGTAGTTAAATTGTAATGTTTTTTCTTATTTTGTTATTATTACTATATATATCCATGCAATACAACCTCTAGATATATGTATAAAAAGCTTGATTTTCTGTTTTTTGCAGAGGAAGATGAGGAAGAAATAAGAAATAGCCATATCATTATTATGGACTGACCTCTTAACAAATGCATATCTGTATAAATAGTATAATGATAAAGTTAAAATTGTTAATAAAATACTCTTTAGTTGTATTAAAGCATCCGGGTTATCTATCTTTTTGTACTTTGTGATTGTCCATTTAATTAATCTAGTTGCTAATTGGACAGTGATAAGATCTTGCTAGAATGTTAACCTGGTATAGAGAAAATCTTTTAAAAATTTAGACGTGTTGGTATGAAGTAGATTTTAGCAAATCAGTCAACTATTTTCTTTCCTAACTTGTAAAAGTTAGACCAGGTAAAAGAAAATAAGCGATGCTTTAGGTACTGTCTGAGGCTTTAGGTACCTGGGCACCTTAGGGATGAAAAAAAGTAAAGTACCCTTTTGAACTTTATGGGGCGGTTGAAGTAGAGTACACTTATTCCAGTGACCTCAGCATATGAATGGATAATGTGGTCAGCACTATGCCACTTTTACATTCCCTTACGTGGGCCAGGTACCCATCAGAGTTGGATGGACTCCAGGACATTCTAATGGGCTTTAACCCGGGATTCAAACCCGAGACTATCAGGTTAGTAGCATATGCTCTACCATCTGACCACACCGTCTCATCACCTTATGGAAGGAGGTTTTTGTCACCCTCTTAATTTGTTCACTCCAGAGGCATGTCAGTACACAGAAGGGGAGGGGGGGGGGGGGGGCACAAGTGTACAAACTATATTCTACTTGTATCCTACAAGGTGAAAATACAGCTGCTGTCTAAAAAAAACATTTTATTATAATAATCAGTTACACTTGTTAGTCAAAGTTGATGTTAACTACTTGCTTGTCTAGAGCTGTCCCCACACTTACATATACCTCAGTTTGAAGGCTGGGAATTACAAGAAAACCCATTCAGACAAAAGTAAATGGTACAATTTGGAATAATTATTTTATTTTTTATTAACTTGAAGGGGGAGGGGGGATATGTGATGTTTGAACTGTCTACAATGATGATAGCTGTTGCTCTTAAACTTTTAAGTTTAAAGGATGCTCCTTGATGCCTTTGCATAAGTATCTTCTCGCTTCGATGTTCTAACAACTTAAGTATCTGTCTGCATTATTTTTTACTGCATTTGGTGGTGCTTGAAAAGTAGGCATAGACCATTTCAACCTTTCTCGCGTGGTTTGGATGTCTTTGTATCAGTGTAGAGCCTGCCTATGGCAAGTTGAAACAGCGACTGATGGTGATAGTAGTGATAGCATGGTTTTATTATGTTGACCAGTCTTGTTGACCATTGTGTGTGACAATACACAGTGTCTAACCAGTGTCCACTCTGCCTACACTATGATGTTGACCATCGTATGTGACACTACACAGTGTCTGACTAGTGTCCACTCTACCTACACTATGATGTTGACCATCAAATGTGACACTACACAGTGTCTAACCAGTGTCCACTCTGCCTACACTATGATGTTGACCATCACCTGTGTGACACTACACAGTGTCTAACCAGTGTCCACTCTGCCTACACTATGATGTTGACCATCAAATGTGACACTACACAGTGTCTAACCAGTGTCCACTCTGCCTACACTATGATGTTGACCATCAAATGTGACACTACACAGTGTCTAACCAGTGTCCACTCTGCCTACACTATGATGTTGACCATCAAATGTGTGACACTACACAGTGTCTAACCAGTGTCCACTCTACCTACACTATGATGTTGACCATCGTATGTGACACTACACAGTGTCTAACCAGTGTCCACTCTACCTACACTATGATGTTGACCATTGTGTGTGACACTACACAGTGTCTAACCAGTGTCCACTCTACCTACACTATGATGTTGACCATCACCTGTGTGACACTACACAGTGTCTAACCAGTGTCCACTCTGCCTACACTATGATGTTGACCATCAAATGTGACCCTACACAGTGTCTAACCAGTGTCCACTCTGCCTACACTATCATGTTGACCATCAAATGTGACACTACACAGTGTCTAACCAGTGTCCACTCTGCCTACACTATGATGTTGACCATCAAATGTGACACTACACAGTGTCTAACCAGTGTCCACTCTGCCTACACTATGATGTTGACCATCGTATGTGACACTACACAGTGTCTAACCAGTGTCCACTCTGCCTACACTATGATGTTGACCATCAAATGTGTGACACTACACAGTGTCTAACCAGTGTCCACTCTGCCTACACTATGATGTTGACCATCAAATGTGACACTACACAGTGTCTGACCAGTGTCCACTCTACCTACACTATGATGTTGACCATCGTATGTGACACTACACAGTGTCTAACCAGTGTCCACTCTGCCTACACTATGATGTTGACCATCAAATGTGACACTACACAGTGTCTAACCAGTGTCCACTCTACCTACACTATGATGTTGACCATCACCTGTGTGACACTACACAGTGTCTAACCAGTGTCCACCCTGCCTACACTATGATGTTGACCATTGTGTGTGACACTACACAGTGTCTAACCAGTGTCCACTCTGCCTACACTATGATGTTGACCATCAAATGTGACACTACACAGTGTCTAACCAGTGTCCACTCTGCCTACACTATGATGTTGACCATCGTATGTGACACTACACAGTGTCTGACCAGTGTCCACCCTGCCTACACTATGATGTTGACCATTGTGTGTGACACTACACAGTGTCTAACCAGTGTCCACTCTGCCTACACTATGATGTTGACCATCAAATGTGTGACACTACACAGTGTCTAACCAGTGTCCACTCTGCCTACACTATGATGTTGACCATCAAATGTGACACTACACAGTGCCTAACCAGTGTCCACTCTACCTACACTATGATGTTGACCATCACCTGTGTGACACTACACAGTGTCTAACCAGTGTCCACTCTGCCTACACTATGATGTTGACCATCAAATGTGACCCTACACAGTGTCTAACCAGTGTCCACTCTGCCTACACTATGATGTTGACCATCAAATGTGACCCTACACAGTGTCTAACCAGTGTCCACTCTGCCTACAATATGATGTTGACCATCGTATGTGACACTACACAGTGTCTAACCAGTGTCCACTCTACCTACACTATGATGTTGACCATCACCTGTGTGACACTACACAGTGTCTAACCAGTGTCCACTCTGCCTACACTATGATGTTGACCATCGTATGTGACACTACAAAGTGTCTGACCAGTGTCCACTCTATCTACACTATGATGTTGACCATCGTATGTGACACTACACAGTGTCTAACCAGTGTCCACCCTACCTACACTATGTTGACCATCGTCCATTCTCCATACACTGTGGCTAGTGTTAGCCCACCGTAGTTGTGTTTCTATCAGAGAGTCCACCCCCCCCCCTAAAGAGAAATTGAAAACAAATTCCCCCAGAACAAAATACCTGAAAGAAACCCAGGACTGTAGTTAGTGCTGGAGCTAGGATTGCGCCTCAGTAATCATTCAACATCTTTAACTGATCAGATTTCGATACATTTGTCCCGTAATGTGGTTAACACTTCTTAAACATGTCGAACGAAACCAATCAATACATAATATGATCGATAAACCGTTTGAAAAGAACGTATTGATCTAGGATTATTTTTGATGGGGATATCGGGTGGATTATCGACGATAAGATAAGCAACGGGAGTCGTTAAGTGGATTAATTGTGTTGTTAACAGACCGCTTTAAAACGCAGTTGGCACGCGAATGGTCAGATAACTAAAACAGTTTTTAAAGCAAACACTTCATCAAACTTGGACACGTTTGATCGTATACAGGCATACTTTAACCAATACCCCACTACCCCCGGAAATACGCCCAGCCCTATGGAAGTGGAGGTTTTAGTTTCCCCCCAAGGGGCACTTAGAAATTACATAGTGTCTCGTAAGTTAAAACAATGTTTTTATTTTTACACCAGTCGTATGGTTAGCACACACACATACGGTTCTTCTACATTCTTCAACAGGGCAGTAGTTCAACAAGTGTTGTGTCTGTTTCTAGCGGGCCAGTAGGGTTAGAGTGAAAAGCTAAGGCTAGTGTGAGGACCATCAGGGTTACAGGTAGCTTTAGTGTAGTGACTGACACTGCTCAAACAAGACCCTGATGGCGAACATAGAAATACCCAATGTCGCTGTGGGGGAGTCGTAGATGGGTGACACAGATTCATCCCATTCTCCATATTTTGCTTCTTTCTTTTCCTTCAAGGGTAAATACTGAGGGTTACTTGGGGGGCTCTTTTATCCGTTGTCCTTAGACACTTCCACACAACCCACCCCACACGTTCTCACCCCCACATCAGCACACCACACACCACAATCTCACCATCCCCCACCCCCACATCAGCATAACCCACCTAATACGACTTTCTCGCCCCTACCCCCGCACATCCCACCCCACATCCCCGCCTCACACCTCACTCACACCTCTCACACCACATTATCACCCCACCTTCGCACACCACATTTCCCCCTACCTCAGCACATTCCACCTCACACCATATATCTACCTCCACACCCACCTCACACCACATATCTACCCCCACACCCACCTCACACCACATATCTACCCCCACACCTTCCTCACACCACATATCTACCCCACACCCACCTCACACCACATACCTACCCCCACACCTACCTCACACCACATTCCGAACCCTACCTCAGCACAACCCACCTCACACTAGTCTCACACCACCCACAATACCACACCATCTCCGCATCTCTCACCGGACATTCTCACCCCGACCTTCGCATACCCCACCCCTACATTCCCACCCCAGCTCCGCACACCTCACATCACAAATCTAGGTCCACCCCCACCTCACACCACATTCCTACAACCCCATCTCCGCACACCCACATAATTTACTTTTAAAAACTGTATTCCTTTTATATTTTGATTTGCTACTTCGCTTGCTGCAATTTTTATGATCCCTCAATCTCGCGAGATTTCCTTGTGACGTCACGTTCATCTGCACACGTCCCGGAAGTAGGCGCTTGTTGACCAAGAACATTGGCTGGCTTGTTTCGCTTCCTGAGCCCACATTTCGTCTGAGAAAGGTAAACAAAGATTACATACAAGAATGTCTCGCAATCCGTTCCCTACCACCCAGATGCAGAACTTATGGAAAGAGGCGATAGAGAAGGAAGCCCAAGCTCGACTCAACGCTTTCGCCCGTCTGAAGGGAAAGCCTCGAACCAAGTCCAACCAGCATGAGGTGTACTCCAAGCGAAGGGAGCTAAACAAACAAGCGTTGTTCGACGTCTTACCTCCCCTAGTCACTGAAAAACGCTACGGGTACATCGACCCTAGATTACTCCCCCCTCCCGGGGAGGATTTTTACTTCAGTCGACTGAACGAGGCAAGCGATGAGAACCTCTTCGCCCGACCCGTGTCTCCATTGGTTCGTGATACCCTGTACGAAGGGTATTCGAGGATAGGTCAAGGCCGTAAGATTTACCTGAAGCAGCGGAACGATAAGAATCCCGAGGACAAGTTCCGGTTCCCGGTCTGCTCGTCCTGGGACTACGGCTGGAGGTTGGGTGACGTCATTAGGACCGAGGACATCGTCAAGCCGGAGTTTGCCCAGTACATGATCATGGAGAGGACCTTCTACTCCAAGAACGGGCTGGGCTTCCAGAAGGATGGCTGCACCGGGTTCCACTAGGACCAGGTATTCTCGTTTGTGGTCACGTGTCGACATAGACATGGTATCGTAACAAGTAGCAAAGGTTTTTTTTTTTCATTGTCTGTCGGTATTGCTGTTCTTAGATAGATTATGGGCTAGGTAACATGGCCTCAGAGGCGTAGCGACCCTTCCCGGCGCCCGGGGACAAACTTTTCGATTTGCACCCCCCCTCAAGATTTCGATTTGCACCCCCCCCCCTCAAACTTTCGATTTGCACCCCCTCTCAAGATTTCGATTTGCACCCCCCCCCCTTCCAACTTTCGATTTGCACACACCCCATCAAGATTTTGATTTGCACCCCCCCCCCCCCCCCCTCAAACTTTCAATTTACACCCCCCTCAACCTTTCAATTTATTTTTCCAAACCATTTTGGCGCCCCCTAAGGTCGGCGCCCCGGGACATATGTCCACCCCCCGCCCCCCCCCCTCGCTACGCTACTGAATGGCCTAGGTTTGGGTTAGGGTAGAAATACGTGATACAAATAACACTGAAACAGCCATACCGGACAACGTTGATATACCGTTCAAAGCTCTCTTCAACACCTCGATTCCTATATTTCTGGTATCAATAAGAGGTTATCTATAAACAACGTCAAGCTTTTTTGACGATTTTACACCCCCCCCCCATTACATCGTTACACATCGTCACAAAAAGCCTGACCCTCTTTCCCCTTCCGCCCCCTAAAAATACGCCACACCTTAGTCTAACTAAACAGTCTTACATCTAGAGGCTGTTACTTCACATATACATGCGTGATCTGTATGCGTGGAGTATGATATGCAGTGGCGCGAGTAGGGTATTGGAGGGTGGGACAACATTCAAACACACTCACACATAAACACACACACACCACCCAACCCCCATCTTAAAATCCGATAGTGTGGATGTATAACAGGTGGGGGTAGTGAGGGTGATACGAAGGTTGTTTTCAAACAGTTATTGATCGGAACTTTGAAACTGGAAATAGAAAACGGGTACAGTTGCTATTTTTTTGTTGACAACAACCGCTAGAGTCCCGAGATCTTCTGCTGGCTCGAGGAAGTCGTGCGCGCCCTTAGTCACCTTTGACCCTGTCCGCGTCATAGAGCAACTTCCGTTCACAGTCGAGCGCGCTCAACGATTTTCTATGTGACCCGTGTCGTTATCGGCCCAATCAAATTAGTTGATCAGTTTAATATGACAAGGTCACTCGGTGTATTCAGTTTGTAGTGGCGTTCTAGTCGCTTTTTTAGCGCAGTTAATACACTACTCAATCGTAATGCTACCAAATTTATGTTTGTCTACTGCTAGTACTGCTACCTTATGTATGTTTTGTTAGCCTACTGCTATCTAATATTTGACTGCCTACTGCTACCTAATGTATGTTTTCCTACTACTACCTAATGTTTGCCTACTGCTACCTTATGTTTGCCTAGTGCTACCTTATGTTTGCCTACTGCTACCTTATGTTTGCCTACTGCTACCTTATGTATGTTTTCCTACTGCTACCTAATGTTTGCCTAGTGCTACTTTATGTTTGCCTACTGCTACTTTATGTTTGCCTACTGCTACCTTATGTTTGCCTACTAATGCCTTATGTTTGCCTAGTGCTAGCTAATGTATGTTTTCCTACTGCTACCTTATGTTTGTTTGCCTACTGCTACCTAATGTATGTTTGCCTACTGCTAGCTTACGTATGTGAGCCAAATGCCACTTAATGTGTATTTTCCTACTGCTACTTAAAATATATTTGCCTCCTGTTATCTCAAATATTTTTTTCTCCTTACCTACCAAGTGCTCGTTCATTCCTTCTTACCACGAAGTAGACTTTGTTTTGTTTGACATATAAAATACGATCTTTCCACATAGGTTGACGTCCTTTGTGAATTCTTAAATTATTAAATGTTTCCTATACCTACAATATAAAATACAATCCATACAGGTTGACGTCCTTTGTGAATTCCTAAATTGTCTTCTCAATTTTGCACGGCCTTACGTGGTACAAACTCAAATAATTAAAATACCCTTAATGAGGGATCAAAAGTTAATTGTTTCTGTGAGTTAATTAATTGTTTTACTTAAGCTCGACAAATGTTATTTACTTGCCTGTTGGCTTAATTTAAAATTTGATACATTTATTGCTAATGATGTTCCTATTACTTGAATTTTATTCTTTTTTGAATTTTCAATTGTATTTGAACTTAGAATTGACTAATTAAATTCATCAATTTGTTCCGAATAATGTTTTGTATCTTGAATTTTTTTTTACTGATTTGTGCCAGTGTCTTCAAGGTTAATTAATTTTAAAAAAAGTTGTTACCGCAATCGATTTCAAATCAACGAGTACTTGCTGTTTAATTAGGACAGAAAAATCGAATCTTCGAGAGCACTCTACACGTACAACTAATTGACGAGTCGAGTTTCTGCTTTACAAATAAATTTTTTAGGCATTGATTTATCAAACATCGTCATAGGTAAATACTTATGTCGCCCAACACAAGTAACAACAGTAACGGTGTCAGAAAAAAGTCGGTTACAAGAGGAAAACGAATGGTGTGTTTGGTTGTTGTGTTGCTGTTTCATTTCTTAAGTCAAGAAATTGGGGTGGGTGGTTATGTTGTGTATGATATGGTTGATGTTTCTGGTGTGTATGATGTGAGGTGGATGTTTCTGGTGTATATGATGAAAGGTTAATGTTTTTGTTGTGTATGATGTGATGTTGATGTTTCTGATGTTTCTGATGTGATGTTTATGGTGTTTATGATGTGAGGTTGATGTTTCTGGTGTGTAGGGGTGGTCTAAGAGAACGGGAAATTTTAAAAAGGGCCCCCAATTATGCCTTTTCTCCCTATGAATTTTACGCCTTGGTATGAAATTAAAGAGTCATGTTTCTTGACCACGGCTTATGAAGGGATAAAGATTAATGTGGTCAGCATTATAATGTCAGTTAGGTACCCATCAGAGCTGGGTGGACTCAGGGACGTTACACTGACTCGAACCCGGATTCGAGCTCGAGATTTCCGAGTTAGTATTCTAGTGTTCTACCTCTAGGCCATGCTTCCGGAGCCTAAGTATAAAGGAATGGAAAAATGCCAACAATTAAAAAAAATCAAATAGGACTACTACATCACTGTTCCTGTGGACCCACCGAGATTTTTCTCCTCAGAGTCAGTCCACCCTTATAAGTATGTATGAAATTGAGGTTGATGTAACTGTTGTGTATAATGTGAGGTTGATATACCGGTGTGTATGATGTGTGGTTGATGTAACTGGTGTGTATGATGTGTGGTTGATGTAACTGGTGTGTATGATGTGAGGTTGATGTAACTGGTGTGTATGATGTGAGGTTGATGTAACTGGTGTGTATGATGTGTGGTTGATGTTTCTGGTGTGTATGATGTGTAGTTGATGTAACTGGTGTGTATGATGTGAGGTTGATGTAACTAGTGTGTATAATGTGTGGTTGATGTAACTGGTGTGTATGATGTGTGGTTGATGTAACTGGTGTGTATAATGTGTGGTTGATGTAACTGGTGTGTATGATGTGTGGTTGATGTTTCTGGTGTGTATGATGTGTGGTTGATGTAACTGGTGTGTATGATGTGTGGTTGATGTTTCTGGTGTGTATGATGTGTGGTTGATGTAACTGGTGTGTATGATGTGTGGTTGATGTAACTGGTGTGTATGATGTGAGGTTGATGTAACTGGTGTGTATGATGTGTGGTTGATGTTTCTGGTGTGTATGATGTGTGGTTGATGTAACTGGTGTGTATGATGTGTGGTTGATGTTTCTGGTGTGTATGATGTGTGGTTGATGTAACTGGTGTGTATGATGTGTGGTTGATGTAACTGGTGTGTATGATGTGAGGTTGATGTAACTGGTGTGTATGATGTGTGGTTGATGTAACTGGTGTGTATGATGTGTGGTTGATGTAACTGGTGTGTATAATGTGAGGTTGATGTAACTGTATAATGTGTGGTTGATGTAACTGGTGTGTATGATGTGTGGTTGATGTAACTGGTGTGTATGATGTGAGGTTGATGTAACTGGTGTGTATGATGTGTGGTTGATGTAACTGGTGTGTATAATGTGTGGTTGATGTAACTGGTGTGTATGATGTGAGGTTGATGTAACTGGTGTGTATGATGTGTGGTTGATGTAACTGGTGTGTATAATGTGTGGTTGATGTAACTGGTGTGTATAATGTGTGGTTGATGTAACCGGTGTGTATATTGTGTGGTTGATGTAACTGGTGTGTATGATGTGTGGTTGATGTAACTGGTGTGTATGATGTGTGGTTGACGTAACTGGTGTGTATAAGGTGTGGTTGATGTAACTGGTGTGTATGATGTGTGGTTGATGTAACTGGTGTGTATGATGTGAGGTTGATGTAACTGGTGTGTATAATGTGTGGTTGATGTAACTGGTGTGTATGATGTGTGGTTGATGTAACTGGTGTGTATAATGTGTGGTTGATGTAACTGGTGTATATAATGTGTGGTTGATGTTTCTGGTGTGTATGTTGTGTGGTTGATGTAACTGGTGTGTATGATGTGTGGTTGATGTAACTGGTGTGTATGATGTGTGGTTGATGTAACTGGTGTGTATGATGTGTGGTTGATGTAACAGGTGTGTATAATGTGTGGTTGATGTAACTGGTGTATATAATGTGTGGTTGATGTTTCTGGTGTGTATGTTGTGTGGTTGATGTAACTGGTGTGTATGATGTGTGGTTGATGTAACTGGTGTGTATGATGTGTGGTTGATGTAACTGGTGTGTATAATGTGTGGTTGATGTTTCTGGTGTGTATGTTGTGTGGTTGATGTAACTGGTGTGTATGATGTGTGGTTGATGTAACTGGTGTGTATGATGTGTGGTTGATGTAACTGGTGTGTATAAGGTGTGGTTGATGTAACTGGTGTGTATGATGTGTGGTTGATGTAACTGGTGTGTATAAGGTGTGGTTGATGTAACTGGTGTGTATAATGTGTGGTTAATGTAACTGGTGTGTATAATGTGAGGTTGATGTAACTGTATAATGTGTGGTTGATGTAACTGGTGTGTATGATGTGTGGTTGATGTAACTGGTGTGTAAGATGTGTGGTTGATGTAACTGGTGTGTATGATGTGTGGTTGATGTAACTGGTGTGTATGATGTGTGGTTGATGTAACAGGTGTGTATAATGTGAGGTTGATGTAACTGTATAATGTGTGGTTGATGTAACTGGTGTGTATGATGTGTGGTTGATGTAACTGGTGTGTAAGATGTGTGGTTGATGTAACTGGTGTGTATAATGTGTGGTTGATGTAACTGGTGTGTATAATGTGTGGTTGATGTTTCTGGTGTGTATGATGTGTGGTTGATGTAACTGGTGTGTATGATGTGTGGTTGATGTAACTGGTGTGTATGATGTGTGGTTGATGTAACTGGTGTGTATAATGTGTGGTTGATGTAACTTGTGTGTGATGTGAGGTTGATGTAACTGGTGTGTATGATGTGAGGTTGATGTAACTGGTGTGTATGATGTGAGGTTGATGTAACTGGTGTGTATAATGTGTGGTTGATGTAACTGGTGTGTATAATGTGTGGTTGATGTAACTGGTGTGTATATTGTGTGGTTGATGTAACTGGTGTGTATGATGTGTGGTTGATGTAACTGGTGTGTATAATGTGTGGTTAATGTAACTGGTGTGTATAATGTGTGGTTAATGTAACTGGTGTGTATAATGTGAGGTTGATGTTTCTAGTGTGTATGATGTGTGGTTGGTGTAACTGGTGTGTATGATGTGTGGTTGATGTAACTGGTGTGTATGATGTGTGTTTGATGTAACTGGTGTGTATAATGTGTGGTTGATGTTTCTGGTGTGTATGATGTGAGGTTGATGTAACTGGTGTGTATAATGTGTGGTTGATGTAACTGGTGTGTATAATGTGTGGTTGATGTAACTGGTGTGTATAATGTGTGGTTGATGTAACTGGTGTGTATAATGTGTGGTTGATGTAACTGGTGTGTATGATGTGTGGTTGATGTAACTGGTGTGTATAATGTGTGGTTGATGTAACTGGTGTGTATGTGTGGTTGATGTAACTGGTGTGTATAATGTGTGGTTGATGTAACTGGTGTGTATAATGTGTGGTTGATGTAACTGGTGTGTATGATGTGTGGTTGATGTAACTGGTGTGTATAATGTGTGGTTGATGTAACTGGTGTGTATAATGTGTGGTTGATGTAACTGGTGTGTATAATGTGTGGTTGATGTAACTGGTGTGTATGATGTGTGGTTGATGTAACTGGTGTGTATGATGTGTGGTTGATGTAACTGGTGTGTATAATGTGTGGTTGATGTAACTGGTGTGTATAATGTGTGGTTGATGTAACTGGTGTGTATGATGTGTGGTTGATGTTTCTGGTGTGTATGATGTGTGGTTGATGTTTCTGGTGTGTATGATGTGTGGTTGATGTAACTGGTGTGTATAATGTGTGGTTGATGTAACTGGTGTGTATGATGTGAGGTTGATGTAACTGGTGTGTATGATGTGTGGTTGATGTAACTGGTGTGTATAATGTGTGGTTGATGTAACTGGTGTGTATGTGTGGTTGATGTAACTGGTGTGTATAATGTGTGGTTGATGTAACTGGTGTGTATAATGTGTGGTTGATGTTTCTGGTGTGTATGATGTGTGGTTGATGTAACTGGTGTGTATAATGTGTGGTTGATGTAACTGGTGTGTATAATGTGTGGTTGATGTAACTGTATAATGTGTGGTTGATGTAACTGGTGTGTATGATGTGAGGTTGATGTAACTGGTGTGTATAATGTGTGGTTGATGTAACTGGTGTGTATGATGTGTGGTTGATGTAACTGGTGTGTATGATGTGTGGTTGATGTAACTGGTGTGTATAATGTGTGGTTGATGTAACTGGTGTGTATAATGTGTGGTTGATGTAACTGTATAATGTGTGGTTGATGTAACTGGTGTGTATGATGTGAGGTTGATGTAACTGGTGTGTATAATGTGTGGTTGATGTAACAGGTGTGTATAATGTGTGGTTGATGTTTCTGGTGTGTATGATGTGAGGTTGATGTAACTGGTGTGTATAATGTGTGGTTGATGTAACTGGTGTGTATGTGTGGTTGATGTAACTGGTGTGTATGATGTGTGGTTGATGTAACTGGTGTGTATAATGTGTGGTTGATGTAACTGGTGTGTATAATGTGTGGTTGATGTAACTGGTGTGTATAATGTGTGGTTGATGTAACTGGTGTGTATAATGTGTGGTTGATGTAACTGGTGTGTATGATGTGTGAGGATGTTTCTGTAGATTATGCTATGTAGTCACAACGGGCCATGGGCAGTTGCTCGACCACCCCACCCCCTCTATTCCTGTCACTCAGACCATCTAGTCACCTAGGTCACGTGCCTTAGCCAGACTGACGACTGTTGATGAGTTGTGGCCCTCTGATTCTACCATAATAGAACCAATCTGAGGATACCGTTCTAAGTGGCTTGCTCAAGCACTAGACGACACACAGTTCTCAAGTTTAAAACAAAATACTGGCAGCACAATACGCGAAATAAATGTAGTGTTTCTATTTTTATTATTTTACTGATTTGCTGAGTTCGTTTCAAACTAGTGGAATAAATTTCCTGCAAAGCTTGATTCCGTAAGTTCCTACATCTAAACAAGTAAAGGACAACGCTTTTTTTCTAATTTTTTTAAAGACAAAAACGGCGTGTAGATAGATTTGTGTACTGATAAGTTGGGGACTGCACTGAAATAATAATTTAAGCTAAAGACCATCGTGTGTTGTTTACATATTTTAGTTGCACAGGAGAGCAAAATCCAGGAAATTTTGTCAAACTCTTGAGTCCTGACTTATCTCCCTTACTCGTACAGTAGTGTAGTCTCATTTTAAAACTGCTATTCCCAATAATTTCTACAGTATGTCTGCCAATATGATTTCCACAAACACAGAGATTCTAGCACATTTTAGGACATTCCCGGTTTTAAAATCCCTTAGAGAATTCCGCCCAGGTGAAGTTTCCTGACGTCACCGCCGCGTAGTCGTCGTCTGCTAAAGACGTCCAGGTGGCGCCCTGGTCGTCACTAAAGACGTAGGCGAGTCCGTTGTTGGCCACGCCGTACAGATAGCCGGTGGAGGGGTCGCTTCCGGTTATCACGCTGACTCGCGGGCTGATTTCTGGAAAAGTTGTCAAATAAAATACCAAGACGTTTAGAGACAGAACTTAATTACAGTGGAATAATTGTATGTATAGTGGATAATCAAATGCTGCAAACAGACCCCCCCCGCCTCCAAATATGTCTTACAACAATACCAAGATATAAACAGCCATTGTATATTCATAGTTCCATGGGGTCCCGGGTCAAACTTAAACCACCTAAGTAGTTGTATTACATTTCCCCGACCCATAAATGTAACACATTTGGAGCTAGGGTAAGGTGTGGTTTGGAAAAGTGTAGCACTACAACAAGTTTACCAACCTAGTGTAGCACTACAACAAATTTACCAACCTAGTGTAGCACTACAACAAATTTACGAACCTAGTGTAGCACTACAACAAATTTACCAACCTAGTGTAGCACTACAACAAATTTACCCACCTAGTGTAGCACTACAACAAATTTACCAACCTAGTGAATCACTACAACAAATTTACCAACCTAGTGTAGCACTACAACAAATTTACCAACCTAGTGTATCACTACAACAAATTTACCAACCTAGTGTATCACTACAACAAATTTACCCACCTAGTGTATCACTACAACAAATTTACCAACCTAGTGTAGCACTACAACAAATTTACCAACCTAGTGTATCACTACAACAAATTTACCCACCTAGTGTATCACTACAACAAATTTACCAACCTAGTGTATCACTACAACAAATTTACCAACCTAGTGTATCACTACAACAAATTTACCCACCTAGTGTAGCACTACAACAAATTTACCAACCTAGTGTAGCACTACAACAAATTTACCCACCTAGTGTATCACTACAATAAATTTACCAACCTAGTGTAACACTACAACAAGTTTACCAACCTAGTGTAGCACTACAACAAATTTACCCACCTAGTGTATCACTACAACAAATTTACCCACCTAGTGTAGCACTACAACAAATTTACCAACCTAGTGTAGCACTACAACAAATTTACCCACCTAGTGTATCACTACAATAAATTTACCAACCTAGTGTAACACTACAACAAGTTTACCCACCTAGTGTAGCACTACAACAAATTTACCAACCTAGTGTAGCACTACAACAAGTTTACCAACCTAGTGTAGCACTACAACAACAAATTTACCCACCTAGTGTATCACTACAATAAATTTACCAACCTAGTGTAACACTACAACAAGTTTACCCACCTAGTGTAACACTACAACAAATTTACCCACCTAGTGTAGCACTACAACAAATTTACCAACCTAGTGTAGCACTACAACAAGTTTACCAACCTAGTGTAGCACTACAACAACAAATTTACCCACCTAGTGTAGCACTACAACAAATTTACCAACCTAGTGTATCACTACAACAAATTTACCAACCTAGTGTATCACTACAACAAATTTACCCACCTAGTGTATCACTACAACAAATTTACCAACCTAGTGTAGCACTACAACAAATTTACCAACCTAGTGTATCACTACAACAAATTTACCCACCTAGTGTATCACTACAACAAATTTACCAACCTAGTGTATCACTACAACAAATTTACCAACCTAGTGTATCACTACAACAAATTTACCCACCTAGTGTAGCACTACAACAAATTTACCAACCTAGTGTAGCACTACAACAAATTTACCCACCTAGTGTATCACTACAATAAATTTACCAACCTAGTGTAACACTACAACAAGTTTACCAACCTAGTGTAGCACTACAACAAATTTACCCACCTAGTGTATCACTACAACAAATTTACCCACCTAGTGTAGCACTACAACAAATTTACCAACCTAGTGTAGCACTACAACAAATTTACCCACCTAGTGTATCACTACAATAAATTTACCAACCTAGTGTAACACTACAACAAGTTTACCCACCTAGTGTAGCACTACAACAAATTTACCAACCTAGTGTAGCACTACAACAAGTTTACCAACCTAGTGTAGCACTACAACAACAAATTTACCCACCTAGTGTATCACTACAATAAATTTACCAACCTAGTGTAACACTACAACAAGTTTACCCACCTAGTGTAACACTACAACAAATTTACCCACCTAGTGTAGCACTACAACAAATTTACCAACCTAGTGTAGCACTACAACAAGTTTACCAACCTAGTGTAGCACTACAACAACAAATTTACCAACCTAGTGTAGCACTACAACAACAAATTTACCAACCTAGTGTAGCACTACAACAACAAATTTACCAACCTAGTGTAGCACTACAACAAGTTTACCAACCTAGTGTAGCACTACAACAACAAATTTACCAACCTAGTGTAGCACTACAACAACAAATTTACCAACCTAGTGTAGCACTACAACAAGTTTACCAACCTAGATATTTGTTTGGGTTAGTGGCGATGGTTCTTTGACAAGATACACCAGTGGCACTGCCGCTGTGAAATGGGAAGACGTGAATTTAAACACAGGAGTCTTGGTGGTTAGTTGGATTACGGTACACTAAACAAACAATATTTTAAACACAGGAGTCTTGATATTTAGGTGGTTTACGGTACACTAAAACAATATTTTAAACACAGTAGTCTTGGTATTTAGTGGGATTACGGTACACTAAACAAACAATATTTTAATACACAGCCACACAGAGGATTGCATCATAAAGTAGGCAAAGATCTCCTGTACGAAATTTAAAGAGAACAAAAACAACACATTCTCAATAAAAACGCGCAACCTCTCTCCCAACTCTATACATGAAAAACTAACACACAAACACACACAGACGCACGCACATAAACATAAACACATTCAAACACGCCACAATCTTGGTATCCTCCCCCCTTACACTTTATCCCAGAGGCGTAGCGACCCTTCCCGACGCCCGGGCACAAACTTTCAATTTGCCCCCCCCCTTATATTTTTAAAATTTATAATGTAAAACTGCAGCTACAATTAGCTTTTAAATTTGTTTCATCCCATTTTGGCGCCCCCTACGGTCGGCGCCCGGGGACATATGTACCCCCCTCGCTACGCCTCTGCTTTATCCCCACAACCACACACCAATCACCATCTACCAATGAAATGTTTATAACTCTACCGTCTCATCTGAAAAGCGTCACACAGGATGTTGAGTGACGTCAGACTGGACACGTATTCAAACTCTGTGTCAGAATCAAAGAACCAGTTATCGATAACAGTTTTTTAAATCTTTGTTTAGGTCATCAGAGTTCTAAATATAGCTAGCATCTACTGTAATGTGGACCGAATAAGTAATCAAATTAATGTGAGGTCTAACTGTAATAGTTGAAGACCGTTTATTCGTTTTTGCCTATACATTGTTTAAATAATATTATGGAAAGTTCGAGAAGATGCGGCATTTAGGTAAATGGAATTTCTCAGTTTATCTCAACTACAGCCTAATTGTCAAATACATATACTTGCCCCTAAAAAAACCCATAGTTAAAATTCTGTGTTTAAAATGTCTAATTTTTAAAAGCTTTAATTTATGAAGAAATTTATTAATTTCGTGTGTATGGTGTGAGGTTGATGTTTCTGGTGTGTATGATGTGAGGTTGATGTGGCTATGTCAATTTTATGGAAGATTTTATACGAGATCTTTGTTCGGCCGTATCGCTAGATAATAATAAGTTATATCTCGCCAATTCTACTACAGGTACTCATTTAAGCTGGGTGAGCTCAGGTAGAACTAATTCAGAATCCTGTAATGATTGCGAACACAAGAACTGATCTACACAAACTACGCAACCCACCTCGCTTGTAGGCGATACAGCGCCACATTTCATTGCACGGTGCGCAAGCTTGAGGTCGTGGTGCGCCGCACTGACAAGCACCAGCTACACAACATCCGCACGTGAAGGTCCCCGGCTTGTGCGTGCAGTTACACGTTGTGGCTGTGGTCCACGTCAGCCTCTTAGCTGCAGGGCATTAGGTGGCAGAATTGTAAAGTTTAAATTAAAACACGATGATTTCTTTCTTAGAAGAGCGCACACCCACCCACACAGAGTTTCTTCCAGCCCCCCCCCCCCCCCCCGAATTTTTTTTACCGCCCCCCCCCCCCCCCCGAACGAAATGAAATTTATATAATTTATATAGAAAATATATTTTAACATTTCCGCCCCCCCCCCCCCCGAAGAAAGTTTACCGCCCCCCCCCCCCCGAAAATTTCAAGTCCCCCCCCCCCCCCCCCCGGAGAAAAAAGTCTGGAAGAAAAACTGCCCACACAAAGAATAACATAATTATGGCATTGGCCGAGAATACTCGCATAGGGGAAATAAATGTTTTTTTTTTTAAATTATACAATGTTCTTTAATTTACTTTAAACAAATGTGATTTTAAAAACTCGATTATGTTTCTTTTTTTTTTGCGTTACCTTTCAACAGAGTTTTCTATAAACAAAAAATACATAAATTTAAACGTGTTTTTAAAGTGTAAGTGCATTAGGAAGATGAATGGTCTATAACACGTTTTGCATCAGTTTCAATAAAAATATGGCAAGTATGTTAAAGTTTAAATTTTTTTTAAAACTACACAAACTGACCGCAGATGTCATTGGCGTTGAGCGAGAGATACACTGGTGTGCTCATCAAATCCGTTATGTTGCCCCAACGGTCGTTGTAGATGGTCTCAGCCGAGATCGTGCGGTAGGTGGCTTCTAACACGTTGGGGTCAGAGAGGTCAAGGGTCAAGGTCGCATCCAAAGAAAACGGGTCACTGAAGGTTAGACGTGCGATCTGGTGAAGAGAAAACCACTAGATGTCCCAAAACTATGTGAATATTGGCAACAGGTTAAACATTCAATCGAATAAGTTGATTTCTAAATTAATTTTTCAAATAGCAGTGCCCCAACAAGATTAAGCAAAATATTTGAACAGAACATTGTCGTAGCAGAATATCAGCTCAACAAAACATTATTTATACATAATGAGAATATTGTCAAAACCTCATCTGAACATTGCCTCAACAGAACAATACCTCATCAGAATATTACCTCAGCAGAAGGTGACGTCATCAGAACATGACCACACCAGACCATTACATCACCAGACCATTACCTCACCAGAACATGACCTCACCAGACCATTACCTCACCAGACCATTACCTCACCAGAACATTACCTCACCAGCACATTACCTCAGCAGACCATTACCTCACCAGACCATGACCTCACCCGACCATTACCTCACCCGACCATTACCTCACCAGACCATGACCTCACCCGACCATTACCTCACCAGACCATTACCTCAGCAGACCATTACCTCACCAGACCATTACCTCACCAGACCATTACCTCACCAGAACACTACCTAACCAGACCATTACCTCACCAAACCATGACCTCACCAAACCATGACCTCACCAGAACATTACCTCACCAGAACATTACCTCACCAGAACATTACCTCACCAGACCATTACCTCACCATTACCTCACCAGACCATTACCTCACCATTACCTCACCAGAACATTACCTCACCAGAACATTACCTCACCAGAACATTACCTCACCAGAACATTACCTCACCAGAACATTACCTCACCAGAACATTACCTCACCAGAACATTATCTCACCAGACCATTACCTTACCATTACCTCACCAGACCATTACCTCACCAGACCATTACCTCACCAGAACATTACCTCACCAGAACATTACCTCACCAGGCCATGACCTCACCAGACCATTACCTCACCAGACCACCACCTCACCAGAACATGACCTCACCAGACCACGACCTCAGCAGACCATTACCTCACCAGACCATTACCTCACCAGACCATTACCTCAGCAGACGACCTCACCAGACCACGACCTCACCAGACCATTACCTCACCAGACCATTACCTCACCAGACCATTACCTCAGCAGACGACCTCACTAGACCACGACCTCACCAGACCATTACCTCACCAGACCATTACCTCACCAGACCATTACCTCACCAGACCATTACCTCACCAGACGACCTCACCATGACCTCACCAGACCATTACCTCACCAGACCATGACCTCAGCAGACCATTACCTCACCAGACCATTACCTCACCAGACCATTACCTCACCAGACCATTACCTCACCAGACGACCTCACCATGACCTCACCAGACCATTACCTTACCAGAACATTACCTCACCAGAACATTACCTCACCAGACCATTACCTCACCAGACCATTACCTCACCAGAACATTACCTCACCAGAACATTACCTCACCATTACCTCACCAGACCATGACCTCACCAGACCATGACCTCAGCAGACCATTACCTCACCAGACCATGACCTCACCAGACCACTACCTCACCATTACCTCAGCCGTGATGACGGTGCCAGACCCTGACCTCACCAGACCATGACCTCACCAGACCATTACCTCAGCAGACCATTACCTCACCAGACCATTACCTCACCAGACCACCACCTCAGCAGACCATTACCTCACCAGACCATGACCTCACCAGACCATGACCTCAGCAGACCATTACCTCACCAGACCATTACCTCACCAGACCATTACCTCAGCAGACCATTACCTCACCAGACCATTACCTCACCAGACCATTACCTCAGCAGACCATTACCTCAGCCGTGATGACGGTGCCAGACTGCAGGACTGTGATGGTGTTCTCCCTGGGCTGGGTGTACATCTTGCTCTTCATGGTGACGTAATCGGGCAGGTAGATGTTGACCGTGACGTTGTAGGCGGTGCCGGTGGACTCCTGGGAGTGGTAGACCACCACCTTCACCGACACTGTGGCCCTGGGGTGTTTGGTGCAAGTCTAAGTTGTGTTTTACTTTTTTAAAGCTTCCACGTAGCTTGCATGTAACATTAAGATTTCCCCCCTCGGATTGATATTACCTATGTGTTTATGCTTAAGATTTTAAAAGGCCTTACAATTATTCATATATACACTCGTAGTACAACATAATACGACTGAAAACCGTATTGATATAGAAAGATTATCGCCTTGGGATCCTGCCACCATAAGCACACCCTGCCACTTACCTGCCACCATAAGCACACATATTGCAACTAACCTTCCGTCATAAGCACACCCTGACTCTTACCTGCCGTCATAAGCACACCCTGCCACTTACCTGCCGTCATAAGCACACCCTGCCACTTACCTGCCATCATAAGCACACCCTGCCACTTACCTGCCGTCATACGCACACTGCCCACTCTGTTGCATGCTGACCAGCAGGACCGGAAGTCGCACCAGGGGAGCGTCGATGGTGACCTGGATCATCCCCACCCACATGACGTTGTTGTGGAAGTTGGTGCCCATGTTGATTGGCCAGATGTCACCGTCCTGTGGAGGTGGAGCGGAGGGTGGGGCGGTGGGGGGGGTCAAGCAATCAAGGTCAGACAAGGACAATATCACTGGCCATATCAGAAACAGTTTTTAATTTAGTATTTTGTCATCGGGAGATCACGCAAGGCAGTCGAAATGTAAAACTAAGCAGACTTCAAGACATGATGCTCATAGAGAACAGATGAAGTAGAGTTCCCCCCCCCCCCCTTTACTTTAGCCTCCACCCATGCATAAAAAATAAACGTGTAGTAACCTATTTTACTCAGTTGTCTTTAATTTCTTCCATACATGACGTCATGCTGTTTTTAGCAGATTTTTACCTTTTACACCCATCCCCCAACCCTCCCCCTCCCGGCATCGTCAAACTTCGCTACGAAACGCCAGAACCCCTCCCAAAACGTCGTCACAAATGAAACTCATCCTCAGCATAATTCTATAATGTTAATTTACCATAATTCTACGGTAAACTAAGATGTTAATCATGATTTTTCTTCTAAAGAAATGCCTCCTCAAATTCCCTGAACCCTTATGTAACATATCCTCACAAAAAACCTGAGCCCCCCCCCCTCCCTCGAGACTGTGTGACGTCATGTTTTATAGACGCCCTCTAAGTAGGCCCCACTTCAAATTCTGTGGACTTTGTATAGCGCCGAAATAAATAAAACAACTCTCGGTAAGTGATCCATCAAAGTTTTCAACACCAAATCCTAACCTTAACTCTCACTCTAGTCCAAACTCACTTTACCAAACATCTTTCACCCCCCCCCCCCCACATACACCTCCCACCTCACCTTTAACTCGCTGTAATCCTCGACCCGGACCGTGAAGGTCGAGGTCACGACCATCTCGCTCGTGAAGTTGGCCAGCGGGACCCGGGGCAGTCGGAGAATCCCGATGTTATTTTGGTAGGAGCCCAGCGAGGACATCTTGCCGCCCTGTAGACTGTCCAGCAGCTCCAGGGTCTCGCTGGGCATCCCGTGGGTGCCGTTGGTGTCCACCTGGGGACAGGTTTTAAAAAAGGAAAGAAAAAGTCATTTTTTTAAAATCCGTCAGTGAAATGGACGAGACACTTTCGACATAGTGTTTATATGTAGACTTCTCCACTTCCCTTTACTAAATCTACTAGGCCACTCTATACAATTTGTTTTTAAAACAATTTGTTCGCAATACAACTCAGCATTTAAAAAAACCCCGGAATTTCGAGTTTAAACCACACATTAATTGTTGGTTATGGTCACACAAATATCTGGGATCTTTTCCAGTTAAGCCCCGCCACAAATTTATCCCCGCCACAAATTTATCCCCGCCACCCAAAAAAAATAAAAAAATGAAAAGATTATAAAAAGAGGATACACAACTTGTACTTTTAGTTTAACTCTAACAATAACCTAGAGGCGGATAAGAAGTTGTTTTAATGGCGCGCATTTAAATATTCAAATGTCTAGACATCAGAAATAGGTCAAGGTTACGTTCGTTAAATTTGACCTGGCAAAAAGTGGCGGGGTTTAACTGGACAAGATCCAATGTTTGTGTTGTAATCACAGAACAAAATGTATGTTGTAACGTGTAGAGACTGAAGAGCTCGCACCATCATGTTCTGTACTGTCAGCCGCACCTCCTTGGATATCATCTCGGGGGGCGTGTAACACTCAAAGTCGCCATTCACGATGTCACGTGACGACCGGATGGTCACGAGGGTCGTGAACAGCCCCATGATTGGCTGGTTTAGTAAAGAGACGTTCTGGGCCGTGACTTCCGGGTAGGGGACGATGACGTAGTTGGATGGGACCGTCCTGGAGGACATGCTGTAGGACCCCCAGGACACGGAGACTGTGGCCACGCCCCTGATCAGGGCACCGGGACTGACGTCATCTGGGATAAAGTTGAAAGCATAAACAATCACAAAGTTGGTTCTAAATCAGGGGTCTCCAAACTTTCAGTCCGAGGGCGGCATTAACTATCAAATTTCAGTTCGGGGGCCAGTTTCTTCAAGGCATGTCTGATTTTTCTGGGCAAAGTTCCTCAGCCATCACCAACAAACGATTTTTCCTTGGACAAAAAGATCTCCGCGGGCCGGATGAGAGGACTTCGCGGGCCGCATCCGGCCCGCGGGCCGTAGTTTGGAGACCCCTGTTCTAAATCATATTGGAGATCTATACGCTAACACATTTACTATTTAAAATACACCAATAAACATTTTGATATAGGGAGGGGTCATTCATATACGTTTTCACGCTTTTTATGGGGCTTTTTACAATACCTCCCATTGATCACACATTGTCACAAAACTCCACAACACTACTTAAAATCACGTCACATTTCAGATCCCGCCCCCTAAACATTACAGTTTCTTAATATTTACTGAAATTGGCAATAATTGGGCATACCATTGCATACTAACAAACCACCACCAGTGTATACTTACAAGACCAACACCATTGTATACTATATTCCCTCTAAGGAGGAAAAGCTAGTGTGCAAAATGTATTTTCTGTGCGCGCTGTTCTAAAAGTCTAATACAAGGATATATTAATTTTACAAAACCACTGCGCGGCAGCTCAAAACTACTTCGCGTTCGCGCAACATTTCTAATGACTAACACCACCAATGTATACTTACAAGAACACCACCAATGTATACTTACAAGAACACCACCAATGTATACTTACAAGAACACCACCATTGTATACTTACAAGACCACCACCATTGTATACTTACAAGACTACCACCACCATTGTATACTTACAAGACTACCACCACCATTGTATACTTACAAGACTACCACCACCATTGTATACTTACAAGACTACCACCACCAATGTATACTTACAAGACTACCACCACCATTGTATATTTACAAGACTACCACCATTGTATACTTACAAGACTACCACCACCAATGTATACTTACAAGAACACCACCAATGTATACTTACAAGACTACCACCACCATTGTATATTTACAAGACTACCACCATTGTATACTTACAAGACTACCACCACCATTGTATACTTACAAGACTACCACCATTGTATACTTACAAGACTACCACCATTGTATACTTACAAGACTACCACCACCATTGTATATTTACAAGACTACCACCATTGTATACTTACAAGACTACCACCACCAATGTATACTTACAAGAACACCACCAATGTATACTTACAAGACTACCACCACCATTGTATACTTACAAGACTACCACCATTGTATACTTACAAGACCACCACCACCATTGTATACTTACAAGACTACCACCGTTGTATACTTACAAGACTACCACCATTGTATACTTACAAGACCACCACCACCATTGTATACTTACAAGACTACCACCACCATTGTATACTTACAAGAATGCCTCCAACATTGTATACTTACAAGATTACCACCACCATTGTACACCACCAGTGTATACTTACAAGGCTACCACCACCATTGTATACTTACAAGACTACCACCACCACTGTATACTTACAAGACTACCACCACCATTGTACACCACCAGTGTATACTTACAAGACTACCACCACCATTGTATACTTACAAGACTACCACCACCATTGTATACTTACAAGACTACCCCCACCCTTGTATACTTACAAGACTACCACCACCATTGTATATTTACAAGACTACCACCACCATTGTATACTTACAAGACCACCACCATTGTATATTTACAAGACTACCACCACCATTGTATACTTACAAGACTACCACCATTGTATACTTACAAGACTACCACCATTGTATACTTACAAGACTACCACCACCATTGTATATTTACAAGACTACCACCACCATTGTATATTTACAAGACTACCACCACCATTGTATACTTACAAGACCACCACCATTGTATATTTACAAGACTACCACCACCATTGTATACTTACAAGACTACCACCATTGTATACTTACAAGACTACCACCATTGTATACTTACAAGACTACCACCACCATTGTATATTTACAAGACTACCACCACCATTGTATACTTACAAGACTACCACCACCATTTTATACTTACAAGACTACCACCATTGTATACTTACAAGACTACCACCACCATTGTATATTTACAAGACTACCACCACCATTGTATACTTACAAGACTACCACCACCATTGTATACTTACAAGACTACCACCGTTGTATACTTACAAGACTACCACCACCATTGTATACTTACAAGACTACCACCATTGTATACTTACAAGACTACCACCACCATTGTATATTTACAAGAATACCACCACCATTGTATACTTACAAGACTACCACCACCATTGTATACTTACAGGACTACCACCACCAATGTATACTTACAAGACTACCACCACCATTGTATACTTACAAGACTACCACCATTGTATACTTACAAGACTACCACCACCATTGTATACTTACAAGACTACCACCATTGTATACTTACAAGACTACCACCACCATTGTATACTTACAAGACTACCACCACCATTGTATACTTACAAGACTACCACCATTGTATACTTACAAGACTACCACCACCATTGTATACTTACAAGACTACCACCATTGTATACTTACAAGACTACCACCACCGTTGTATACTTACAAGACTACCACCACCATTGTATACTTACAAGACTACCACCACCATTGTATACTTACAAGACTACCACCACCAATGTATACTTACAAGACTACCACCACCATTGTATACTTACAAGACTACCACCATTGTATACTTACAAGACTACCACCACCATTGTATACTTACAAGACTACCACCATTGTATACTTACAAGACTACCACCACCATTGTATACTTATAAGACTACCACCATTGTATACTTACAAGACTACCACCATTGTATACTTACAAGACCACCACCATTGTATACTTACAAGATTACCACCATTGTATACTTACAAGACTACCACCACCAATGTATACTTACAAAACTACCACCACCATTGTATACTTACAAAACTACCACCACCATTGTATACTTACAAAACTACCACCACCATTGTATACTTACAAGACCACCACCACCATTGTATACCTACAAGACTACCACCACCATTGTACACTCACCAGACACGACCATTTTGTGATTTCCCATGATGCTCCATCTCCCCACCCGCAGACCATGAGTGATGTTGATGACGTATACAGGTTCGCCATTGCTGCTAAAAATACTCTTCAGCTGTTCATCTATTAGCTAGTTGTGACACAGAAGAAATAAACCGGGAGTGATCTCCCTTAAACTTTCTCGAATATTTTTATATAATAAAATACTTTAAAAAAACTTTTTAAAAAACCACGTTTTTCTTGTGGACTAAAAAGTAGAAAATAAATTTTCATACATTTGATGACAAAAAACGTGGGTACGTTCACCATCAAATTTCCCGACCCATCTGCCCGACCCACGTTTTTTGTCATCAAATGTATGAAAATTTATTTTCTACTTTTTAGTCCACAAGAAAAACGTGGTTTTTTAAAAAGTTTTTTTTAAGTATTTTATTTTCTCCTTTTTAGTCCGTTGCTACACATGAAAAACGTGGTTTTTAAAAAAGTTTTTTATATAGTTTATTTTCTACTTTATCTAATGACTTGATTAAGTATGACTTGACTAAGTGTTTATAAATACACGGACTAAAAATCTTGAGCGACCAGGATTCGAACCTGGGTTGTCGCGGCCACAACGCGAAGTACTAACCGCTATACGATCACGGCCAGCGCGCTCACATCGATTGGGGCCGAAGTAACTGTGTCAATAGGCCTCCAGTCTTGTCGGTATCTTTAGAAATCATGTCCTCAATTTTATGGTCCTTGGGGCGTAATTAAATTAAGCTAATTACGGTCTCTAATTGCTAGTTTTTATGATTGCATCTGAAATTGTTAGGCGAAAGTAGCCTACATGCCAAACTTCAGATCTCTAGAGCAATCAGAAGTGGGCTAATTTTCGATGTCAATTTTAACAACAAACATCCAAACAAACAAACAAACGCGAAGCTGAGTTAAGAAAAACGTGTTAATAAAATAACAGGGGATGGGAACTCGGGCTATAGACAGGATTTTTAATCCATTTTAAATACTTAAAGTTTTAAAAATAGAATAAAATCCCATAGACAAAAGAATTGCACACCAAATGAACGCTAAATTAAAAAGTGCATAATAGTGCGCAATATTATTAGTACTTTAAAAATTTACATTAGTTTTTTGAGAAATCGGAAGTAGCGTAAATTACTACTTCCGTTCAACGGAAATGACTCAAAATTTAACAGAAGGTAGAGAATTAGATCTTTTACTTACATGTGAAATTTCGTTTATCTATCTGAAATAGTACTCAAGTTATAGGCTTTTGAAAATTTCATAGTAGGAAAGTACCACTTCCGGTTATCGGAAATCGCTCAAAAGTTGATACGGATCTACGATTTTGATAAAACACTTATATATAAAATTTCATCAACATAGCTGTAACGGTACTCAAGTTATCGTGTTTACACACACACACACACACAGACAGACAGACACACAGACAGACACACAGACATACGGACAAGATTGCAAAATTATGTTTTTCCGTATCAGTGAGATGTGAAACGTCGAGATTTGTAAAAATCTCGATTTTTTTTGCACGATTACAATACTTTCTCTATACTTCGTATATACGAGAAAGTAAAAATTATATTTAGTACGTTCAAATATTACCGATAGTTATGTGTGCAAGTCAACCTGAAAGGAGGGGGGGGGGGGGTGTCATGGGATAGTGTAGCAGCTTTAAAATAGTTCTTATTCGAGTTGAAAAGCCGAAGCTATTATAAAAAGGAAGAAAACAACAAAAATAAACAGCACTTAAAACTCGAAATAAACCATGAAGACCTGACGACTGACTAAATCGGACATACGAGTGGACATAGTGTTCAGCATTACACCCAACCGCCTTTATTTTCCCCAACTACTGCCAGGCACCCACCAGAGCTGAGTGAACTCAGAGACTCGAACAACTAAACCTAGCTCAAAAACCACCTTGTCTGTGGCAGAGAGCTGATGTTACGTGAACAGTACCGTGCAGTCTACACATAGACTCATAGACTAGGCTTCAGCTTGAGAGATGGGTAGTCACATGGAACAGGTTAGCGTCCAAACGAAGCGTAGAGCATAGGATTCGTTCTCATGTTGATTGGTCAAGCGAATGTGTTATCCACCAACCCAGGGATTTCATAAAACTGACACGTTAGCTGTAGGCAGAAGCCGTGACTGTGACATACACATCCTGGTGACACGAACATCTTTGATGACATCTACATTGTACATTTGAGATGACATCTACAATGTACATTTGAGATGACATCTACATTGTAGTGATGACAACTACATTGCTCATTTGAGATAACATCTACATTGTACATTTGAGATGACATCTACATTGTACATTTGAGATGACATCTACATTGTACATTTGAGATGACATATACATTGTACATTTGAGATGACATCTACATTGTACATTTGAGATGACATCTTGTTGTGTACTCACCATAAATGTGGAGTTTGCTGTCACCGAGGTGCCGACGTCATCACGGATGACCCAATCAGCAGTTTCTATTGACGTCTCGTTGTAAAACTTGGCGAGGGGGGGGGAGGGGAGGGGGTGGAGTTGAAGAAAACCACAATGATTAGCAGTTAGAATTATTTCTTTTGTGTTAGGCTTAAAAAAATAGTGTATGTGGTAGAGGTGGTACAAAGCAAAATTAAACATTCAGGTTGTTTGGACGTAGAAAGTGTTATATACAATTGCATTACTAGATTTTTATTCTTACATTTGCTATTTTTTTGATAGAAGCATATAGAATGGTTGACACAATGCTATCCTAAACAATGTTTCTTTAAACTCAATCTATGGCGTGGACTGTTTGACTAATTTCTCTATTTTTCTAATTCTAATAATTTCTAATAATTTTCTCTAATTTCTCCATAATTTATTTACAAACACAGTTTTTTCTATAGTTCCAAACTGTATTGTAGTTATTTGTGTGTCGGAAATTAAGATTTTGGGGGTAGTTATAGAGTGGTTAATTAATTTGAGGCGTCGGAGTCTAGGAAAACGTTATACAATGTAATACAAGGTGCGTAAGTAAGGTTCACTTTCTAATCTGAAGGCTCACAAGACAAGTGAAGTAGAGTTCACCTGTTTCTGTGACCTCGGCATATGAAGGAATAGTGTGGTCAGCACTATGCCCAGCCGCCTTTACTTTCGCTAACGTGAGTCAGGTGCCCATCAGAGCTTAAGACTTAAGAATGTTCTACGGACTTGATTCCGGATTCGAAGTCAAGACTTTCGGGTTAGCCATTCAACCACGCAATCCCATATACGGGGTACGTGTGGGTCCTATTGCAACACATAAGCCAACATAGGCTGTAGTATCTGTTCAGAATCTGAGGATTTTATTTGTTGCTATAATCTGAACTAACCCTGTCGGTCATTGATATTTGGTGACATATTATTTTCATACATCATTAAGAGATGTCACGTGATCGTCTTACCTCCACGTGGTCGCCACCAAACGAGATGATGACGTTTTCGTTGACCTCGCTGATATCCATGGCAACAGAGTAGGTAAACAACACTGGATCGCCGCTGTCGATTATTGACCAATCAACGGAGCTTTCCATCGTCATTGTGCCAGTCACTGCGGGATGCGCACACAGAAAAAAAAAGTTACACAAACGGAAATTTGAATTTTCAGTCACAATTCTCAAGCTATACATTTTATTACCTTCACTTTCTGCTATGGTGTCGTGTTTATGTCTACCGACGCTGTAGAAAAAGGAACCCTCCCAACAGAAATCTTAAAATTTCATCGCAACTGAGACAAAAAGATTATCTAAACACATCGAAAGTTTGTTTAACTGGATTAACAAAACTTTTTAATTAAAAAAAAAGGGGTTGCGGCGAAACGAATGAGTCTAAGAAATTAAATTTTTCGAGAACAGCCTTAACTTCGCGTGTTGTCCTACTAGGACACTAGGACAAAGACCTTCTCGGGCAACTTAATCTTGGGGTAGTCTCCCCTTTTGCCAGTGGTGTCCCATCTTTCTTGTGTCACGCTACCAGTGTTTCTTCCAGACTTTTTTCTCCGGGGGGGGGGCACTTAAAATTTTCGGGGGGGGGGGGGCGGTAGACTTTCTTCGGGGGGGGGGGGCGGACACTGTTAAAAGTATATATTTTCTATATAAATTATATAAATTTCATTTCGTTCGGGGGGGGGGGCGGTAAAAACTTTTCGGAGGGGCTTCGCCCCCCCCCCCCCCCCGAAGAGATGCCTGAAGAAACTCTGCACGCTACAAGAGGCGTCTCCGTGTTTTTCTTGACCTGCCTCGTCTCCCCCGCCCCTCCTTGGTATTCCAGACCCTGATTTAATACGCTGGTCGTCGATTTTACATCCTAGTGTATGGCATTTCTTAGATAATTTAAAAAAACAACTTTATGAAAAATAATTCTTTGAGAAAAACAAACTTACCATTGAATCCACAAGTGTGCACGAAACACAAACAAAACAAAGTCAACTTGACCAAAGTCAACTTGACCAAAGTCAACTTGACAGCAGAAAGCTCCCTCATCTTGTCTTGACCGCTGTTCTCTTGTTTATCCAATCTGCTCTGCTTTATTCGCTCTTTATTTATGTTTTTTTTTGTCTGGTGGTGTTAGAAGTAATTAAAATCGATCTGATTGATCTCGTCATCGATGAGAACTACTCAATACACCAAGATGATGATCATGGTTGATTGACGATTTCTTTTCTTTCTTTTTTTGACTCCATGACTTATTGATTTTTGGGAAAACTTTTGAGACAAGAATTTTTTTGTTGTCTTTTGTTCGTGCATTGCTTTGGTTCATTTTTCCTTTTTTTTCCTTTCTTTGCATTGTCAGAACGTATATATATATATATATATATATATATATATATATATATATATATATATATATATATATATATATATATATATATATATATATATATATGTATGTATGTATATATCACACACACACGCACGCACGCAGTGGAACTTATTCTACTCTCGGTTTTTTATAAGCCTGTAACTTGAGTACTGTTTCTGGCAAATAGAAGAAATTTCAACTTTAACTATAAGATCTAGTTTTTTATTTACTGTTAAATTTAGAGTATTTTCCGGTGACCGAAAGTAGTACTTTTCGCTATTTCCGAATTCTCAAAAAAAAAAAAAAAAAATACGCATATGAATTTATAAAGTACTAATGTTCCGCACTATTATACACACATTGTTTGCTTTTCACTTAGTGCGCAATTCTTTTTTTTCTACGCGATTCTATTGTATTTTAAAAAGTACAAGTAATAAAACATGGATTAAAAATCATGTCTTTCTCCCCAGTTGCCATCCCCGTAGTGTTATATAAGAATATTAGAGAAAGTTTAGGGGAGATTACTCCCGCTTTATTTTGTTAGCAATATAAAACGTTCATAATCATAAGTTTATGTACTTATTATTTTTATAGGCCTTACGTAAATATATAGATTCTATTCACATTATTCAGAATCAATATTTCCCAAACACGTAACAAATTTTGAATCTTATCGTACATTCTCTTAAAATTGCCTTTTAGCATCTACACAGACAATAATAAGTAGGCTGTAGGTCGAATTAAAAAAAATTGAATCTCAGCAAAACTAGACGTAGATTCAGGAACAATCACTCAAGACTGAAGGAGAAAAGAACCACAACCCTTCCCACAAAACAAAACAAAACGTCACCAGCCTTTGCGGCCGGCGTGAACATGCCATTCTGCCCCGATAATTAAAAAAAAGAGCAATATGGCACAATAGAAGATTCGCTTCACGGTAGCCCGATGAAATAATACCATTTCGATTTTCAATGGCCATTAGGGTTGTTGTTTTGGAGGGAGACTGCTCTCCCTTTGTCGGTTGATTAAAAAGAAATCGATACATTTCCGCACCATATTTTTCACGATTGCCAGTTAAAGGTGATAAATAAATGGTAATTAAAAGTACGTTGATAGCGTGGTGGTGGGGGGGGGGGGGGGGGTAGCCTGCAGCATGATTTATTAAAATATTAATTTGATTGCCCACAATCAAGAAACAAAATTTATCACCCCAATCAAAAAATAAATATTTAAAAAAAAAACATCACTTTTGGAAAACAGCTCTATTGAAAAATATTTGGTTTGTAATAATAATTTACGATTCAATAGATATTATAATGACGGGGATGATAGGTTTCGAGCCCTAGGAGGGAACGCCCAATACTATCCAACGCTTAAACCACTCTGCCATTTCACCCCGTATCTAAATATGGTTTTTAAAAAAAACATTTTGTCATATTTCTAGGCCAATGGGAAGATGTGGGTCTAGATTTTTTTTTGATGAAGTCTGACATGCAAAGAATAGAAAAATAACTAATTAATTCGAATTATAATCATCTTTCGAATTTTTGGTGTAGGAGAGGGCTGGCTTTTGTAATGTTTTGTAATAATTATGAACAAAAGTATGTGTGTAATTAATTTGCCACACGTAATGTTGGCCAGATAGACGGACTTGTCACATGATATGTTGGCCAGACTTATGGACTTGACACATGTAATGTTGGCCAGACTTATGGACTTGCCATATGTAATGTTGGACAAAATTATGTACTTGCCATATGTAATGTTGGCCATACTTATGGACTTGACATATGTAATGTTGGCCATACTTATGGACTTGCCATATGTAAAGTTGGACAGACTTATGGACTTGCTACACTTTTTGTTGGCCAGACAGACGGATCTGCCATATGTAATGTTGGACAGACTTATGGACTTGCCATATGTAATGTTGGACAGACTTATGGACTTGCCATATGTAATGTTGGACAGACTTATGGACTTGCCATATGTAATGTTGGACAGACAGACGGACTTGACATAATGTAATGTTGGACAGACAGACGAACTTGACATATGTAATGTTGGACAGACTTATGGACTGGCCTTATGTAATGTTGGACAGACAGACGGACTTGAGATATGTAATGTTGGACAGACTTATGGACTTGCCATTTATAATGTTGGACAAACAGACGGACTTGAGATATGTAATGTTGGACAGACTTATGGACTTGCCATTTATAATGTTGGACTGATACTTCAACACTCTCTACTACAAGTCTAAATCATAATATGGAATTTTTATGAGGCGTATTTTGTATGTTAGTGAGTGGATGTAGTACGCGTGATTTGGGGTAGAGTAGTTGTGTTGGGAAAGAAAGTTGTGTGTAAAAAATGTTCTCATTTGACTGTGACGTAATATGTTGGGGGCCACTAAATTGATACAGAAAACAGTTGAATCAGTGCTAAGTCTTGTAGTCGTTTATTTTCGTAAGTTTCAATGTGTATATTTCAATGCTTCAGCTTTTTAATTAATTTCTCTACCCCTTCTGGCGCCCCCTTAGGGTTGGCCCCGGGGCAGCCGCCCCACCCGCTCTCCCCTAGCTACGCCATTGGACCGATCGGGTTTTTAATGCAAAATAATTACTACGAGCCGGCCCGCGGCATAACATACGCCGCTATTTAGTTGTTTCTAATTTTCAATAATTCATAATTTGTGAATTCGACAGTACCAACGCTGACACTGAAAATATTTCTTTAAAACACTATAAGTAGCTCGTTAAGGACCATAACCCCCCCCCCCCTTCCTTCCCCCCCCCCCCCCTCCCCCCCCCCTACGTTTAAAATCGTTGGCTCTGCTTGTAAACATTTAGAGCAGGGGTCTCCAAACTTTTCAGTCCGAGGGCCGCATTAACTATAAAAATTCAGTTCGGGGGCCAGTTTATGTCTTTGATTTTTCTGGGCAAAGATCCTCAGCCATCACCAACAAACATTTATTCCGTGGACAAAAAGATCTCCGCGGGCCGGATGAGACGACCTCGCGGGCCGCATCCGGCCCGCGGGCCGTAGTTTGGAGACCCCTGATTTAGAGTGAACACAGCTCACTAAAACCATGTAGGGGTGGGGAGGTAGGGAGAGCGTTTGCAGCTTGTTTTCTAACGGCTCGAAGAAGAGAATTATATATATAGATGTTTCTATTTGTGTGGGGTATCGACTTAATTAATATGCAGGGAATTAAAGAAACAAATAATGCCCTAATTGTTTTATGAAAGTACATATCGAATTACCCTTATATTTATAACTAGTTCTTAGTACTAAAAAGCGTAAAAAGCAGTTTCTTCTAGGCATCTCTCCGTTCCACCCCCCCCCCCCCCCCCCACAAAAAAAAAAAAAACCCAAAAAAAACAAACAAACTATCCAATTTTAGTTAAATTTCTAAGTTTAGCAACGGGACTTTCCGACCATAAAATGCACATAGATAACCCGTTCAATAAGAACAATTCTTTCTTTCTTGTCCATAGGCCAGGAATCCGAGGGAAAAAATTCAGTTTCTTCCCTAGTCAAGGAATCTGAGGGTAATCTGATGCCACGTCTTTAGCTGACTTATTAAAATATCTTTGAAGCGATCAGCACTTTTATTTCTTTTACTGTTTAGATAGACCAAAGAAAATGTAGTTTTATGAGATTTACTCTACTTTTTGGATCAACTAGAAAACATTCTTATCTATTTGTTTTTAAAACATCACTATATCAATGTAATGCAAACCGTCTAAAAAATGTTAAAAAGGTTTCGACGAGGATGGGATTCGAACCCACGCGGGGAGACCCCAATGGATTAGCAGTCCATCGCCTTAACCACTCGGCCACCTCGTCTTAATGCATCCCGTAAAGTCGTAAGTATATATTTACAAATACTGCTTCAAACATATTTCTCCAAATAATACAGAGATAGCAAATTAATGATTGCATTCGAATTGTTGCATTCATTTTGTTTTTAGCGTTTTAAGAAAAATAAACTGCTTTTGGCCTTCTATCTTCACTGTGTTAAGATAAAATGTCTGCAACGGCGTGCATACAATGATGATAGAATCTAGTATGAATTTCTTGATAGAATCATGCAAGATTTCCTATTCCGGTCTAGTGTTGTTAAGAACGCGTTGCTACGAAGTTTCGCACTCTTTAGATGAAAATAAACAAACTTCCTATTTACTAATTTAATATTTACATTGAACTGTAAATTCAATATCAAAAACAGAATTATCATTTCATAACGATGACAACAGGTAGCACTTCTTTTCTAGTTTGTAACTTTAAAAAATCGAGATGCGTATGCCAATTAATAATTAATTATTAATACTATTAAACTATTAATTTTAATAGGCCTACTTTTACATTTTTACTACTTAATAGATTAGGTACTTTAAAAACACTTTTTAATTTATTGAAATAACATTGCAACGGCACGGCTAATACTAATGCCAGCCTCATGCCGAAATGGGCCTTACTAACCTCTAACTCAGGGGTTCCCAACCTTTTTTTACTCTAGAGCACATTCTAAAATACCGGTAGGGTGGCGGGCACCACCTATTTTAAATCGACAAACTCCTTCCAGAGGCGTAGCGACCCTTCCTGTCACCCGGGGACTTTCGATTTGCACCCCACCAAACTTTCGATTGCACCCCCCTCATCTTTTCGATTTGCACCCCCCCCCCCCTCAAACTTTCGATTTCTATCCCCTTCAACCTTTCAATAATGTTTATGAAAAAAAATCTGTCTCTGTCGAATAGTGAGAAGCGGGCACATACGAATCGTTCGGCGGGCGCCATGGCGCCCGCGGGCACGGGGTTGGGAACCCCTGCTCTAACTAGTTCTAAACTATAAAGATCTAATTATTAAAATAATAGGCCTACTAAATAAAAAATATGAAAATAAATAACTTAGGGCTTATCAGTCTAATTAGTTACTAATTATTTTTTTTTAAAGCTTATAAAATATATAATGGCTATGCTACATACGACATAGATCTACATGCTATGCTAATTAATTTTTTTATTAGCCTAAATACTAATACACTTAATTTTTGTTATAAAACTATTCACTATTCACTTAGTCTCTATAATGACTAAACAATTGTGATTATTATATTAAAAAACCATTAGGCCTACCCAAAATTATATTAAATAAGAGTTGAGGTTGATTATATTTATAACCACTGCAGGACAAAACTAATAATTGTTTTTGAGTAGGCCTATGGTCATTAATTTTAGTGACTATGCTATCAGTTACTATTAGGGTCTTGTAAGTCTACAGCTAAAAGCAAATAACCAACATGGAATCACAGACTTTGATATGCTGTTCCACTGATTCTTTCTCCACAGTATTCCCCTCATATCTCTTTTGCTTAATCCTTTGGTTACTGATATGAAGGCTATACATGGCTGCTAGTGCTAGAGTACTGAGAAAGCTTTCATAACTATGAAGACCTTTACAAGTTAACACTCCTCCTGGTTACTTAGCCTCTGAGATCTACCAGTTAGTTAACTGCTGTTGTTTGCCATGTTCTCTAGTGATGTTCTCATTCAGAGTAACTGAGGATTAAGCTGAAACATAAAAAAATAGTTTCAAAAACTATCTATTAAACAAATACCACATCCAAATAGGATCTTGAAATGTAAGAAGTTGTACTATTTACCCTCATAATTGAGAGTTTGTTGACAGCTATATTGGGGTTTTATTCTTCGGCACAAATAATAGTTGAACAACTGTTGATATTAGCGTTTCACTTAGTAAATCAATTTTTCTGTGCTTAGTAATTATTTTTTGGTTTCTACTTAACAATTATCAATATCACTTTAGTTAAGAGATTTTGATTGTGTTACAGCCACACAACAACGCAAGGAGCCAGAGGTGCTGTCACATTCCAGCTTAGCTATGCTGGCAAGAGGAGTTGGTAAAGAAAGCTTAAAAGGCGTGGAATTTGCCATGTACCTTAACATTCCAACAACTACCATCATCAAGTGCATCGCAGACATTACAGATACACCACTCACCAACGAAGGCTCAGAACAGAATAAAATGGATGTGACGCAGAAATGTCTGTTTTTATGGAAGGAGCTGACAAAATGCACGAAGACAAATCAGAGGGTGAAAGAGCTAGAGAGAGCATTAAGAGAAATAGGTAAGGCAGATATCGCCGACATTTTACAAGAGCGACATCAAAATAGCCAGGAGTTAACTCAAGAAATATTCGGCTAATATGTTGGACGTCATTGTATGCAAGTGGGAAATGATTGTTAATACTTTAAATAGTGAAGATGTTATTTTATACATCATTGAATAGTAAATAGTGTTATTACTGTAAAATGTATAAAAATTACTGCTGGATATGTTTATGTTTTAAAAAATTATGAAATAGTCGTTCAACAGTTGTAATCTATTTTATCAAAATTGCAATTTACTAGAATATACAAGCAAATAATGTTAACTTCTAATAACTGTCAAACATCCCTCAAGAATTGTTATAAGATTCAAGTTTGACATTATTTTTAATAAAAAGACATTTTATTGACCTCAAGTTTTTTATTATGGAACTGTAACATTTGTAGACATTGTAATTTATTCTTTCATGTACATGTCTCAATTATTATCTTAATATTACATTGTTATTAAAAAAAATAAAGGGTTTTGAAAAATAAAAATGCCACCTCAAAATTGCTTAAAACATTATTGTGTTGTTTGCAGAAAATAAGTAAATATTGTGAAATTTCAGTAGGTATGATGAAAATATTCTCCAACTCCAGAAAACTTCAATAAAAACTGTTAAGGTATGACTCATTTAAAAATAAATATGTGCAAAAAAATATAAGCAATTATACAACCAGTCAAATATTATGCATATTACAGAGTAAAAACTCATTGGGAGCTTGCCTCCATTAAAGAGTAGACAACGTTCTAAGAAACTTATTCTGCAGTCATGTTTTCCATGCAATAGTGAGATAACTGCAGTTTAGCACATAAAATCTACACAGGCAGTAAATATTTTGTAGTAATAGGGGTGTCCTATTAAGTGATTCTGTTCTATGTTATATTAAAAAGTTGTGATGTATTGGAGAATAAAAGCTGTGTATTGTTTGAATTAAGGTTTGGTCAAGAAATCAATGAAATTATTTTGATATTAATGATAATCAGCATTCAAAATGTTAAAAAAATTTAATTCTACATTCAGAAAAAAACCCATTGCATATTGATTAATTAATAAATAACAATTATAAAACTTAAATGACTGCCAAAGTTTCGTGGTAATAAAATGCAAACACCCCCTTTTCCCAAGTGAATGAAATGAACTGGTGGAGAGAAGGGGTGACAAAACTATATCTGTCTCTGGTGCTTTAATGTAATTTTCTCACTTAAGTATATTTTAATAGTATGAATTTTTTTTTTTAATAAGAAATCTGTTACTATGAATAATATTATTTAACACATACCTAAAAGTTAACTTACTCATGAATTAAATATTTTAATATGAAGATTTATCAAGGAAACTATGCCAAACAGTTTTTTATTTTTACATGAGAAGAAACAAAAGGTATGTAAGAAAGTGCATGGTATTAGTTTTTTACACTTGGAATGGCAGACAATGGGAAAACATTTAAACTGATTAATTTAATTAAAAAATATACACTTTTAAGTTTAATGATTTAATTTGTTTTACTGCAGAAATTTGTTAATGTACAAGGTTAATAAAAATTCAATTTCAGACTGATAAGAATTTACAGTCGTTGGAGATGTGTTTTAAAACAATGAGTTTCAAAAGATTGCATCAATAGCATAATAACTATTATCAGTTTCAATAACTATGGAGAAAATGACACCAAATTATCATAATACACTGTGCTGCAGTAAAGATTTGTGGAAGGTAATCATTGAGCTAAACAATTTATGGTAGTTTGAGATGTACAACAGCAGTTAAAAATGCATTTTTAATAACATGTTCATGCAAAGTATATGCATATTTACAAGTCTAATTTTAAAAAAAGGGAGTGAAGAAACGTGCTATTTACAAAAAGAATGTTAACAATGGAGATTTATTATACAGTTTGAATAGTAACAATATGCATAATACAACATAGGTAGGCTTTTCCACACTCCAGCTGACAAGAAAACACATTGTTTTTTAACTGCTATTTCTGGGAAAATGTGAACAAAATGAGCATTTCCATCATATTTTTATCTGTTAACTACTTAAATAAATATTTTCACAATCAGCATTTTAACTTATCCTTACCTTACAGTTCATTCAAATTATATTCAAACTTAAGCAAAAAACATTATAAAAACTGTACTTAAAAAAAGTTTTATGAAATCAAGAAATCTATTAACTGAGATCTTTTTAAAATGATATATTTAAAATATTTAATGAAACAATTTTTTAAACACTTTTGATATTTAACTTGAAGGAACAAATCATAGATGACCTCATGATAAACTTTTACAACACAAATACATCAAAATATAACAAATGCTGAGCAAATATTATCACTCTCACAGTTACAAATTTAATAATAATGGTGGTAATTTTAAAAACACCAAAAAAACCATGTATGTAACCATCAAATCTCAAAATTCGGAGCAAAATATTACTACTGCATCAGAAATTCAGTTATGAAAGTGATGAAGATATAATTTAAATTTTGAATTGTACATTTTTCACCTAAAGATGCAAGCATATTTTAACTTAATAAAAATTAGTTACCAAAAACTTGAACAGCATACAACATAACAAGTTAAAACATTGCATTTCTTATACACCAATGAAAAAAAAACTGTACAGCAGAACTTTGAGGTAACAAACAAATTTTAAAAGTAGCATACAACATAAAATGTTTAATTGAATAAAACAGAAAATGTGGAGAAGAATGCTGTGCAACAGCTACTTTGACCACCCACTATCTACCATAAAAAATTATTGAAAAAAAAAATTGTAGCAATTTTGAGTAATATTTTGCTTTAAAGTGAATTTTAAACTAAGCCAAGAAAACGAAAGCAATTGTTTTAAGCTAGTCTAACAAGAAAAAAAATGACAATCAAGAAAAATGAATGTGGTAGTGCAGAATCTTTTAGCCAAAGTTCAATTGCTGTTGTAGCTGAAATAGACAAAATTTGATGTTCATTTAAAGTTGAAATAAAACAATTCAGCCAATTCTTAAAATAAAAGCATTCTAAAAGAGAAACACTAAGAAGAGAAACACTAAGAAAAGAACATTAGAATAGCTTATTAAACTACCTGTCCTGGGTAAGCTGTTGTGTAAATGATGCTCTGTTGTCCATTCTGATCAGTTAACATGCCACTTGCAACTTGTGCTGAAATAGTTTTGAATATTGTACACAAAACATAAGCCAATTCAGGTTTACTTATTCTAGGTGTAACCATTGACCCTTGTTAATTTCAAACTAGGCCTGGATTTGTTAGTACTGTAAATGTTTAAATGTACAGACATATACTAGTGTATTTTAATAGAATTTTTAAAAAACTTTAAATTAAATTTATGAACTGAATAAATTACAAGCACTGGTTAAGAAATGTTTGCACTATGCTCCATTTAGCTAAACTATGTGATGACTTTATAAAGTCAATGACAGTAAAAGAGATAAATAATAGCATGTCTGAATTTTTTACTAAAGATTTTGTGTGATTTAGTTTGCCAATATTATAATTCAACTTATATTGCACAGGACAGTGTGTTTGTGCTGCACTGATGAGACGGTGTGGGTATGTGGCACTGATGGGACAGTGCATTTTTTCTATTTAGTTTTTACAATTAGAGTCAACAGAAATATTTCTTCATTTTTCCTATCCTTAGTTTATTAAGTGGTTCAGGTTGGTAAACATATTAAGCTTATATTTCTAGTCACACACTCACTTAACATATCCTCTGACAATTCATCATTAGTATCTGGGCCTTGAAGGGATCCCATATTCTTTTCTCCTTTAGAACACTGGAAAATAAAACAATAATTGAATAACGGGAAAATGAAATATTTTCCAGGGATTACGTGGCCAAAACTAACCCACCTCTCATAATATTTAAGGTATTAGAGGAGACACATGGCACTATGTAAAATGGATACAGTGGTTCTTAACCTTTTTAGAGGTAGCAAACCCCATCAGCTTCATATGCCAATTCACAGAACCCTAGTTCTATCAATTCACCGAACCCCTGGGGTTCAATCCAACCCAAGTTAAGAACCACTGCATAAGACATACATAATTTACCTCTCTATATTTTTGCAGGTACAGCTTGAGTGGCTCCACATAGTTGTCAAAACCTAATGTAGACATGGCAAATAAAATATCCTCCCCGTTTATTGTCTTTCTCTTTTCTTGGTGACATCTCTCACTAGCTCTTAGCAAACATTAAGGAACAGAACTGTTTGCATTTAAAGCTGAAAAATATCCTATTACATAAACACATTGTTAACCTATTACAAAACACATTGTTAAACACCTTTGTCACCAATTTTTGTGTTACAGAGTTATACATTCATTTCGCATAATTAAAAACTGGCTGATTATTTGTGTTAAATTTTAATACAGGCCGACAATATATATTTCCAAACTTTATATAAATAAACTTTTTCCCGAAGTTAGTTAAATACAGAGATTTTTAACTATAACACATCGTTAAGTAGTTTGCAAATGATAACATTACAGTTGCACATCAATCCACTAATTTAGAACCATTGTAGAAAAGGATACTCGCTTGTGATGAAACTGATAAACTCTGATACACACTCCTGTACACATTCCTTTGCATCTTTGGCAATCTGTTTTTGAAAAAAGAAGTATTTTGAATAAAACTTGAACCTAAATAAAGTAATAGAAGCTTTAGAATTGAAATGTTACAATTGTGTAATTACACAATTACGTTTACTCTGAAGTTAAAGAAATAAGCATTACAAATTATAACAGAGCCAACAGGATTTAACAAGGTAATTGAAAAACATTCACCTTTCCTGAAGAGGGCACAGCCTTTTTCATTATTCTTGCCACATTAGCAATAGGCAAAAATCTATCCTAAAAATTTGAAGAGCAGAAAAACATTACATACACCCACACATATATATGTCTCTCTCTATATATATATTTAGGCCTATATTTTTTAAATTGCTTATAACATAAACATTATTAGACTAAAATTAAAAGCAATTTTAAAATTGTTCTTGATGCAGCCTGAATAGACTTACATACTCATACTTTACTTAGGTTATAATGTACATCCCAAATATGCCAGTTAAAATTATAAATCCAGCTTTAGATCAAGAATCTAACTTATTATTTAGACATTGCACATGGAAACAACACATTTTTAGCTGTAGAATCTTCTTACCTGTTCTCTGAGAGGTTCATCTGCAGGTTTCTCATCTTCCATATCAGGTGATCCCAGACCACCATTTTCTATTTTAAATCAAAGTTTAGTTAAAAAATACATTTAACTTTAACCTGGTCAAAATTATTAAATAACATTTTTAAAAACTTAATCTCATTGGCTAAGATTATAAAAAAAAAAGGACTAATGAAATTGAATACTAAATTTAATCGTAACAGAGCACAGCATAAGATGCTTACCTCCATCAACATCATAGGCACCCTGTGCTAATAAGGCCCCATCAATGTGTCCATCTTCAGTGCCATCATGTGTATCATTCATCATTGAAATGAATCTGAATTTATTTTATGAAAATAAAAATTTATAGAGATAGATATAATGGAATAATGAAATTACATTGGAAAATTATTTCCCTGATATTGTTTTATAATTACTGAATGTTGGAAGTAGAAAGATTTTCATTTGTACGTTAATCGTTTATAGTGTTAAAGAAAAATATGATGTTGTTCAATATTAATTAAGTACCATTCAATAGAGGCAGTTATGGTCTAATGCAAATGAGAGCTAAAAACTCTAGAATAAATGGAAAAACAAAACATCAAAAGGTAATAATCAGCCAATCTAGATTAAAATGTTGAGGAGTTATGAAAATAAGCTGTTAAAATTTTCAGAGGTCTGACAAACATGAGACAGAGGGATGAATAGGGAAAACTATCTTACACTTCTATTGGGTTCCGGAAGGACTTGGCAAAAGACGTTACTTATTTGGAAAGAAATAAAAGTCTAATCCTACTTCTCAACTAAACAAACCCACAACAGTTCGCATTTCAGTGGTTTGTCCCCTCTACTAACCCCTGAGTGGACTGGAGTTTAAGGGTTGCAATTCTCATTTGGTGGTGGTGCTAGACCTTAACCTAGCGTGAACAATTCAATTCGGCTGGTAAGGTAAATAGAGGAGCTATTAAAACAGTAATGCAGGAAACATAAATTAATGGCTTAAAAGTTAACACTTAACACTTTTCCTCCTTTCATTGTAAATTAACATTGAATGCCTATAAATTATAAATAGGCTGCACCACAGACTTCCAGACTTTTTTCTGGGGGGGGGGGGGGGCTTGTGAAGTTTTTGTGGGACTGACTAAAATTTCCGGGGGAAGGGGGGGGGGGGGGGGGGGAAATGACGACGGACACTGTTAAAATTATCTTTTCTGATGGTATTTCGAGTCATCCCTTCGAATCCAGGTCAGAACATCCCCAACCCCGAAGAGATGCTTGGGATAAACACTGGCTGCAAACTATTAAAGTAAAGAATTATAATAGTTAATAGTAAGACTCTTACCCTAGAAAAGATTCTCTACATTATGTGTGTAACTAAAACTAATGTATGATACATAGGCCTAATAATAATTGTATCATTGTAATTTATAAGGCCTATTAAAAATATTAGGTAAATTTAATTAATGTTATTGTTGAATGTAGATTCTTATTAATCTTAAGTCTTATTCTAGTGAAATCTAGTGTTTGTGAATTGTGTATCTTTATAATTTTTATTTTACTAGATCACTAGAATCTAGTTAAATCTAGTATAATTACTTCACTACACTAGTGTCTAGATCTATATTATTAGTATATTCAGGTAGTGATTAGTAATATAAAATGAATAGATTATAATATTTTTAATGATTTCATAATCATAATTTAATTTGGCTTTTAAATTATTTATATTTATCTCGTCTCATCAACCGAGTCAACGTACACACAAATTTTATTAATCGGTGAGTGGACTGGGCAGTGAGTCAGCCATTGTTGGGGGCTTTGTTCAGTAGTTTAATTTTTTTGTAGGTCGCGATGGCGGTTCCTCGGCGTTTGCGTTTCTGCATGGGTGTTCGGGCATTACGACAAAATTTTAAACATGAAACGTTTACATATTCCGATTTACTATAATAGACCGTAGAGTCCGCACGTGTAATCCATTGGCTACATGGTTAATAACAACAAACCTCGTTGATTGAGTAGATTTGGTGAAATTGGTTGGTCAATCAAGAGCCAGTGAAATTGCAGCAACTCCAGCCATTCAGCGAAGAATGTCATCTACATCGCTCTTACCTCAATTGAACTTTATTATAAAGTTTATACAGTTTATTATAGATTTGTGTTTTCAGAGGAAACTATAAGCGATAATTTGTATAATAAATAAAAGTTTAAAGAAATATAGATGCAATACTTTATTTATATATTACATTTTTTAGCTATACAACAAAATGTTCTCTATATTTTTGTGATTATATGATTAAATCGTAGGAGTAAATAATATAAACAGAAGTGCAAGTTGACCTACAAAATATATCAACTGTTCTTGAATTACAGATCACAAGATACTAGGCCTAAGTGACCATTGCATTTAGAGCAAAATTTAAAATATCTTCCACGTCTTATTTTTCATATTATTTTTTTTGGTATTGATTATTCTTAAGTCCATGAAAAATAATTTTTATCAAAGAAAGTAGAATCTAGATTATATTTATAGTAGGCCTAATTTTATTTGCTAAACTTAAATTACGTCACCAACAAAGGCATAGATAGTGACTATCGTAAGTCTCTAACTCTAAGACACGCATACAATAACTTTTTTGGTATTCTAAACGGGCTATTTTGTATATAAAATATCAATGTTAATAAAAATAGTTTTAAAAATAAAAAGTTTTAAAATTTATGTCTCTTTACAATATATAAAAAGAAAATTATTTTAAACGCTGCTATTACTCAACATTTTGAATTCAGGTCCAAACCAAACTTTGCAGGTGGTAGCAACTTTATGTTTATATACACAAAAAAATATTCATTATAATAATACTAGTTTACGTTAGTAAATATATTAATTTTATTTTAATTAGTGGCATAATTCCTAACTACCCCATCGCACTACCCCCGCCCCCCCCCCCCCATATCCGATAACTTCTGCGAAAGTTCATATAGACACAATGCATTATAAGATTATAAACTTTCAATTTATTATTAATAGTTTAAAGCAAAGTGGTGATATGTTCAAAACAATGATCCGAATGGCTTAGCCAGTAGTTTCTTTTATATTAAAAAAAAATTTTTTTTTGTTTAATTTCGGCCAGACACAGTAAAAAAACCCTGGTCAATAACGGTACTGGATCCGTCCTAGTAAGAGGATCCGAGAAATCGACGTAATCGTTTTCCCACTGTTGATTAAAACTAATTTACAAAACGGGGAGTGAAAATGCATTTGACTGTTAAAATATTAAATGGCGAAGAATGTACCTTAGCCGTAAGTAATCTATCGTTATAAGTATGTTAACATTTTGACTGATACGTTGACCACGGATTAGTAACCGACCAGACAGACCAATGCAGAATATAAGAATTTTAATGCTGGAAACTGGAAAGAAAAGAAATGAGTGAAATACACTGTACTAGATTTCTAAATAGATCTAAGTACAACTTAAAAACTGAAGTACTGAAGTAAAATCTAGATCTAGTGAAGGGAATAGAAATTTAGATCTAGATCTAGAATCTAGTAATTGACTAAAAATTTTAAAAAGTAGGCATACTTGTCTACTTGACGAAGTACAAGTTGAAGTACAGCTAGTTTTAGTACTTTACTTTAGACTTAGTACTTGCTTAAAACTGTACACTGTACCACTTCACATCTTTCTAATGTAGATCTAGATCTAGAGATCTAGATTCTAGATCTACCTACTGAACTAGAACTTAAGTACTAGCTAACTAGATTCTAGGTCTAGTTACTATCTAGATCTAGTGTAGAGTCTAGTAGAGTAGACACTATTCACTTTCACTAGAATGAGTTGAGATGATCTATCTATATTCTATAGTTATAGGCTTATTATAATATTCTATAGAATCTATAATAACTAGATCTAGGCCCTAGTTGTAGATCAACTAAAATACTACTGGATCTGTAGTCTATATGACTAGATTCTAGATCAAGGCCTAATTGTGGGCATATATATTTGCAACAAAAAAAAGACACGTCCTTTAGTTAACTTTAGTAGATTTTTGCTAAGAGAGAGAGAAAAAAAAACTGGGACAATTGTGATTGAAACTGGAAATCTAAATAATTACTGGATAAAACTGACATTCTTTTCACCTGATATTTACTTAGCTTTTATTGGACCTACCTTGTGAATTTTAACCCTTTGAGCCCTGGCCTAATTTCTCCCATTTCCTGAGCTACCAGGCCCAAACCAATTTTCACTTATCTGCTTCTAACTTTGCCTATAACTTTTGAACCGTTTGAGATAATCAAGCCAAATTTGGTATCCAGACTCAGGATCAAACAACAATGCAGCAATATTCTGAAATTCTATTATACAATGTATGAATTGCCAGAAGTCCACTTTTGTGTGATAACTTTCAAAGCAGTTATCACTGCCGGACCCGGTGCAAAGAAAAACTTCGCATGTTTTGCACCATCAAACAAATTTTTTTTAGTTTTGGCAAGTCTTTGTCCTTGGCACCAAGTGCTTGAACAGTTTCATTGTCAATTTCAATGTCACTGGATTTAGTCTCAAATTCAACGTCACTATCATCATGATTTAGACCAGCAATATTATCTTCTTCATCAGAATCAATAAGTATTTGTATTGCCTGAGATGCAGTCATTCTACTTCTCTTGTAGTTGCACCAACTTTATGTGCTGAAGTCGATGGCTGTGGCTCAGTTTTTCGTTTAGGCGGCATTGCTACAAAATGTAAACACTTTCACCTTTCCTAAAATCTAATTTTAGAATCATAATCCCGCACTAAAAAGACATATGCGAAGTTTTAGTCAGCCTACAGCTAATTATATTTAATTAGACGTTATACCGGCCTCTAGGAATATGTCGCTAGATCATCGGGCCGGAAAACCGGCTTTTCGAACATATATGCCTAAAGTTGAAGCCGGTTTACCGGCCTGGCAGGCTCAAAGGATTAAAATGGTAATGGACAGGTAAAAATCATCAAGTGATACATTGGGCCTAAATATTAGGCTATTTAAAAAAGCCCTGATTAATTACTTAAGATTTAGAGTGCATAATTATCATCTAATAATATATTAATAAAGTATAGGCCTATTCTATACATATTGAATAGGCTATGCTGCTACAGTTGCTACGTAATAGTCTAATATTTAGCCTACTACTGTTATCATGTATAATTTTACCATCCAAGTACTACCTGATATATTATAATGTATAGGCTTATTTTTTAAATTTTAGTTTCAACTAACCTATATAATCAACCCACTTTTACTTTTTTTGTATATGATAAAGTGTTGAATTTATTTTCAGGCTTCACCCAGTAGTCTTGTGAGTGATGTCAAAGAACAAGTTGAAGCTCTTTTATCTATACCAGTAGCTGATCAAAAGTTACTTTTCAAAGGAAAAGCTCTTCAAGGTATCTCTTCTCTTTCTATTCTTTTAATAAGCCATACTTATTCTATACTATTGGCACAATTTTTTTTTATCTAGCCTCTTCTTTATCATCACTAAAAGCCATACATGACTAAACTGTCCTGATGAAAAATTTTTTATAGATAAATGGTTTAATAAAAAACAATTTTGTGAAGCAAGCTCATGATTCTTTCAAGCTTTGTTTAATATGTATGTTCATTCTATTAATTCCATTGCATTTGCTTTTTTTTTTGTTTGTTTTGATGCAGAATCAACAATTTCTGCTACCTACTTAGCATGTTGTTAATTCGCATTTCTAAATTTTTAGATACCAAACCTCTTCGTGATTATGGTGTTGAAGATAGTGGAAAAATAATACTTGTTGTAAAAAGGCCAGTGACAAAGTCATCTGATACAACAAAAACTCTTAGTCCACAAAATATACACCCAGCAGAACCAGAGAGGCCTGTGTGGGAGAAACTGCGAGTTTTTCTTCAAAGACATTTTAGAGACAGGGATGTGGAAGCAGTGCTTCAAGAGTTTAAAAAAGTATGTCAACTTTTTATCTGGCTTCTTTGTTTCCATTACTTTGTGACATGAAGTTATTATTAGACTTTCTGATAACTATACATAATGTTAGGTTTAAAATCGTTTTCATTTTGTTGTTAAAAAATATATGATCAAACATAAGGTTATAATTAGTTATTCTTATTTTTCAACCTATTGTGGTAATTTAGATTTCTCAGTGTTTATTATTACACTTTTGAATATTTTTTTAAAATGCAAGTAAATCTGTTCAAGTTTTTTTACATTTCTTATTTTTCTCAATAGGAGTTTGAAAGGAATCTTTCCAGTTTAAGCTTGGATGACATAGAAAGATTAGCAACAACAAAGTTACGACAAGTATGATGTGTAAAATATAGTCAGCAGAATAAGTTATATTTTTGCATCGAGTTAGTTTACATTTAATTGCTATAAAAACAGATCAATTGAATGTAAGAATAAATTAATTCCACTGTGCTGATTTATGTGTAAGCAATGCCGGTTTTCAAGGTCAAGAGGAACTTTGTGATCTGAAGAGCCATCTAACGAGAGCTGTTTTAATATGAGCTTTCTTTGTATGCAAATAAATCAGAGCAATGTTTATATAGCCTATGCCTATTGTGTTACTTTGCTAAAATAATTTTTTGATTATTATTTACACTAGGGATATTTTTTTATTCATGTCTACAAATTAACACCATCCTATAAATAAATTTTACTTTTCAAAATTCTATGTTAGGGTCTAGAATAAATAATTTGACAAGGCTAATAATCAGTTTTAAATCAGTTGTTATTTAATAATATATGAGCAAACTAGTTTGAAGTAAAATACTGTTTGAACATTTGCTGTATGCTTGCATTTGTGATGGTTTTAATTACTTATAGAAAAGTCACAAGGATGCAAGATTATAAATGCAATATTATTAAGGCAAATGTTTATTTTACTACTTGTAGTCATAATAACTAAACATAAGAGATTTTATGCTATTTAGTTAATTTAGTTGCTTTTTCTGTTACGAAGTACTAACCTATACAAAATAAATTATTTCATCAGACATGTTTCAATTAAGTCTATAGAGAAGGTACTTATCAGGTTAACTTTAAAACACATTGCCAAGCTTAACTTTATGGTATTGTTTTTAAAAAATAAAAATTATGTAAGTTTTAATTTGTGATGTCATTTTATAGTGTCTTCTATTACATATGTATTTGCTTCTTGGTTGAAAGTAGTTTACCCACAACCAGTTAAAACTTGTAGAATTCTATTATGGGTTTGAAGATAAGTGGAAATGGATTTAAAATCTTTTTGTACAGAAAATAATGTAGGCTAAAACTAAAAAGTTAACATTTAATAACATCTATTGATTCTAGTTTGTGACATTGTTGATAAATGTTTTATAGTGATTGTTTTTAACCTATTGCAATATTACTTTAAGCATTCACTAAAAATTTGAAGTACTGTGAATGTGAGTTGAGTGCAGTGAAATAAAGTATTGTTTTTATTAATGTTCATGTATTTAATCTAAATGTCTAATAAAACATGTTTTAAATTACCATTATTAAAAACTTCTTTAAAATTGTTGGCAAAAGGAAGTCTAGTCTCATATTTTGGATAGTGATTTATGCTGAATTTTAAATGGTTTGTAATTTGTTCTTCCTCAGTATGCTAGAACATCACAAAAAAATGCTTCAGATGGTTTCGATAATATTTTTAGGCTTCAAACTTCTCTTCTGTCTCAATTGTACAGGACACCAAGGTTCACTTAGCTTTGATAGGTACTTGAGTTAGTGAAAGTCCAGATGGATGAGCAATGTTCTGATCATGCATGTAGTTGAGCTATGAAGAATCTAACTCTTGAGGGTTCTACTTTATTTTCTCAAACTATATGATCATATCTTGCTCCACCTACAACCATGTCAGTATAATCAGCTCTCTAATAGGATAGTTGATAATTCACAAGAGAAACTCATTTGAAAGGTATAATTATTTATATTGTTAATGTAAAATTCAGTTCTCAGACTGATGTACAAAGCTGAAAAATAACTGCAAGCCACACCTGGGATAATTTTATTTTTAGGAATTTGATTGCAAACACATTATAACAATGTGTATTATATAGAACTACCTGAGATTAATTCATTTACAAAATTTCATCACACAAACGTTCATCACACATAAAACTTGAGTACAGGATAGAAAATTTATATAAACTAGTAATCATTACATGTTTGTAATAATAAAATGCTCTATCGCCTAGCTTTGTTGCTTGTAGTGGACTGTAGGTAAGCTTCGAAGTCTGTCTGCAGCCTGTTCAGCTGTCATATCTCTCTGGGCTGATGCTAACATTTCAAAACCTACCATGAATTTCTTGACTGTTGCGGACCTCAGCAAGGGCGGATAAAAAGCAGCATGCAGCTGCCAATGTGACATGTCTTCATTGAGGTACTTGCCTGTTGGTGCCCCATGCCAACCCATACAGTTTGGGAACGATGTTTGGAATAGATTGTCATAAACAGTGTTCAGTTTTTTCAGCATTGTACATAGGTCATTTTTCTCTTCTTCGCTTAGGTCATTTAATCTCAAAACATGTCGCCTAGGTAACAAAATGGTTTCAAATGGCCAAGTTGCCCAGTATGGCACGAGCCAGACCCAGTGAGGTGACTGGAGAATTAATCTCTCCTCTTTTACTAGCTCCTTCTCTAGGTAGTTGATAAGCATGGGCTGACCATGAGTTTTGTAAAATTCTCGCTGCGTCCGATCCTTTAATTTGGGCTCATTGGGCAGAAAAGAACAAGCCCATACTTGACAATGTGGGTGAGGATTTGAGCAGCCCATTACAGCCCCCTTGTTTTCAAATATTTGCACCCAATCAAACTGCTTTCCGAGTGCTTCATTTTCAACCAACCACGTATCAACAACTTTGCGGATATCACCAACCTCCATCAAAGGTAAAGTGAGGTCTGACCATGGGTGGAAACAGATGACCCGACATTTTCCATGAGCAGGCGCAGACTGAAACAGAGGGTCATCAGACTTGGGAGGGTCAGGGCCGTCTGGCAACAAAGCTGGGAAGTCATTATCAAACACAAATGTATTTGTATAGTCAGGATTTACCACACCATTAGGCCGCGTTACCCCTGGACATAGAGGATTCGTGGGATCAAAGCGTGGGATTTCTTCGTGTATTAGTTTTTCTACCTGGCCCTGCCATGGGCGTTTAGCCCGATGTGGTGACACGACAACCCAGTCATCTCTGAGTGGATTGTACCTCAGGTGTGGGTGATCTGTACTGTTGAACTGCTCCATCTTCAAATAAAATAAACAATAACTTGGTGACTATACTATAATTAACTTTATTAAACAAAATTAGCCAGAAATACTCTGAATAAAATGCATTAATTTTATACAACAATTTTTAAAGCTGTTAACAGGCGGAAATTTATATAACTAACTATTTATAACACAACCATGTCCACCAAACTCTAGATTGGAAATTATATTTTAAGTGTCTGAGGTATACTTCATACTTTTGAAGTTATACTTGTTCCTATGCAAATACATTTTTAGGTAAACAATTAGTGAAACAAAAAATTAGCCTGAGCATTTCTAAATAACAATAATATTTTGAAGACTTTACCTGGCAACTGATGTACTTTATTATTATTATTTACAACCAGTCCTCAGATGTACTCTCTATTACCTGAAAAAACATAATTTGTTTTAGGTCAAACAAATATAGAACAATCCTTATAAATAGAATATATAGCCTTCAGTTTTAATACTCATGTCTGTTATCCTAATTCTCAATCCCAAACTTCTCAATAAACAATTATACATGATTAGGCCTAGATCTATAAATAACTGTAATAATTATGTATAAGGATAATATTAATAAAGTGAACATACTAAAAATCATATGTATATTAATACTATTAGTATTAGATCTATAAGTTAAATAATAAGTTAATTTTTTTTTAATTATAAAAAAACTTGTCAACTAATACTACTATTACTAGATTTCTCTATGTCTATAAAAACTTATTTTTTAAAAAATATTAAAAACAGAACAGACATCCAATGTGGTATGTTTAACTTAAGCTAAGAGCTTAAATAGACACCAAATGTAAAACAACCTTTCTTACATTTGCATCATTCTGCCTTCTCAGAGTTCACTATCTATTTTTATAATATCACAACACAACTTATGCTAGCAGCTGTAGGCCAGATCAGTTTGACAGTTTTCCCAGCCAAGCTTGTAGCCTGTGGGCCGTAGACAACTATGCTCCTATAATTTATAATTATTACTAGACTATCTATAATGTAATGTCTATTTCGCGAAGTACACGATTTACAAACATGTCAACAGTGTGTATGGAAGATGTTACCGGCTAGATCTATATTAACTTAATAAGCCCCTGGCTACAAATAGACCTAGAGTAATTTTAACACAACCTGAATATTAATAATCAATAATGTTAACTGTAATGTATATATCCACGAGAGGATCGTATGTATGACGAGAAATAATATGGCGTAGCTTTTATTTAATCGTGAAAAACATTTTAGAGTAGAATGGCGAATGGGGGGAGATAAATAATAATAATATTGGAAAAGGGGTGATCCATAAACTGTTTCTTCCTGGCATCTCTTCGGGGGGGGGGGGGGGGGGATGGGAAAGGGAAGCCTCCCCCCCCCCCACTTTCCGAACGAAATGGACATTTATATAGAACATTTATACTTTTACCAGTGTGTCGCCCCCCCCCCCCCCGGAGAAAAAAGTCTGGAAGAAACACTGTCCATAAACGACTATACCTTATTTAAACGATTAGCACCCCATTGGTCCCATATATATTATAATGTCAGACCCCCCCCCCCCCCCCCATGGACGTCATGCCTCGGAACCGAACACCCTCTCCTTAGTTGTAGTAATTTTTTCTCGTCACGGAAGTCAAACTCCTTAATCCCCCCCCCCCCCCCCCCCCCCCCACCCGAAGTGCGACGTCGTATATGGACGACACCTGAACTTAAAATAGCGCAACTTCGTTTGCGTAGGTCAACGACCTTCAAAAGGACCTCGAATGTTAAAACGGCTTAGTGGGGATGGGAACTGGGTGCAAAGGTTTGTATGTGTAGTATTATTAAGAGAAAGCTTATATTTTGTAAAATCAGGTCGAGGGTGGTGCCTTGGGAGAGATTAAAAATAAAGTAGCTCTTGGACTTAGTCTACTAGATCTAGTTAGTAACAAGCTTCTCTGCCTGATGTCTGGGAAAAACTCTGCGTTATCCAGATTGGGATAGGTTCCGTTGGGTAACTTTTAATTTAAAAATAAATAAAAATGCAAGCCTTCATTAAATAAATCATTCAATACACTCTGGGCTTAGATTAAAAACCTGTGGAATTAGTCTTCAGCGCAATGATGAGCTTAAAGTTAATTTAACGAGTGCTAAGAATAAAAGGAAGAGAGGGAGGGCAAGTAGAATAGCTTTGATAGGCCAAAGTAAAAAAATATTTGTAGAGTAAAGAATGCCCCAAGAGTAAGACTTAATGATAACATACTTGGATCTGTAGGCCAGGGTCTGTTTGATAACTGACCAGTTCCTGATATAGTCCAATTTGTTTATGTAGGCCTAATAAAATAAATAAATTTAAAACCTACAAAACACCACATACACACTGGGTAAAGCAACCAAGATCACCGGTATTGTTAGGCCTATAAAATACTATAAATCTATAGGCCTATATTAAATAGTTTGTAATTATGTTAACAATTTGTTATTGGGCTAAAACATTTAAATTTAATATTAGGCCTAATGATAATGAATGGATCTAAAATAAATTAACTTGAAAATACATTTAAGTAATTAATTACCTTTTTAAAAACTGTTATCAAAACCGATCTAGACTAGATCTGTAATAAGAAAAAAAAATATTTCCTAAAAACAATGTGACTTTATCCTTTACTATACTTAGATCTAAGGCTAAATGACTTGTACTGATGTAGATCTACCAGTACTGTTCTCGCAATATCTTACAGAAACGAACTGACCTTCACGTGATGGTACGCCTAGCCCTAGGCCTACACAAGCAATAGAGAAATTTTAGTTTGGCCTAGGGTCTACACACAATCACATTTCTCTCACTGAGCGCTCGAGAGAAAAAAAAATCAGCCAACCAGAGGTGACCTAGCCGTGACCTTACACCCGGTGACCGCTGGCGTAGTATTGACAAGGGCGATAACTCACAACAACGTCATCCAAACAATGAGCTTCAATTACAAGAATTAGGCTTGCTTCTCTATCGTCGTTCTATTAATCACACACAGTGCATCAACGAAAATATAGATTCCAAATGTAATAAAACTTCGTAGAAAGATGTAAAATAATCAATTACCCATCATCATAAGATATAGATACAGCTGTAATTGTATCTCATAATAATGAAACTACAGCAAAAACTACTAAAACTGCAATGTCTTTCTAAATTAGACAGGTAGGCAAAATGTGATATACATCACACTGAATATTCTATATCTAGACCGTGTGCGCACACATAGACGCGCACACAACTCAGATGATAGGCACAACTAGGTCAAGATGGCTGGCGGTTCGTGAAACTTTGAGAACTAGGTCAAGTTAAACCCTTCTAAAAATACAAATACCATACGGTCTGAATCCGATACAATACGAGGCCTAACAGGTGTTTTTTTCTCACGCACAAAAATGAGGAGGAAAAGGCTAACGATTGGCTCATTGAAGAAATAAGTAACGGCTATGTAGTCAAAATACTAAGGGGTCGTCTTATTATGACGTAAACAAAAAAAAATGGATTTTAGACCTCTCCCATGTCCACACGAGTCCATTTTCGCCCGTCCACACGCGTCCACTTTCGACGAACCCTCACCCACCCCCCCCCCCCCTGTGGACGCCCAAAGCATTTTTTTTAAAAATTTGTTGGATGTATTTCAGTAGCGTAGCGAGGCGGGGGGGGGGGGGGGGCATATGTCCCCGGGCGCCGACCTTAGGGGGCGCCAAAATGGGTTGGAAAAATAAATTGAAAGGTAGAGGGGGTGCAAATCGAAAGTTTGATGGGGGGGGGGGGGTGCAAATCGAAATCTTGAGGGGGGGGGGGTGCAAATCGAAATCTTGAGAAGGGGTGCAAATCGAAAAGTTTGTCCCCGGGCGCCGGGAGGGTCGCTACGCCTCTGATGTATTTAACAATTAATATTAATATTTATGAGTTATAAACGGCAAGGCCCCATAGAATTCATGACCTCTACTTCTGTTTACCTCAAAACTCGCTACTGTTTTACGGTTCGTCCAAACATGACGTCTCACTCCGGAGGACGTGTGTGAAATGTAAGGCGAGGGGTAGGAGGGTTTCAGAAAGTGTGACGAAAGAGATGGCTGGAAGAAACTCTGCTCCGCCCCCCCCCCCCCCAGTCCCCACGCGTCTACAAACTTCGTTATTCTAAAAAAAATAAGCAACTACAAAGACTATTACATTTCCCATACATTTTGAAATAGACTCCCACGCATAAAAACAAATAATAAAAGCTTACCAATCGAAAGCTTATCGATTCGATCTACTTTTACATTTAAATCGATTCTATTTTTGTCACATACAATCATTGTTGTAGGCCTAGTAGTCAGTGGCGTAGCGAAGTCGGGTGTCACCCGGTGCGGCACTTAATGGTGTCACCCGGTGCGGTCCGCACCCCCCTCCCCCCATCGCTACGCCACTGCTAGTAGTGAGTGGTTTGATAATAAGTGTTTCTTTCAGACATTCTTTTCTAATGAGTTGCACATAGATCGTCCGAGGAGGGAGAGGGGGGTGGGGAGGGGGGGGGAAGCGGGATACGCTTCAATGCTCCCTCCCTCCCGTCACCCCCCACCCCCCATCAGAAGATATACCTAAAAGAAACCTTGTTAATAATGTATTGTCAAGAAGGTGATTAGCTGACGTGGCAGTGTCTAAGCTTAATGGGTTGAGTCTATGTATTTTACTACAGGGGCAGGGGGGGGGGGGCGGTGTACATACATAAAAAATATACGTAGGGCAGTCAATTACCATAAATTTAAGTAGTGTGTGTGAGGTGGGGGGGGGGGGGGAATTAAATGTCACTATTATAACCCATACCTATTAGCATACAATCTCTCGGAAAATTCGATTTTTGAGTATGAAGAATTTAAACATTTTGCCTGCTTTTTGGGGAATTCCCAGTTCTCGGGCACGCAAGTTATGGGGATTCCCCTGTGTACACCTGCTGAAAGTGGTATGATACACTTGCCTCGGTAAGGAAAGTTTTTGGCGCCCTAGCTTAAGTACAGCCCCCTAAGGTCGGCGCCCGGGGACATATGTCCCCCCCCCCCTCGCTACGCTACTGCATCTTCTTTACGTTTATTTATATCTTGGCTTAGGACGACTGTATGTTCGTGTTGTTTTCAATGCGTACAATTTCAAAATGAAGAATGTAAAGCCACAATTAGCGTATTGGCGAATATAATTATACATTACTTTCAAAGCCGAAAGTAAGCCCAAAGTGCGTGGTTTGGCTTGCCAATGTTTGTATTGGTAGCCTAACAATGTCTGTATTGGTAGCCTGCCAATGTATGTATTGGTAGCCTAACAATGTCTGTATTGGTAGCCTAACAATGTCTGTATTGGTAGCCTGCCAATGTCTGTATTGGTAGCCTAACAATGTCTGTATTGGTAGCCTAACAATGTCTGTATTGGTAGCCTAACAATGTCTGTATTGGTAGCCTAACAATGCCTGTATTGGTAGCCTGCCAATGTCTGTATTGGTAGCCTGCCAATGGCTGTATTGGTAGCCTGCCAATGTCTGTATTGTTAGCCTGCCATGGTAGCCTAACAATGTCTGTATTGGTAGCCTGCTAATGTCTGTATTGGTAGCCTAACAATGTCTGTATTGGTAGCCTGCTAATGTCTGTATTGGTAGCCTAACAATGTCTGTATTGGTAGCCTGCCAATGTTTGTATTGGTAGCCTAACAATGTCTGTATTGGTAGCCTGCCAATGTATGTATTGGTAGCCTAACAATGTCTGTATTGGTAGCCTAACAATGTCTGTATTGGTAGCCTGCCAATGTCTGTATTGGTAGCCTAACAATGTCTGTATTGGTAGCCTAACAATGTCTGTATTGGTAGCCTAACAATGTCTGTATTGGTAGCCTAACAATGCCTGTATTGGTAGCCTGCCAATGTCTGTATTGGTAGCCTGCCAATGGCTGTATTGGTAGCCTGCCAATGTCTGTATTGTTAGCCTGCCATGGTAGCCTAACAATGTCTGTATTGGTAGCCTGCTAATGTCTGTATTGGTAGCCTAACAATGTCTGTATTGGTAGCCTGCCAATGTCTGTATTGGTAGCCTGCCAATGGCTGTATTGGTAGCCTGCCAATGTGTGTATTGTTAGCCTGCCAATGGCTGTATTGGTAGCCTGCCAATGTGTGTATTGGTAGCCTGCCAATGTCTGTATTGGTAGCCTAACAATGCCTGTATTGGTAGCCTGCCAATGTCTGTATTGGTAGCCTGCCAATGGCTGTATTGGTAGCCTGCCAATGTGTGTATTGTTAGCCTGCCATGGTAGCCTAACAATGTCTGTATTGGTAGCCTGCTAATGTCTGTATTGGTAGCCTAACAATGTCTGTATTGGTAGCCTGCCAATGTCTGTATTGGTAGCCTGCCAATGGCTGTATTGGTAGCCTGCCAATGTGTGTATTGTTAGCCTGCCATGGTAGCCTAACAATGTCTGTATTGGTAGCCTGCTAATGTCTGTATTGGTAGCCTAACAATGTCTGTATTGGTAGCCTGCTAATGTCTGTATTGGTAGCCTAACAATGTCTGTATTGGTAGTCTAACAATGTCTGTATTGGTAGCCTAACAATGTCTGTATTGGTAGCCTAACAATGTCTGTATTGGTAGCCTAACAATGTCTGTATTGGTAGCCTGCCAATGTTTGTATTGGTAGCCTAACAATGTCTGTATTGGTAGCCTAACAATGTCTGTATTGGTAGCCTAACAATGTCTGTATTGGTAGCCTGCCAATGTCTGTATTGGTAGCCTAACAATGTCTGTATTGGTAGCCTAACAATGTCTGTATTGGTAGCCTAACAATGTCTGTATTGGTAGCCTAACAATGTCTGTATTGGTAGCCTAACAATGTCTGTATTGGTAGCCTGCCAATGTCTGTATTGGTAGCCTAACAATGTCTGTATTGGTAGCCTAACAATGTCTGTATTGGTAGCCTAACAATGTCTGTATTGGTAGCCTAACAATGTCTGTATTGGTAGCCTAACAATGTCTGTATTGGTAGCCTGCCAATGTCTGTATTGGTAGCCTAACAATGTCTGTATTGGTAGCCTAACAATGTCTGTATTGGTAGCCTAACAATGTCTGTATTGGTAGCCTGCCAATGTCTGTATTGGTAGCCTAACAATGTCTGTATTGGTAGCCTAACAATGTCTGTATTGGTAGCCTAACAATGTCTGTATTGGTAGCCTGCCAATGTCTGTATTGGTAGCCTAACAATGTCTGTATTGGTAGCCTAACAATGTCTGTATTGGTAGCCTTACAATGTCTGTATTGGTAGCCTAACAATGTCTGTATTGGTAGCCTTACAATGTCTGTATTGGTAGCCTTACAATGTCTGTATTGGTAGCCTTACAATGTCTGTATTGGTAGCCTGCCAATGTCTGTATTGGTAGCCTGCCAATGTCTGTATTGGTAGCCTGCCAATGTCTGTATTGGTAGCCTAACAATGTCTGTATTGGTAGCCTAACAATGTCTGTATTGGTAGCCTTACAATGTCTGTATTGGTAGCCTTACAATGTCTGTATTGGTAGCCTTACAATGTCTGTATTGCCCACCCAACTCTCCCACCCCATTTTTCTGAGCACATGTTCTGCACGGTGTCAAGGCGACATGTCCTGTTAAACTGGATCGGGCTTGTCGCAAGTAGCGCACGCAACACGCACGTCTCAATCTGTCCCCAGCACCGTTGTCATACCATTGACAAGCCACGCTCCTTGACGAGGGAACTGTTTGAGTCACGAGTCAGATTTTGTTAGAGCATCATGTACTCAGCTCATGTACTCTCGTCTATGCTGCTCTTTATAGGATGTATTCAGGCGAGTTGTACTATTTTTTTCCCTTCCTTCCACTTTCCTCTAAGTCTTATAGAGAATAGGACCAAGACCACAGTTCACTAACAAACTAGGCTGGAATTTATTCTCTTTACTTCACACCATGTTATTTCAGCATCTCCTATCTATCTCTCGACGGATCTCTTCCTTGTCTTCATTTCTTTTGATTTCTGTTGATTCCGTTCCAGACTTTACAAGTGAAGCTGTTTTGTGTATTTCTGATAGTATACCATTTCCACCATTTGTTTTCTAACATGTCACTCTGGACTGACGTAGGTCTAAAAAAATCTCACATAAGTATGTTTGATACTGTGCCCGGCCAACGTATTATAAAACGTAAATATTTATTTACGTATTAACGTATTTATCTATTTATAAATCACCGAATCCTATTTGTTGTAACACGAGCCACCTTTCATATTCGCCATGCGGTATAGCATAACAGGCTTTATATCAGAGGCGTAGCGACGGGGGGCGGGGGGTACATATGTCCCCGGGCGCCGACCTTAGGGGGCGCCAGAATGGGTTGTAAAAAAAAATTAAAATATCATTTTAGTTGCATTTTGGCATCATATATATAAATAAATATATGGGGGGGGGGGTGAAAATTGAAATTTTGAGGGCGGGGGGGGGGTGCACAAATTGAACATTTCCTCCCGAGGGGGCGCCAAATTGAACGTTTGTCCCCGGGCGCCGGGAAGGATCGCTACGCCTCTGCTTTATATCACACAACGTGTATGGTATGGTTAACCTCAGTGACACCCGCTGCAGTTACCAGGGTGACATCCCCTCTGCTAAAAGATTTACGATAACTTTACGTAATTTGGTGTCATTCAGCTAAAAGATTTACTATAACTTTAGGTAATTTGGTGTCATTCAGCTAAAAGGTTTACTATAACTTTAGGTAATTTGGTGTCATTCAGCTAAAAGATTTACGATAACTTTAGGTAATTTGGTGTCATTCAGCTAAAAGATTTACGATAACTTTAGGTAATTTGGTGTCATTCAGCTAAAAGGTTTACTATAACTTTAGGTAATTTGGTGTCATTCAGCTAAAAGATTTACGATAACTTTAGGTAATTTGGTGTCATTCAACTTCAGGGACGGTGTCACCCTATGCTTGATGATGTGTACAACTTCAA